GGCAAGGACCAAGTGTGTGTGACTTGTGATGTGATACCACTCCATTTCCATTTCCAAATTTTGTACGTTTCTTTTAGGAAACTCGTAAAAAATTATATTATTATTCTGCTCACTGCCCACTCTTCTTTACCTATAAAAACACCACTCTCCTCTCCACTTTTCACATCCACACTGCAGACTGCACTGTGCTCTTCCTCTCTCTCTCTCTGTCTCTCAGTTTCCTTTTACCTTGTGCTGCTTTGTGTTTAAGATGAGAGCCCCATTGTCGTTGCTTAGTCTTCTTCTTGTTATCCAGTGCATCGCGCATGCAACTGAGCACAATGAAGCTTCAGTCCTTGACCCAGAGAGTCTCAATTTGGACACCGGTGGGCTGAGCAGAGCCAGCTTCCCCAAGGACTTTGTCTTCGGAACGGCGACTTCCGCTTATCAAGTCGAAGGCATGGCCCACAAGGAGGGTCGTGGCCCCAGCATTTGGGATGAGTTTATTAAAATTCCCGGTACTCAATTTTAATTAGTTCCATTTCTTTCATTTTTAACTGTTAATTATAATGCAATTTATTTATATTTGTATCTGAAGATTTTATTTTATTTTATTTCTTCTGGATATAGGAATTGTTGCCAATAATGGTACAGGAGAAGTCGCCGTGGACCAGTATCACCGGTACAAAGTTTTTTTTTTTTTTTTTTTTTTTTTTTTCTTCCAGAGAAAAGAAAAGTTTGGTTTTTTCAAATAAGATAAAGGACCATGAGCCAAGTGCCACACATGCCCAGACAGACAATCTACAGACACTTTATTATTGTGCCAAAAGACTTTTTAAGGTCCCCACTTGACATGGGATTACAAACAAAACTAAGTTGTAGAAAGATAACAGGGCTCGATTCAAAGTAGAGATTTGGTGTGGTTGATTTTATTTCTGGTTGAAAATATGAAAATGAAAAACTATTTTTGTTGTGACAGCAAGATGTTGATCTCATGGCAAACCTAAATTTCGATGCCTATCGGTTCTCAATATCATGGTCCAGAATTTTCCCAGGTAAATCATCCACTCTCTTTTTAATTATGTCACTTTTATTTTTAATTTGTTGATTTAATTCTTAATCTATGTATGTATAATGTAGATGGTACTGGGAAAGTCAACTGGAAAGGAGTTGCATACTACAACAGGTTAATTAACTACTTGATCAAAAGAGGTAATTAAATTATGTAAATCAGAACTTATGCAAATAATTAATTCATAGCATTGTGTGATTTGATTCTTATATGTGTTTTGTTTTTGTAGGCATTACTCCCTATGCAAACTTATACCATTATGATCTTCCCCTTGCACTTGAGAAGAAGTACTTGGGATTGTTAAATGACAAAGTAGTGTAAGTGCCATGACACTATCTAACTCAGAAAATCTATATCATATTTTCTGCTGTCCTCAGAGAATTAAATAGTCTGAGATGTGCTTCTAAACTTGGCAGGAAAGATTTTGCTGACTATGCAGAGTTTTGTTTCAAGACATTTGGAGACAGAGTGAAGAACTGGATGACCTTCAATGAGCCTAGAGTGGTGGCTGCTCTTGGCTATGATAATGGTTTCTTTGCTCCGGCACGGTGTTCCAAAGCATATGGAAACTGCACAGCTGGAAATTCATCCACTGAGCCTTATATCGCTGCTCATCATTTGATTTTATCACATGGAGCTGCAGTTCAGCGATACCGTGAGAAGTATCAGGTTAGAGAAACATTGACCTCCAACTTGATTCTTGAAATTAGTTTTGTTCTTAAATTTGTTGCTTTATGTTTTCAGAAAGTACAAAAGGGAAGGATTGGTATTCTCTTGGATTTTGTTTGGTATGAGCCTCTTACCAGATCAAAGGCTGACAACTATGCGGCTCAGAGGGCCAGAGACTTTCATGTTGGATGGTAAGAAACCTTAATTAACATGGCAAGCACTTGCCTACGCGTTTTATGTTCACGAATTCGATCCATTCTTCTCCGATTAACTAATTTTATCAGAGAAAATTCACAACTGAAATTGTGGGATTGGCTTTTAACTAACAGGTTCATCCATCCCATTGTGTATGGAGAGTATCCAAAAACAATCCAAGAAATAGTTGGTGATAGGCTACCTAAGTTCACCAAAGAGGAGGTTAAGATGGTGAAGGGCTCAATGGATTTTGTTGGCATCAACCAATATACTGCTTACTACATGTACGACCCACATCAATCAAAACCAAAGGTCTTGGGGTACCAGCAGGACTGGAATGCAGGATTTGCTTGTAAGATAAAGATACATACATACAGTCTTTACCTATAGATATGTTGTGATACAAATAATACATAAAAATGCTCATCTTATTTTCTTAACCATTCTGTATCTCGCATGCAATTTGCAGATAAGAAGAATGAAGTGCCTATTGGCCCTAGGGTAATTTACCATCCAATCCAAACACACGTTACTTCCGTTCACTTAAAAAGCATTATTATGAACTCACTGGTTTAATTTGACATGAGATGAACTGAACATCTGCAGGCATATTCTAGTTGGCTCTACCAAGTACCGTGGGGTTTGTACAAAGCTTTAACGTACATAAAAGAACATTATGGAAACCCACCAGTGATTTTATCTGAAAATGGTAGAGGGTCTTCTCATTTCTTTTCTTTTTTTCGTTTTGTTTTGTTAGAAGATGATCAATTGATGTTGTTATGATTTTGCAGGCATGGATAATCCTGGCAATTGGACACGTGCAAAGGGATTGCACGACACCACAAGGATCAAGTTCTACAAGAGCTATATCATTCAGCTGAAGAAGGCAGTTGATGAAGGAGCCAATGTGCTGGGCTACTTCGCGTGGTCATTGCTTGACAACTTTGAATGGAGGTTGGGATACACTTCAAGATTTGGCATAGTCTATGTTGATTTCAAAACCCTCGAGAGATACCCAAAAATGTCCGCCTACTGGTTCAAGAAGCTACTCACCAAAACCAAGCACTAGCTTCTAGTCTAGTATTGTTGGTGGGGAATAATAACAAATAGAAACCCCTCCCCTTATGCTTCTTGTCTGGTATTGTTGATGAACAAAATGTAATCTTTTTCCGTAAATTTAATTAACTAAGAACCTCTTGTTTTGCCAAATATAGATAAGGCCTCGTTTGGGCGGGTAGGATTGGATTAGAGCAACTCCACCTATTTGCCCTTTGCCATAGCAAGGGGGGGGCTAGGGCAGCCACTATTCAGGTGAATAGTGGTTGCCCTTGCAAAAAGCCATTTCCATTTCCACCCATTGTCATGACAAATGGCAATTACTATTCATTTTTTTGTTTTTTTTCACAAATTTTTTTACCTCAATAATTAATTTGAATAATATTTTCAGATAAGATTTTCGGGTTCTTACGTGTCAAGACTATTCATAATCGAATAAGATTTCCGAATGAGATTTTTGGGTTCAAATTTCAGATAAATTTTTAGGTTCAAATTTCGGATGAATTTAAAAATTCAAATTTCAGATAAATTTAAAAATTCAAATTTCGGATGATTTTCAAATTTCAGATAAGATTTTCATCCTATCAAATCAAGCCATGTAGCACATCTATCTGGCCAAAATTTTCTATAAAACCAGAGACTCGGCTTATACCTCTCACACCACATCTTTCTATATTTTTATTTCTCAGAATTTATAATTCATACTCCATTCTCAATGGAGGATTTGATGAGATGCTTGGAGAGGCGAGAGCGAGAAACAAATGAGAGAAGCCGTAGACGAGCTGAAAGGCAAAGGTTGCAGAGAGAAGAAGATGAACAAGTTGTCATAGCAGTGGATTTTTCCCGCTTCTATGGTTGTCCCTCGCTTTTGCCAAGACATCTCTCTATTTTGCCAACTCTTTATTGAGAATTTTCCACATACTAGACAATATCATTTCCGTACGAGTCGACCCCAAAATTCTTTCAATAAATTCGGCATGAATTTTTTTTCCACATATGACAAAATTTCATCTCATTGTCTGACATAGGACAATGACTAACTTGGAGCCAAGACTCAGACAAAAAAACATCTTCCATGGTGCTTCACGCCCCTTCTCTTTCGATAAAAGAAGCCATAAAGATAAGAAATAAAAATACAATTTGAAAGAGAGGAAAATGTTGAGTAAAGAGTGAATAATAGTAGAAGTTGAAGAAAATGTATGAGGATTGGTGTTGAAAGTGAAGGGTATTGATAGGTATTTATAGAAAAAAAAATCATAATTTTTTGGTTTTTTGGTTTTTTTTTCATAATTTTATTGCCAAAAAAATGCCAACCGTTGAACTGAAGGAGGAGAAGCAGATCGGAGTACCCATGCCTTGACACGTGGCTTCTAGCCGTTGGAGATTGCGCAGGGGTGACGTCAGCGCACGTAAGTTTAAATTTTTTTTACCGCGCGATGACGTCGCACCTAACGTCATCCCCCCTCAAGCGAAACTGGCCTTCGGAACTGGATTTTGGCTCACCTCCCCCCCCTCCTCGGTGAAATGACGCTTAAAAGATAATCCTACTTGGTGATCGTGGGATTCCTTTAATTTTTAAATTAAAGAAACAAGGCCTTTGATTTTTAAATTAAAGATACAGTTACACAAGGTTGGACTAGAGAGTTGAAAGGGGCCGCGCGAACGCAGGCCCCCACTAACACAAATTATGACGTTGGCTCTCCCACTTGGGGAGACCATAGGAGAGCACCCCTCCAAAGTGCAATGGAGGTCACCAACCTAGGCTATGGGCCTTCTTGATCGCCCATTGACCCCGTCCAGGTAAGTGAGAAATCTGGTTGCTTTCCTTGGCTTTTATATCTTCTACTTCCTGCTTCCCTTGCGTGCTTCTTCGATGTGGGATTTAAAAAACACATCCAAAGACAGCGCGCTCATGATTTACTCGTAGATTAGCCTTTCAAATATAGCAACAGCTCAACAAAAGTAGCCAAAAGTGTCCAAAAATAAAACAAGAAGGATAGAAATAATAATTTATAGAGAAATAAAGTAATCATACACGAGAAAAGAAATTCAAGATACTACTATTTTTATTCCCTGAACTCTTGAAGCTGCTTCTCTTCAACTTCTCATTTTTCACCATCCTTTTTGCCTTGGGAAGTTTAGAGTTTACACTTTCCTGAGACTCTGGAGTTACACACAAAATGTCTGAAGACTCTATCTCTGTCACCACTGAAACCTCTTCGCCAATGCTTTCTACATGTTCTAAGATAATATCATTTTTCCTTTTTCTGGAAGGAACATTGTTAACAACTTTAGGTTTGATGTTACTGGGTGAGACATTCGAGGTGTCCGAAATTTCCACCTCAGCTGCATTTGAAACTTGTTTAGTTTTGCTCCCTATTTGATCTGAGTGAACATCATCTTTCCGTTTCTTGAAAGGATTGTTGCGGCGAACCTTCAACGGGATGGTGTTGGGTGCTATTGTGGTCTCCACTGTTTCATTATTTGTCGATGGCACAATTAGCTTTGCAAGTGCTGCAGATTCATTCAAATACTTCTTTTCATTTGAAACAGGATTCTGCCTTTCTGTAGAACAAAAGTTTGGAATTTGAGTCAAAAACATCAGATTTCATTGTGTTGAACAACCTATAAGAAAGCGCAGGTGTGTTAAGTGGGGAAGAATTAAAGAAACTTGCCTGTAGGCCCTGTACTATCTTTCCCTCGGCTTTTATGGGAGGGAAAGCTTACAAAACAGCTATCTTCTGCAGATACCAGAGCAGTCTCAGGTCTCTGAATTTGACCAATATTTTGGCTCTTAATAGGTTCTTGATGATGTCTAGAAGCTGGGAAATGATCAAAGGCCTTCATATTTATGGGGTCCAAGTTTCCTTCAGCAATTGCAGTAGCTACTGATGGAGGCATTTCTCTAGTCCAATTTGTAATTGGTCAAGGAAAATAAATGCAGATATGGCAAGAACTATTTAACATCGAAATAAAAAGGGATTAGGAACAAAAAGATACGGTCCAAGGAAATCGAGTTCTCCATCTAGAGAATGCACAAGCTTTTCTGGAATGGCTTTCATATGTTTGACCTTTTTCTTTTCGGCATCAAATCTACATGGAAGTATAAAAAGGCCAGCAGGAGTCACTACTGTAAACAAATAGAAAAGGCCAGTATATTTATTACTCAGTGCTACTTTCATATTACTCACATTTGAGCATGCTGAAAAACTGCAACTGCTTCTTTGAAACATTTGGGGTAATCTTCAGGCATTTGATTGCCCTTCTGCGATTTCAAAACTGATAGAGCCTGCAAGCATGCCACCAATAAATGAAGCATGAGGCATCATAAACAGTTCTAAAATAATAGGAAAATAAATTATAAACATAAGATATTGAGAAAACATGTATGTATACATTCAATAATTATGTTGACATTTTAAGAAGCTGTACTGCACACTTACACGATCTAAGTTACGATACTTTGAAACCAAGGCATAAGCTTTTGCAATCCCAATTCCATGAACTGATGGAAGGAAATCACAGCCGGCCAAGACACACATACCTGTAAAAATGCCAGATTATAAGCTGGTTCATGCTGTGGAAATGCTTATTAGAGCCATTGAGATATGTTCTATCTTCATGACAATAGAAACATGTTTCCAAGACTGAAAGCAAGCCTAAAATAAAATTTTGGTTGGAAAAAAGGGATGGCCCTGTATCAAGGGAACAATACTCAATATCAGTGTGAGGTGCAGAAGTTACTTATACAAAAGTAATTTATGTTGTACACATTTGTTACTGTTTCAGATGATGGATGACTCAGCTACATAGATGTTTTCATTTAAAACATACGTATATAAAAGAGCTCCAGTGTCAGATTGAACTAACCTGTGAATAATTCCTGATCAAAATTTTGGAAGGAAGGTGTACGGCCCACTGGATTAAAAACATTCTCCAGTACCATCTCTTCACCGTTACCATATTGGTCCATCTTAAAGACAACCTGTTTGCAACCAATGCAAATCAAAACAAACAAAACAGCAGCAAGTTCAATGATACATGATCAAAATGAAGTCATCAGGAGAGGATTTGACCTCTATTCATATCAAAATTTCATGGAGATTCTTACAGCTTGGCAACCATATGCCACAAGATCACTATCCTCTGTAATCACTGCAGCAATTCCACCCCTCTCTGCATCGAGATTGGACAGGAATGCTAGCTGTGCATCAGCCTCATATGGAGCCACTACAAATTCAATATTCTCTGATCTCAGAATCTGAAAGGCCAATAGTGCACAAAATTACGCAGGACTCAGGGTTGGGTTTGAATCCAAGAATTAAAAAAGAAATGAAAGGGCCCTGGTATCATAATTGAATTAGAACTTTGCAGGAAAACAGAATATGCATCAAGCAAAGTACCTGTATTAGTTGATGTGCCATAGATGGAGTTACACTCACTGCCCTCTACAAGTGAAGAAACAAACACAGTAGATAATTCAGACATATACAACGTTTTTTTTTGGTCGAAATATATACATATATACAACGTTTAAGGACAAGAAAAACTGATGTCAAAGATGAATTAGCACTCAACATAATGCGGAGAAATTATGATCTCATAATAGAACCCCAATTGAACTTTGAACACTTTCTATGCCTACCATGTTTTCTGAACTTCCCATAGAATCTTGAGTTAATAGTTTGGAGGAATGATAAATCACGTTAGCTAGTCACGATAATTGTAAGTTTCAAAACTAAGCAATGAGTAAAAGAAGACAAAGCAATACATAACTCCTAGTGATGTCTTCAGCTCAAAGTTTATGCAGCTGACTACATCCAAGATTCTAAATAACACAAACCCAATTCATTTCTGAAAATGAACTGGTCAGAAGAAGGGCATAAACAACAGTAAATGATTTATGATATAGGATCTAGATGTGCAACACACTTGGTGAACAAAATTAAATAAATACCTGGAAGAGCTCAGTGGCCGCTCTAATATCCCCTTCCTTAAATTTTGCCATTGCCAAATCATGATTAGTCTTTCTTCTCCTGAATCAGTAGCAAGTTTGTGCATTAATAACATGAACACGGTTTAAAAAGAAAAATAATAATAAGATGGAAAAAAAAACGGGTATTGTGGAAACGTGCCTGTGGCGCTCTTCTGCAGTGGCAGCCTTACATGGTACATTGCCACCATCAAAGACGACTACTGGGGTTATCTTATGGTGACGAAGCAGATTTATTCGATGCATAAAATAATCTATGTATTTCAATTTCCTTTCGCTATTTGAATTCATACAAAGCTCCAAACTACATGAATATGCTGCAGAAAAAAATAATAACATTAATAAATAGATAAACCAATGAAATTTCATCACCCAACTGACCCAAAAGGAAATCGAAGCAGCATGTTTACCTCCTTTGTGAAGCCATGAATAGGCGTCGATACCCACCTGCAAATAAATTTACAAAACACTCACATTTCAGTTTGAGAAATAAAATGGAATGATTATAAGAGAGACCCAATTCAGAATCAAACTGAGAAAATCGAAAACTAAAACATGGGATTGCTACTTACGCGCTTGCCGGCATATTTCTTTATATGAATGGGTGCAATATAAGGTTTCATGAATCTGAGAAGATCTTTGATACCCATTTGGTTGTTGCTCCTTCACCTCTGGGTTTAGGGTTTTTCCTTTTTCTATTTTTAGGTTTTCTGGGTCCTCTGACTTTTTATTTTTTAAAAAAAATTATAAATTTTTGCTTTGTAAGAAATGAAGAAACGAAGAGCTTAATGTTAAGAGAAAACGGCGGGAAGAGGAGCAAATGGCGAAGTGAGGAGGCAACGACACAAAATTGCAAATTTGATACTGAGAGCTAAACCCAACAGGTCTGTTGGTAAATGCTTCACACAAACCAATGAGAGATGGCCACGTTGGCGTGAGGATGAAGAAAAGTTTCTTCAAGTTGAAGTGGCGGAATAGGATTGGTTTGGTGATTTTGGACGGCTTTCGGCTCTTCTTCTTTTACCGCTAAATTTGGTTGAAAACTCCCGCGCTTTCTTTTTGAAAAATGTTTCGTGTATGAGTTACGCTGAAGCCCAACAATGGAACGACGCAAAAGCCCAATAATCTCCAGGACCCCAAGCGTCCTGTGTGGGGTACTGGGTCGAGTATGGGCTACACAACAACACACCAAAAGTTTTGACCAATAACAGAAGCCCAAATTTACTTTGTTCTTTAAGATTTTGATCTCATTTTTTTATTTTTCATTTATTTTAATAAAAATGATAAGTTAAACTACGCTAAATTAATATAATCTAAGATGAGGGAGATTCAAACTTGGGTACAAGGGGACATACTCACTGCCTAACCAAATGGTCTAACCATCGTATACCCGAATAAATGTACTTTTATAATTGATTCAAGTTTCGGACGCAATTCAAATTTAGAAGAGTTTTAACAGTTAGTAACATGTGATGTGATGTGATTAGATAGATTCATCAAAACACACAAGTTGAGTAAGATAGACAACAAAATATCTGAGACTTGTATTATTTATTGAGGATATAAACGCCACATGCTTCCTATCCTTCCTGTATATACAGATTTGTTTGAGCTCCCATATATTACACAAAACTATCTTGCTTCTTATATATAGCGAAATTGCACTATATATCACAAGATTTCCAAACTCCAGGAACCTTCATGACAAACATAATTATGGAGCTGGTCTCAAATATAAGGGTACATAGCTTTCTGGGTTTGGCTCCCAATCCCATACTGAAAAAGCACTTGAACACTTCATCCATCTTCTTGTCATATCAGGGAAATGCCTATCAATCACATCCTTCAAAGTCTCTGTCTTGTTAACCCATTCAAGGCCTTTCTCTGTGTATGTTTTGGAGTTGAAATTGGTTGTGAAGAAACGATCAGCTTCTAGCCTCCTAAAAGTACATCACCAAATATTCAGACAGAAAAACAAAAGAAATGCAGGCATTTTGTTTAATTTGCAAGGTGGGGTTTTGAGCATGTATTATATACCTTGATGCAATAAGTAGAAAGATGAAGAAAGCTGTCTCACTAATGGCAAAGCCCTTTATCTTCTTCTCTGCATGTAGACCCACTTGCAAATCAAGCTTCTCAACATCATCTCCATACACCTCCTTCAGAGCCTCAACAACTTCTTTGTCATCCGTCAAATCTTCCCACTTGTTAATAGGAATCATCAGCAGGTTCCTTCTGAACTCGTTGTACCGGGCAACTCCTCTCTCTCTGTCTCTATAAACTAATAACCATTCATGATTCAAGAGTTATGAGACAAATATTCAAACCTCTTAATAAACCGTGTTCTAAAATAAAGGCAAAAGGAGAATTTGAAAGCAAGAAATATAGTTTACTTTCTAATGCAGCCATATCAACTGGATCGGCTCTATCTTCTCCATTAACATCATGTGCAATGAGGTTCCTCATCCATGATGGATAATTCCATAATGTGACAGCTCCACATGCCTGGTGACCCATCGATACGAGCATCTGCTCCATTCCAATTGTCGACAGTCTTCGTTCTCCCTCCTTACCCGCCATATCTCTCATAAGTACCCTGTAACATATCAGCAGCCAGTCATGCATCCCAGTCATGCATGTGCTTTCATTGTGGCCTTGCAACATTTAATGACTACTCTATAAAGCAGCACCAAGGAACAAAGTAACAGGACATATCAATATCTAAATGCTTATTTTGATATTTGCTTTGCATAAAATGCTAAAGCTAGGTCTTTAAACAGAAACACAAAAGAAAAAGACACTGAAAACTTCACCCTCATGCTGCCTTTATGGAAATACAGAGTGAATTAAGACGGGAAAGAGAGATATGTACTCTTCTAGTATTGGAGGACATTTGTCTTCTGAAGCTGTTGACTCAATGTCCCTAAGGATGAGTTTATCTGGTAGCAGGGCATGCATTCTGTACACACTTACAAACTCTTCGGTCAGCGAATAGGGAACTCCATGATCTCTCGGCTTCTTTAGGCCAACCAATCCACTAAGTATTGGTCCTAAAATATGTCCATGTAAATCTTTAAATCTCTTCCCCAGAAATCCATACCTTCAACAGAAACAATCAATCAAACTCTGATTTTCAAAGAAAGCTGGGCTGGAAAGAAATAAACAGAAAAATTTGACTGGCCTGCACATCATCCATGTTGTAACTTAAGCTCTTTCAACAGGAGAAGGCAAGGCAGCCTACTTTAACATTGTTGCTTCCAAATATGATTCATTAAATTGGTTAGATTATATATCTTAATCAATTTCATTAATTACCAGTTGATCCTCATCCCTGCCAGAAGAGTATCAGTCTTTAAGAGCTCTACAGTCCAATCAATTGTGTGGATTTTAGCAATGACAGCTGAAGTGACCAGTCTTGCATGCCTGTACAGCTTCTCATCATCCAAATCAGGGTAATGTACCTAAACAATTTTACAACACATATGATTTACATTGATCAAATCCTGCTTGCAAATGTGTTATGCAAAGCCAACAGATAAACAAAATTTTGGGATAGTCTTTTTAAGTTATATATATTCACATAACAGTAAGGAAAAAATAAAAAGAGAATAATTAAATTAAGATGAACTTACTTTTAGCATATCACATACAGCATTATGTTCTTTGACAAATAATGCTTGCAGGAGGGAGAAGCCAGCCCAGCAATTTCGAACATCGCCGGAGATAGGAATGCCATTCTCATCGTGCTCTAGAAGGCCGTCTCCTGAGATCTTCAACTTTCCATCTTTGAATGTCCTTACTCTTTGCATGCCCTCCATGTTATTCCCATAAATTACACTCCCATCCCTGTTCACCACAGAATCAATTGCAGAAATTGAATGTTGGACTTAATTAGAGTTACAAAACAAAAAACAAACAGATCAATACTTACCACCAGGGAGTCCTTGCATTCAAGCAATCCGAGTCTGAAGAAGTTGAAGCCGTGGGAACTTTCTTGGTCTTATAAAACTTGAATGATTTCAGAGGGCACCCTGTTGCAATTTCTTCAGGAGCTTTAATTTCCACCTGTACTTCCACAACCAACCATAAAATTAGAATATTCTCTAACAAGAAATTAATCAATCAATCAAAAAAGTGTTCATATATATTATACCTGCTCAGTGTCCTCCAAATGATCAACCCAATCATGAATCATGAATTGTATCCATGAACAGGCTATCATGTTGAACTGCTTCCCATTGTCTACGAATTTCTTCCTGGCCAAAAGCTTGGAGGCTACAATTGCAGGGTGAGGCTCCAGCAACTGTGCAAAATTAGGAAATTATTTACCACTTAAAATAGAAAAAAGGGACAGAAGGCCAAACTAACAGAAGAAGCATGCATTAATTCAAAATATGAAGAGAAGATAGTAGATGTAGTGAGGAGTAAGCCTTTACCCCATAGGGTGAGGTTGAGGGAGGCATGTTGCGACCGAAACAGGTTCCTTGGCTCCCGACCAAATGATCATGAGGGTGATTGCATGTCCCATCAGCCGTTCGATAGGACAGTCTTTCGGTATCGTATTTCTGACCGTTGATTCTTCCTACATGCGAAAGATTGTAACGCTGGTGCAAGTGCCTTCTGATACCCAAGTAAGCAAGTCCCATCAAAACTGGTAGTCTGTGCCATATTCCCAGCTTGTCCACAAAATGAATAACCTGATTCAAATGTATTCATTATGAATTCATTCATATATAAGAGAGAGAGAGAGAGAGAGAGAGAGAGAGAGAGAGAGAGATTACATAGAACAACAAGGTGTCAAGGAGAGTCATTTTGGCTACAATAGGCTGGAGTTGGGGATGAACGAAGGTAGAAGAAGAAGAGAGAAAGAAGGCCATATTTGCTGTTTCTATATATGGAAATGGAATTAATAATATGGTTCTTGTTAATTCTTTCTTCTTCTTTTCTTTCTCTTAAAAAAAAAAGATGCAGAGAGTACTATTATTACTATATGGTGAAAGGGATGTATCAAAGAATTTAAAAAGAGACGGGTTCTTGATTGCTGCATGCGCCAACCAACCAGTTACAGCTTACAGCTTATGATCCATCCTGTGTCTTGTCAATGTTCAGAAACTACTCTTCTCTATCTTGTCACTCTCTGTATCCTTATATTATATGGAAATGAAAATGAGAAAAGTTGAGAAGTTGAAGCTCTCTCTCTCTCTCTCTCTGATCACCTACTAGTCTACGCCATATCAGAAAGAAATGAAAATAAAATGATTTAAGTTTATGGAATTTCTTGCTCAACTTATTTTTGAGATTAGATCATGTGTTACGACTCGTTTATCTAGTATCATGCTATTCATGCCTTATTCTTCCACCCACATATTTATACGATGATATATATAGTTGTGCCGTATTTATTGATCTCATCCGCTTACATAATAATTAATTGGGGCATTCTGAGATCGCATCTCATCATCATGTCTGTAAACTATGTAATTCAATAAATTCCACATGATCTTCTTGGCAATAATAAAATTCAATTCTACATAATCAGAAGTCAAATGTACAAAATAAATAAATAAATATGCCCCTCGTAACGTATGTAACGTTTCATAAATGCTCATACCTAACTGTATCTGTATGTTTGGTGCATTGCACACGGCTATGGTCATCTCTCTGTGTCTGTGTCACTGGGGAATAAATATAAAGAAAATCAGTTTCAGTTTAACATGAGCATCAGCTTACAATCTTATTACGTGTGTATATTGTTGACGGTGCCAAATCTCACAAGTGTTTGACATCACTACATCACCACACTACGTGCCCTAATCTATCTATATATATATATATATATATATATATAAAGCAAAAGGCAGAGAATGGTGAAACATTCAAAATGCAAAAAATATCATTGGTTAATCCAAACATTAAGAATTAAAATTATTAATTAAATGAGGATAATATGGTAAATTCACACTTTTTCATATTTTAAAAATTAAAATTAAAAGAAAAATCAGATAATGAATCCTATTTTTATGGAACACAACTACCCATTATCTTTTTTAATTCTAAAATAAATTTAATTTTTTAATATAAAAAAAGCCTCTCATTTATTTTTATTTTTTTAAAAGCCTCTCGAAGGCACGGAAGCGCGTGCGGAGAGGCTAGTATATATAAAGTAAAAGATAGAGAATGATAAAACATTCAAAACACTATAAAATGTCATTAGTTAATGTAAACATTAAGAATTAAAATTATTAATTAAATTAGGATAATATGGTAAATTTACACATTTTCATATATATAAAAATTTAAAGAAAAAGAAAAATCAAATAATGAATCTTATTTTTATGGAACACAACTACCAATTATCTTTCTAAAATAAATAAATATATTTTTTATAAAAAAAAACTTTCGCAGGCGCGGAAGCTTGTGCGGAGAGACTAATAATAAGTAATATGAGTGGCAAAATATATTTTATTTTTTTATTTGGGAAAATGTGTTCATCTTCCTGACCAACTAGCTAGAAAGTTTGTTCTTTCCGAAATTTAAATCCCCCTTACCGTAAATTAGAATAATTTCAAGCATCTCTACATTAGAATAATTTAAATACAAATTTATAAATAAACCCAATCCTAGACATGTATTTATAAAAAAACCCAAACACTATTTAAACATAGAAACACACCCAAAATCAACCCCAAAATCAACAATTGTATATTTTTTGGGTGTGTTTATAAATGGGTTTTGAGTGTGTGTAATGATGGGTTTTGGGTGTGTTTATAAAGTGTTTTGGGTGTTGGGTTTTTTTATAATTTCAGCTCCCATTTTGGGTGTTTTAGTGAAACTCCCTAATTTAAACTTTGTTTTCAATTGTCACAACTAAATTTAATTTTCCATTGCATAAAAGCGAAACAGTTGATTGGTATATATCTGCTTCGGCACGGTTTGATGTTATATTCATGTCCCAATCCCATTAATCTTTAATTGGGTTCTTTTATTGTATTACCCTCATATAATAAATGGTTATATTTCTTAATTATTTTTATTAACATAAAAAACGATATATTTGTTTGGATAATAGAAAAGTTTTTATCATCGGTTTGGTTTGGGCAGAGGCGGAATCCAAGATGAGGTTCGATTGCATCCTACAAACACAAGGCCCCAAATTAACAAAAGAATAAACAGAAACTCAAAAGCCCATATTTAAACCCAAGCATTTGTTGGGCCAACAAACTCCAACTTGGAAAGCGGTCGCGTCTTTATATAACCCACAATTTAACTCGCAAAATAATCATTCGTTAGTCGTTATTACGCGGAACGCCCCCGCCTCTCAGACTCGCAATGTCTCTCACCGAAAGCGAAGAGGACCAGTTGTCCGGCAGCGATAGAGAAGAAGAAGAAGAAGAAGAAGAAGATGACGACGAAGATTTCGACGAGGACATGGAAGCCATAAGGCGTGCCTGTATGCTCACCGGCACGAACCCCGACGACCTCAACCCCAACAACAACAACCAAGGCGGCGACGACCTCCGCCACTCCTCCGGTTCAGAGTCCAAATCCGACTCCGACGAAGTCGACGATGACATTGAGTTGCTCCGGAAAATAAGGAGTCGATTCTCCAATATTTCCGATTTTTGCGAGCCTCTGTCTCTGAAGCCTTTGAGTTCATTGCCGCCTGCTGTCTCCGACGAGGAGGAGGACGATTATCAAACGCTTCTTTCCGTTCAGAAACGTTTCGCAGCCTACCAAAACGGTACTTGAAATTCAATGTATACACATTTGTTTTGTTGTCTTTGTGTGCATCAATTTTGCTGTTGTCATATTTTTGCAATTTTCATCTGCTCGTCGTCTACAATTTTATTGCACCTCAGAAAACTTGATTGTTTTTGGATTTTCAGATACTTGCAAACCAGTGAAGGAAACTTGCAATGAAATTGCTCATGAAAGTTCTCAGGGTACTGAAGATGCATGTATGGCCATCCATCCACTGAGTGACAATGCTGAGGGACAGCCTTCCGCTTCGATTGAGTTGCAACAATCTGATTCTTGCAGGCCATCTACGTTGCCAGCCAAATACTCAACCTTCCCAAAGTCTGCTCAGGTGTTTATGGATGCCATTAAGAAGAATAGGTCCAGTCAGAAATTTCTCCGGAGTAAGTTGGTCCAAATTGAAGCAAAAATTGAGGAGAACAGAAAACTGAAGGAACGTGTCAAAATCCTTAAAGACTTTCAAGTTTCTTGCAAAAAACGAACAGGGGAGGCATTGTCCCAAAAGAAGGATCCTCGTGTCCAGTTAATTTTGGTGAACAGGCCAAGGAAGTTTAGGGATTTAAAGGTTAGTTGCTCATTTGTTTACTAGCTTTTTAAGTTTTTTTTTTTTTTTTTTTTTTTTTTTTTTTTTTTTTTTTTTGGTATATAGTTATCTACTTTAGATTGAGAGGGTAGCTGGTAGGTAAGTATTCTAAAGCTGCACATAATTCCTTCGGGATGAACAGAGGGAAAGGAAATACCTACATTGGCTAGATTACTAGCTTTTCTCTATAGGATTTACTTCTTTGAGCTGACTTTTATAGGATTGCATGGGCATTTGCAATAGTGTTCTGATTGGTTTCTGCAAAACTTTTGCCTTGTACTATTGATATTTTTAGGCTTCCTTCTAATGCCGAGGACACCTATTATTTCTGCAGGCTCATGACAAAAAGATCTCAGCTATGTTTTATGGCCCAGAAGAGAATTCTCATGTTGCTAACTACAGAATGACATTGACGAAATTTCTGCATTCATTAGATCGAAAAAAATGGTCAAAGGCAGAAAAGAAAGCCCTTGAAAAGGGAATAAGACAACAATTTCAAGAAATGGTGCTTCAGTTTTCTGTACATGAATCGAGGTTTGTTCTGTCTTATTTCATCATTTTTTATGGCATGTTTCATTAATTTTTTAAGTGCTCTGTCAAACTTATGTGATTGATTATGGTTTATAGGAGAGTGGAAATGTGAAATACTTTTGTTTGACTTGCTCCTTCTTGGCTGAATAAGAAAGGAGATTTCTTTTTTTCTTTTGGGAAAAGAAAACATGACTATCTTGACTGCATTGTTTTATTTTTTATTTAATGAAACTTCACATTGTTTCTTAAACATGCCTTCCCTAACTACATATAATCCTTGACAGTTGTTCTGAGAGACCTTATGGGGACTCTAATCATATCGATGACATTTTGGCTTCAATCAAAGATCTTGAAATTACCCCAGAAAAAATTAGAGAATTCCTGCCTAAGGTTAACTGGGAGCAGTTGGCTTCCATGTATATCGTTGGTCGTTCTGGTGGAGAATGTGAAGCAAGGTATGAGCTTTTGTAATGGTACATTTTTTTTATGCCATTAAACTTTCTAATTAATCTATTCACTTCATTTTTCTAAGTCACGCAAGAGATGTAAAATTAGTTTATTTGTGTCATCATGTTGACATACATAAATACATAAATAGATAATATGTTTCTGAATCTCTTGTATGTTTCAAAGTTCAGATCAATATCGACACCTTATTGGCCAACACTTCTTTTTCCGTTTTTTTATTTTTAAGAATAGTTATGATTTCAATTTTTTTTTTCAACCTTGGGAAGAGACCTTATGTCTAGGGGCTGGGCTGAGTATATGATTTGTCACACTTATAAACATTGTGTTTACAATTTTACAAAAATTAGTCAGTAATCTATACTGAATCAAAATAATAATGTTCGTTTGATGAACGACTAAGATTGAGTGAGCAACTGAGTTCAAGGGGTTTGTCACTCCTGTGCGGTTCATCTTCATTTTGTTTCACGTCTCAACCTGTGCGGTTCTTGACTAGCGTTTTTGTCTGTATTGATTTTCCTGAAGCATTCGTATACTTCAATGAAGCGAGTTTTGGCAGACGTCTATGGGGTCACCATCACAGACACGTTTATCATTGTTGGATTTGATAAAAAATGCAAGGTCAGCATAGGTCATAAAAGGTGGGACCCATACATGACATGTGCTTTACTCAAAACAGTGGTGTTGATCGCGTCTGTGATGATTGCCATCACAGATGTCTGTGACGCTATCAGTAACTTGTATTTATCTGACCACAATAACGATTATCACATGGTCATCTTTTCTTTAGTTTCTTTTAGCTTGATTTATCTGATTAATCCTTGCAGGTGGTTGAACTGGGAGGATCCTTTAATTAATCACAAATCATGGACTGTGAAGGAGGACAAGAATCTTCTGCATCTTGTCCAGGAGAAGGGGATTGATAATTGGTTTAATATTGCAGTATTGTTGGGGACAAACAGGACTCCGTTTCAGTGCTTGGCACGCTATCAAAGGAGCCTAAATGCTTCCATACTGAAACGGGAGTGGACCAAAGATGAGGATGCAAGACTTCGCTCGGCTGTAGAAGCTTTGGGTGAAGGTGATTGGCAGTCTGTAGCTTCTGCTTTGGAAGGACGAACTGGTTCCCAATGCTCTAATAGGTTAGTTTTCTATGAATGTTTCTTATTCAAATTTTGAAGCTGTCTATTGCTGACTTGGGAAGTTCATTACATATTATTCTTTTGATATTGAAGAAAGAGCATGGTAATTCCCGTTGAGGAGATATGCAAGTTGAGTTACTTTCTGAATAGACATTGAATATTCTGTAATATAGATGGCTAAATGTTTTGGGGTTAGGTTGAAGTTTTATTGTTGCACCACCAAGGATTATGTATTTCACTTGATAGTTCATGCTCTATTCTTTTTTCTGACACAAGTTTTCTGAGATGGAAAAGTTTATGTTTGGTAGATTTAAAAAAATTACTTTGTAGAACATTATTTTCTATATTATATTTTGCTTATGGCTTCAACTCAACACAAACACTGGAAAAGTCTTCTTGTTTTTCCTCGTGGAAAATCTTATAAAATTAATCCATTCTTTGCATTCATAGGTTCCCTCTATTAGAATCTGGTTTTATTCTGGCAGCATTTTCTGAGCCTCATTAATGGTAATGATAATTTTTCGTACTGTACAGATGGAAGAAATCTCTTCATCCAACCAGGAAAAGAGAAGGTAGGTGGACTCCAGAGGAAGACAAACGTCTGAAAGTGGCTCAAATGCTCTTTGGCCCCAAAAATTGGAATAAAACAGCTCAATTTGTGCCTGGTCGAACTCAGGCACAGTGTAGAGATAGGTACAGCACCACATTCTGAAGTTAAGTAGAAGCTACCAATTTAAGAAAATTGTTAATTTTCAATTTATGTTGCAGATATGTCAACTCTTTAGAACCTTCTTTGAAGTGGGGTGAATGGACTGAAGAAGAGGACTCAAGATTGAGAGAAGCCATTGCAGAATCTGGATATTGCTGGTCCAAAGTTGCTGCATGTGTGCCTAGACGTACTGATAATATGTGCTGGAGGTACAAGGTCCTGATTATGTCAAATTGTTTTATTCATTTATTTTGTTGCCTGCACTTATTTTTTCTGACTTTCATTTTGGGCAGGAGATGGAAGGTGTTATTTCCAGATGAAGTGTCCTTGCTCAAAGAAGAGAAAAGAATAAGAAAGGCGGCTCTTATGTGCAACTTTGTTGATCGGGAGACAGAACGTCCAGCCCTTGGCCCTAATGATTTTCGTCCACCAATTGTTACTTCAACCAAAACTTTAACTTATTCTAGGAAGCAGAAAGGAAAATTAAGGTATAATGTTCAAATACCCAGAAAATTATGTTTTCCCAGTAAATTTTTACAATTTTCCCCTACCTATTTTATGGTGAAGCAAACACAACATATTTCCACGAGTTTCCTTAGAATTTTATATTTCTTGTATTAACAAGTGGAGAATGCATACAATATTGCCTCATTTCACTCCTGCTTTACTCATGCTCACCATATATACCTTTTGTACAATGCAGCAAAGTTTCGAAGAAGATTAGATCCAGGAGGCAAAGAAACAATAGTCAAAGTTGTTCCAAGGTATCTGAGATAGATAATTTTGATAAGGTTGAGACATGTGATGGACATGATGCCTCAAATACGAAGAATAAAGTTCGTAAACAGCGACGCATAAGGCACAAAGGTACTGAACCAACAGGAGAGTGTCAGGTTGTTGTAACTCTTCCTTGTGAGCAGGATACACACAAAGAACCTAGGGAAATGTCTTGTTCAGATCAGATTGTAGGAACATCAGATGGAGATGATACTACACTTGCTTGCTTTCTACGCAATAAATCAAAGAAGAGAAATCTTGGGCCTGTCCCCTCAATCAATGGAAAAAAGAAGAGAAAGCTTGTAGCTTCGGATTCTGCTGTTCAGGAGTGCCCCGCAAACAGTATACAGAAGGGATCTGAAGTGCATCCTGAAATGGATGAAGTTTGCGATGGAAATCAAATAGTCTCTTTCCGGAAAGATGAAGAGTTTATGGTCCATTGTGATGATAGAATTTCAGACAGAATGCCACCTTGCAGTGTGCAGTCTAGTCATTTGAATGGTAACATCATGGCTAGTGACAATGAGCCTGATGGACTAAAGTTAGTCAGTGGGTGGAAGGCTGGCTTACAAGAACCTGTGAGGAAAGTGGTGGGCATTGATCCAGAAAGTGATGGTGATACTGATGATTTTGTTCTTGCTTCCTTGAGGAAAAAGAAATTGAAGAAGAGGCACCCGCAAACTGCCAAAAGCGGTCCTCACGCTTGCCCTCCCTCGGGTGTAATGACAAGATCAGAGCCGCTTCCAAAAAGAGTAGATCAGTCTAATGATCGAAGCCAAGTGCCCTTTGTGGCTGTTGGTAATGAGCCTGGTGCAGTAGATATAGGAAAACAACATGGGGTTGATCATTGTGAAACTGTGAAGGAAATAGTGAACATTGGCGCAGAAGGTGATCATGAGGCTGGTGATACAACACTTGCTTGCTTTCTGCGAAATAAATCAAATAAGAGGCAGCGTCAGTCTCGCAGAGGTGATAACCAGAAGCCAAGGTGATATTTGAAGTTTTCATCTATGCGTATAAAAAAAGGGCCATGATAGTAGCCATATAAAAGTTAGTGCAACTGTAGAATACGGAAGTCAAAAAACTGGTTACGCAATGTTTGGGACCATTTTATTGCAGGCAGGCAAATCATTGAAAAGGATTTCTAATCATCTTTGCTGGTGACAATGAGCCAGCTAAGGCAGTTTTGTTGAAGTTATCACCAGCTCGTGAGGACATGGAAAAAAAGGTAAAGTGTACTACAGCATATACAGAGGATTTGGACCTGGGATTCTTGCGTTGGTGATGCTACTACGGCGCTTGTGTTAACCTCGATTGCTCACATTAGCCAAAAATATTATTAAAAATAAATAAAATTGGAGCTTTTGTAGGATTCTTTTTATCTGCGAAGTCTTGTAAGATGTACGTATAATTTTCTTGGTTGCCTTGAGCGACCAATTTTGATGAGTTACAGCTGTACAGCGACTATTCATTGAAAAATATAAATTTTCTTACAATTTGAAGAATGGTGCCATATTTGATGTTAGTAAATGTTTTTAGTTTTGCGTAGCAGTCGTAACGGTGTGAATTTCGTTTGTTTCTTGAATGCGAAGGGGAAAACGGGAAAGAATTCAGAACTCTACTTTCGGCGTTTTATAAGTTGCATTGATTTTCCACTCCCTTTTTTTTTCCACTTACACTCCTTTTATTTTTTTAATACTTTTTATTATAACAAAAAAGGAAATATAAAGGGACAAAAGAAGAGTACGAATATATAATTTCTAACAAATGAATTGTAAATTATAACAAAAAAGGAAATATAAAAGGACAAAAGAAGAGTACAAATATATAATTTCTAACAAATGAATTGTAAGTGCTTGTTTGACATTGCTTATTTGGAATGATAAGTGACTTTTAAATTTTTTTGGGAAGCCTAGTCATTTGGTAAACTATGAGAAAATCACGTGCTTTCATCTTTTGATTATGCGGAAATCAGTTTCGAAGAAGCCCTAGGTTTAATGATTATGCGAGAATCACTTTTTGATTATGCAGGAATTAGTACCAACACCACTTTTAACAAAAAAATTTAATAAACGCTAAACTGCTTTATCTCACAGCTGATTTCTCTCATAGCAAATCTGACAACGATTACTTTCACAGCACATCAATGCCAAACTGGGCACAAAAGAGTAATGGGTAAATCAGCTCTTCTTCTTATTTAAGAGTTTACCTCAGTGCTGTAACGTTTATATTAACATAATCAGCATGGGGTTATTTTGGTTCAATTTCATTTTAAGTCTCACAATACGATCAGCAGCATATCATATCAGACCAGGTGTTATATCATAGTGATGTTAAAATCGTGAATTAGCATCACCTCAATCTCCAAAAAAAATACAAGACTACGTTGGCAGGCAGGGCATCGAAATATGTTACAGTGAATGAACTCTAAAAATAACTGACAATATACATGCGCTAAAATGCAACAATTATTATGTATTCGATCAGTTTAGCAAATAAGCTCAAAATTAAGCTTCACTAAAGCTTCACTAAAGAAAAACTCGATCAAGCCGCTTGCAAGCAGCACTCAAATGCCACCGATAGCTAAAAACTTGACCCCGTTGGGTAAATGTTTCGTGACATCTCGCCATGGCAGTAATCACATTAACAATGTTAACTAATATGGAATTTGATTATCAAATTCAATGCTTAACTGAGGATGAAAAGCCAATATAATATCTTAATTTGAAAACCGAAGCTCAAAATAACGAGGCCTCAAAGCCTATAGTCAACATAATGATAAAATCCAACATGTCCAACATTTCCAACAAAAACCTAAATAAACTTTAAAGCAACTACAAGAACCAAAAAAAGTAACTGACTGTTCTCGATAACATAGGTCCTCGAGGAGAATATTACTCCCAAGCTTTTTCTAGTAACGGCCAATGCCCCAAACTCTGATTACCCCATCGGAGTAGCCGCTAAACAAGGTGCTCCCATCGGCACTCCAGTTCAAACTTGTACAGTAAATAACCTGCAATTCGGAACAAAAGTTAAATCGACAGAATCACAAGTTATATAATTGTCTACAAGTAGAAAAAAACAAAATCACATGATAAACCCAAAAAAAAAGGAGCCCTAATATTAACTAGAGGCACATTGCAGATGACATGGCCACTCTAGGATCTGCCTAGATTAGAGACATGGTAATAAAAAGAATGTACACCGCCTCCTCCTCCAGCAAGAGCCTGGAAGAACCTCACTCCAAAACAGCAGATCCCTTTCATATAGGGAAACAACCAACCACATTAACCTTCACTTGTTGATCCATTTTCAATAGAAAAAAACACAAACAGTCAATTTAGCCTTCCCTTGTAGCTGGCTTGTCAATTTCAAAATTTGCAATACATTTTTCATAACCATGTACACAATAAAAATTACACAAACTCATCGCCTACATGACCAACTTGCATTAGACCTATTTCTATAACCCCCATCCCTCCCACTTCTCTCAAATCTAAACCCTTTTAAATTCCAAACCATTTGTTTCTGCTTCACAAGAAACAAATCATCAAACAACGCACTGCAAAACAAGGTATGATCAAACAATCAACATATTTTCTAAAACAATGCACTGCAAAACATGACGAAAGGCAGAATGAATACCAAATGGAAAAAATTATCTATAAGCAACATAATCGCATATGGAACACAAGGCAGAATTTGATCAATTAACAAAATTGAAAAATCAGAAATATAACCAGTAGATAATAAAAAAAACAACAGAAAAAGAACACGTATACCTTCTTCTTGTAAGCAGTAGCAGCATGGGTATCCTCTGTCTTCTCAGCCTCAGTTTTGAGATCAACCTTCAAATCCTCAACGATTTGCTTGCTCTCCAAATCCCAGATCTTAATGCTTTGTTCAGTGGCCGCGCACAACCAGTACCTGTTGGGACTGAAGCAGAGAGCGTGAATAATAGCACCAGCACCAAGTGAGTAAAGCATCTTGCCTTCTGCCAAATCCCACAGCAAAATCACTCCATCTTTCCCTCCGCTGGCGCACAATGAACCATCAGGAGAAACCGCCACTGTGTTCACATACCCATTGTGCCCTTCAAGGGTGCACCTCAGCTTACAGTTGGTCAAGTTCCACACTTTGACAGTCTTGTCCCACGAGGCTGATACGATGGTGGGCTGCAGTGTATTGGGGCTGAAGCGGACGCAACTGACCCAATCACCATGCCCGTCTTGGTCCTGGATAGTGAACTTGCACTCACCAAGAGTGTTCCACAGTTTGATCGTACGGTCGCGGGAGGCCGAGACGATCTGACGGTTGTCAATCGAGAAGGCCACTGAGAGAACGTCCTTGGTATGGCCCACAAAGCGGCGAGCAGAGACGCCGAGAGCCAAGTCCCAGAGGCGAAGCTCGCCGTCCCAGGATCCAGAGAGCGCGAACTGGCCGTCGGATGAGAGTACGACGTCCTGGACGAAGTGAGAGTGGCCGGTTAGCCTGCGGCGGGGAACACCGTAAGTCTTCTCATCCTTGGTAAGGTGCCAGAGGATGATAGACTTGTCGCGCGATGCCGAGACGATCATCTCAGAGTTGTCGATCGGAATGGCGATGGCCGTAACCATGTCGGTGTGAGCCCTCATGGTTCCGCGGAGAACGAGAGTTTCTGCCATGGCTTCGTCTTTGCTCGGCGGCTGAGTGGGTATCTAGGGTTTCGAGAGGCGAAGGCGCGGAGTGAGAGTGAAAGCGTGAGAGGAAAAATGAGAATAAAAGAAGTATATATAGCTGAATGAAATAGGGTTTTGGGGGAGAGTTAGAGAGAGAGAGGGAGATAGAGATAGCCAAACCCAAACTAGGCCCTGGGGTGTGGTGGGGTGTGTGTGTGTGTGTTTGGGTACCTTAAGTTTGGTAACCTGGCTCAGAATAAGCAAGGCCCGGGAATAAATTTTGGGTCTAATTTGGAAGCCCAATTAGAATTTGAAGTCGGGCATTGGATTAAGACAACATCACAGCATAGAAACCAATGGTTAGATGATGACTATACCCTACCTAAATATCAAACCGAAAGACTATAACGAGAGGTTTAGAGTGAGGAGTTTGTTTGAGGAATTCAATCCCACTAACAACAAATGTGAGAAAATAAATAGACTTAAACATTTTAAATAATTTGATGGTGGGATTGAATCCCTCAAATAAGCTCATCACTCTAAACTCCTCATTGTAGAAGCTCCCAATATCAAATATCATTTTTTTAAAGATGATATAAAATATCCTTATCTTAAATAAGTTTAGTATGTATTTAAGGATTAGAGACAATGATATTGGCACTCTAAAAATGTCATTGTACTCATCTAAGTTGAATTTCTCTCTTAAATTTTTATACATGATGCATAACCTTTTTTGAAGTACGAATAACAGTTCCCTTTGATTCAATTAATATTTAATTTTACTCTTAATTTTATTCTTCATAATAATTTGTATTTTTGCTCTTACTTTCATCATGTTGTGGGTATGTGTCTTTAGAGATAAATCGTCAAATATCCAATCGAACATCTTAATATAAGTAAAGTTATATACAAATTGAATGGTAAAGTGCTTTGATTTTTCACAAGTTAATCCACTCCAATCATATTGGGTTTTGAATTTGGAGTTTCAATTTAATCTACCAAAACAAATCATTTAGATCATTGATTTAAGCAAATTGAATTAGATTGCATCTCGAACCGTACTAATTTTTGACAATACCATGATTTGAATAATTGCTTGCATTATAATTATGTAGTGTATGCAAAATTTTACTTCAATATAATTCAGATTTACAGAATTAGCAACATACAGAATTTTGATAGGAAGAGAGCATTAACCATTACTATTAGTAGAATACAAAAGTTCATATAAAGCTAGAGTTTAAGTTAATTACCAAAACTTTCGGGGCCTAAATATACTACGCCCAATTGATCTCATCCCACCATCCTTAACTTAACCCCACTTGCCTTCTCTACAAATCCTTCAAAATTCCTCAGATAAACTTACTCATAACAGAAGGGCCTCCTCGTTTTAGGCTTTTACAGTCTCTTTGAATCCTCATACTGATTTCCATTACGTGAAGAACCACCGTTACACTTGATTGCGGCGCGGGTTTTCCTAAGACCACTTGCGGCTTTGCCCGATAAACAACTTTTTTCCATTTTATTTTCCCTTTTCCACGCGGAACTATCTTCTTTCAACCATCTTCACAGAAGGGACTTCAATATATTAAGGCTCAGTGATGGATGCTTGGCTCTCATAGCACCAACAATGCTTTCTTTAAGGTCAGTTCATCAAATTTACTGCGTTCTGTCATCTGGGTCTTTGTTGTGCGTCTCTGTTACTGATTTAATTGTCTATTTATTCTTCTGGGTATTGTTCTACTTTCTCTATTATGGTAATTTATTTGAGATATTCGTTGTTTTTCTTTTCTTGTTATAATTGGTTGCTTACTCTTGCGGGCTCTTACATTTTGTTGCGGGCTCTTACATTTTGTTGATAAAAGTTGTTAGTAATAACTGGTCCTTTGGTTTAATGGCTTTCCTGTTATTGTGGTTTATGCGTATACATCTGGTTTATTTTTGAGTTTTGTAACAATTGACTTGATTCTGTTCACCAACTGTTTACTTTCGATTTTGGTACGCCATTGTTATTTTAGGGGATTTTGGAGAAGGCATAGGAGGAAGTTATATGTTACAGCTGGTGTTTTAGGAAGTGGATATCTTCTGTATAAACTGTATAATGCTCACAGACAAAGGCTTGCTGACCTGGATACCGAACTCGAGCATGAACGAGATAGAAACGAAGAGCTTATCAAGGCCCAGTTAAGAGAGATCCCCACTTCAATTTCTGTATCCAGATATTTTGTTGTTGAGTCCCTAACTACTTACTGTCTGGGTTCTAACATTATGTCTTTTTGTTCCCAATAATAGAATGCAAGCCCATTTTGAGAACATACAAAGAATTGCTGATACAACTACGTTGCCTCATGCAATGCACTATTTAAATAGTCGGATAGCTGAAGAGTTGGACCTTTCTCACCTTACCGACAGGTTAATGCAAGCGAAGGGCCAATCAACATCTGCAGAGAAACTTGAATTATGGGATAGACTGAAAATTCAAAGTATGAATCTGACTTGACTGAATTTCTAAGTGCAAACTTGAATTTATTTATATATTTGTCATCTATCAGTACCATAGTTTATGAATTCTGATATTTATAATCAGCTCACCTTGTATAGGTCTTGTATTTCTCCAGGTTTCACGAGAATGGTGTTGTCGTTGTGGGCAATGACAATCCTTAGCTTATATATTAGAGTTCAAGTCAATATATTAGGGAGACATTTATATATTGATACTGCCCGTGGTCTTGGAAGCTCTCTTTTAATTGTAAGAGCTATATACTTTCCTACTTTCAGTACTTGCAAATTATTGATAACTCCATTTTGCGTGTATTTCATGGTCCTATTTTATACTAGGATGAATTATCATTGCATATCAAGATGTGTGAACTTTCACTTTCTAAAATTGGATTGTTGGGTAACGTAGCCTCAAAAGTGAAACATCATCTTCTAGATGTTCATTTGTAGGTTAGCCTGTCACCAAAATTTTGGATTGAAGGATTGTATGTGATCTAAACTTAATCAAAGTAAATAAGTTTCATTGAGTTATCAAATTTGGCTGCAAGTTATGTCACTTGTAAATAGGTTCCATTCTTAATAAAATTTCCCAGGAGTTAGGGATGTTCTAGCGTGTTGCAATTATGCATAGAGTAGTGGCTGAGTGGCATCACATTCACTGTTGTTAAGGAGATCTTAAAATAAAATGTTTCAGTTTTGGAGATTAACTTAGTAGAATAAGTATGGTGAAGCCTAGACACGCAATTCTGTTTGAGAGTGTAGAAAAGGACTGGGATGCATTTCTGGTGAGGCTGGATATCCATAGAGGAGGTGAGGTATTAGTGGCAGGGGGGTAGATGGTTTCCAGGTTGTCTCAATATGGAAATAATATATTTCAGAATACTATCCCTGATTACTGCTTGGTGACAGTCTGATTGGTGCTCACTCCCTAAAAGTACCATTACATCTGTTCATTTTCCCCCAGTATTTTAATAGACATTAAGGCTAATTTGCAATACCACTCACATGTTACTTTTACTACCGGTTCTGAAGTGAACTTTAGACAATATTACTGGTTCTGACATGTTACTTTTACTTCTCTGAATGTATATGTTTGTTATTATTATGTTTACAGGAGGATGCTGATCTCATTCATAGGGATGACCAGCAGAAGTTTCTAGCGAGTTCTGATTATCTCTCCAGGTCTGGCATGCCTGCTTTAATTTCAAACATCCAGGCAGCAGCAACAGAAGTTCTTAAGGGGTAAGCTTTGTCTTACCATCTATTATCATGTTGTATGCTATTCTGAAAATCAAAGGCAGGTTTATCTGTCAATTCAGTCTTTTTCTTGATTTTTTTTGTTAACTCCTTTAATGCTTATGAGTATACATGCTTGTCCTTTGTGACTATGTCATCCTTAAAAATGTCTTATATACGATGGTCAATGTCCAGGCTTTCAATCTATTCTCAATAAGTGTTTAATACACGAAACTACCAAACTTTCTCACTGCCCCAATTTTCTCATAGAATGTATTGATTATCAGAGATCGTATTAAATAGTTTGGATGCTTTTCATGTGCAGAAAGCAGCTAAGGGATTCCTTCAATGCCACAGTTCTTCATGCAACTATCATGCAAATACTTGACAAGTTCATGAGCACAGGAGATCCCCATCACTGGGTGAACTACTTGATGCCAGAGCTTGAACTAGCCACTGCCTTCAGCAATGATAACACACTTCTTCCAGATGTCAACACATTTGAACAACTTATGGCGGAGACACGGGCAGTAATATCAAGGTATGCCTGTGATGTTAGGGAAGCATTATCGGCCGTAGCATACTGATTTTGGCTTTACTAAATTCTGACTTCTTTCATAAGCTTGCTAGAGTAGATCCATACATGTAATTTCTATTTTACAAGTTTATTTTGTCATTGTTATCTCTCAAAATGCCGCCTTTTCTTTTAGTAACTTTTTGTTCCACAAATTGGAAGTCGGTCAAATCCTTTTCATCTTCTATTGCAGTGCTGAATTTGGGAGTGTTGCTGACATAGCATTGAGAGCAGTGGTGGATACTGTGATAGAGGACATGGGTGTTCAACCCGGAGGAGTTCAACTTGCCAAAGTTTTGGCACGGGTTGCACGGATGGGTCCTACAGTCCTTGAAGAACCAAGCAAATTCATCCAAATCATTCTAAATGTACCAGAAGTTGAGCGCTTTTTCACTCTCATCTATTCAAGTATGCAAATCTCGTAGACTAGATGCGGACCACAGTTTCTGTTTTCAGTAAATTTTTGTTTGGTGTACAAGCAAGCCAGCAGTGGAAAACATGATCTAATGGTATTGGGTTCCATTTCAAGTTCTCAAAATTCAAAAGTTTGAAAGGAATAATAGAGAAATCTTGCAGTGTATTTTACTGTTTGTAGTACTACTTCCACATTTCAAATCTTTTGTTATGCTGTATTATCCATATATCATATCATGTGAGGCTTCTTCATTCTAACATGCCCGGTACTATTTGCTTGCTTTTTATTACTGAAAGTGATCATCATCAAAGTTGTGATACTGAACCCCAGGTAGTATTATATATTTGACTTTGTGGTAAATGCAAATTTTGAATTAAATAAAAGATTATAATTTTTTTTCTCTTTTAGCCCTTAATTCACAATTAACTTTTGTAACCGGAAAAAAAAATGAAATGAAATATTTTAATTTTTGGTCAGTAAAATGAAATTCACTCTTCAAATAAACGGGGCGCTTTGCCCACAAAAAAGAAAGGGTCGGGGTCGGGCTCAAACGGCGCGCATAAATTCACAATTTCACAAACTACCCCAATTTTATACCGTCAAATCAAATCAAATCCCCAATTTTACTCACTCTCGCACGAGTTCAGTCTCTGAATCGCACTCAGTGACTCTCAGTGTACAACAATGGCGAACAACAGCAACAGTGACATCTTAATGCTAGAAGCTCCGCCACCGCAAGGTCCAGCATGGCCAGGACCTTTAACCAACGCCGAAACCATCGACGCCCTGCCGTACATCGACGACGACTACGCCAACCCCGACGTCAAACGAGAGGTCGACCGCATGGTGGAGGAGGAGTTGCGACGCAGCGCAAAAAAGCCCGCCGATTTCCTCAAAGACTTGCCTCCACTTCCCAAGCCCAATTTCCAGGTCAGTGTCCAAATTCCTAGGTTTTTCTCTCTTTTGGCTGCGGAGATTAGGGTTTCTATCTCTCTGATTATGAAATTTTATACCTCAGGATCATCCTATGCTAGCTAGAGAGTACGACCGCGTGAGAGCTTCCAGGCCTCCGGCGGTTATTGATTTTTCCAGAGACAAAGTAGAGACGCCGCCTTTGAATAAAATGAATGATGAAACTGCTTGGAGACTTGCTCTTCAGAAAGCTCAGTGCTCTTTGCAGCACCAAGTCGTCAGGTAATCTCTACGTACATACGTATGTGTATATAATGTATGCTATGTATCTGTATTTATGAATTATGTATATATGCGCATATATTTGCTTGTGATGAATTGAGTGGCTGGTTTGCAGGTTAGAGAATTTGGAGCTGATTGACAAATATGGTCCTGACGCCTGGATTCAGAACAACAATCGATTGCAATTGGTTTTTTCAAGGTTCGTTTTTCAGATCTCATGTAAAAAATGCAACATTTATGATTGTGAAACAACTGATTGAATTCCTTGATTCCCGCACTAGTTGTGCCCCTTTGGGGATTGCGCAGCAGTAACCTGTAACTATATGAAAAAATGGATTTGATAATACTTGGTTTTTCTTTTTCAGAATGCAGAAATTAGCTCAGGAACAATTTCAAAAGATTGAAACAGTGAATCGTGAAAGGAAATATCACCAGGTGATTTAACTTTCTTGCCGCCAACCTTGTACTGTTTTGATGCTCAGTTGTACTCTGATCTGATAAATTTACTTCTTCATTGATGGCAGCAAAACACTGCATATGAGCTTAATGCTCTGTCTGCCCAATGGAAGGAGCTGTGTCAGAAGAATATAGAAATCCATGCTGCATGTGTTAAGCTTGAAAGTCATCTGGATGAATTGAGGAGGGAAGCAGCCGAGAAGTAATCTACCTTTTCCTATCTGGTGTGTTTTCTCTGGCATGCATTTTACTAGTTTGACCACTAATTAGTTGTTACTTATTTCAGGGGCTGGAACTTGGAAGCCAATGCTGAAAATGGTTCTCTGTTGAATTCTGAATGAGATGGTATGCTTTTGCACCTATTGGCATTTGGTTTAGATTTGATGCTACAACTCTGTTATCTTGGTGTACGATGTTATGTAATATTCTTTTGCTTCACAGGATTCAGAAATGATGTATTCCTTCAATCCCTCTTTTGGGTTTCAAATGTAACGTTGAAGAATTAGTCACAGATGTTGGGGTTTCAACGCATTTGTGTGTTGTGAACGGAGTTTGGTCTTTCTTTTCCTTTCTTTCCTTAGTTGAGCTATTTAGGATTTGGCGCCTCAAATGCAAAATGTATGATGCATTACCTTTCCCTTGAGGACATAACAAGAACGGAGTAACGGATGCATAGATGTTTAGGTCATGCCTATACAAATATATGTGGTACTTTATGCTGGAACATTTTTGGCAAATGTGTTGAACAACTTCTATGATTATATGCTTTATTACGATGAGTCTTCAATCCTTGAAGAGAGGATATTATGTGCAGATTATGATCGGCTTCAAGCAATCTGTATCAGGCAGCTAGAGTTGATTAGAAACTAGACTTTATTGCTTCTGCCCTAAGTGGAGCAGCGGCAATACACATATGTGACGATTAGTTTTTGGATGCGATTATGACGTGTCAAATACTACTGATACTGACTTTCACAGCAACTTCGTACATCAGATCATACACTCTTGTTGTCATAAGCACAATTATTTATAGGTAATCTAATGCTAGCTAGCATCTCTCTTCTCGTGGAGATGAGAAAGAACGTACAAAAATGTAGCGTACAGCAAAACCGGTAATTTGTTGTGCATACAGACTACAATAGTAACCACCAGTTTATGGTTCCCCTGGTGAAAGTAGGTAAGTTAAACATGTGGATTCTGTTTGGGCCCAGTAATTTGTAGTAGGTAAGTTATTATTCATTTATTTTCTTTTCTTTAGGGCCCGGTAATTTGCGTTAGTGTAGTTTCTGTTTGGGCTTCAGCCCTCCAAGCAAAACCTAACAATGGAGAAAAGAGGCGTACGTCCTCTCCTTGGTGCCCAAGTAATAGCAGCATCTATTACATGAGATTAGACCCATATACATTTTGTTTCGATGTCTGTACTACTTTTTGGGAACTCGCTCAGACCAAAAAAGGAAACTTACTGATATGATGATTAAACGAAGGACAATTTTATTCTTGGCTTTGATCTTAAAGTTTGGATCTCAGTAAGTAATAATAAAGTCCTTGCTTGTTGCCCAAACAAAGCATCTCTTCGCGCCAATTGTCTGTTTGTTTATTTTGGCCATTGAACTTGAGAGAGAGAGAGAGAGAGAGAGAGAGAGAGAGAGAGAGAGATTTATCCCTTCATTGAACTTGAAAATGGTTACGAGTATGATGAAACCTGCAGTGAAAATAGCAAAAATCCTCTCTCCGCTGCCACTAGTTTTGGTCAACGCAAACAAAACCCTTGTCGTCAAACGTATTTCACAACTCACAAATGAAAAATTGGCTCCCTACTATAACAACATTCCTCCTCCAGAGCCCAAACAACCCACCCCTGCAGATCCCAAACCCCAAACTCTGTATACTCCCAGTAAAGAAGAAGACTCTGTTTTCATGGTTGCCCATTTCAACAGTAATGATATTTCACCCACCCGCCACTTCCCGATTCTCTCCTCCTACGGCAACCCCTGCCTTGATCTTTTCTTCCACGTACTCGTATCAAACGTAGAAGCAGAAGACGACAGCGACAAGCCCCCGGCCTCCAGTTCCTATAAATATCTCAAGCAACTCCTCCCTCTAGCCTGGTCCCACAATCCCCTGCCCACCCTCAAGCTCATCTGCAACCTCCGAGACTGCTCCAATTATCTTGGAAAATCTGATGAAGAAGCCTTCTACGCCGCAGCATTTTGGCTCCACCAGAACCACCCCAAGACTCTAGCTTGCAACGTCGCCTCTATAGCCGGCGAGTTTTCCCAGTCTGTCGCCCTTATGCACGACCTTGTCGGGATTCTGTACCGCCTTCTACAAGGCCAGGACTTCAGAAGGAGGAGGAAAAAGGAAAAGGCTGCTGGTGGTGGCAATCATAATAATAATAGTATTAGTATTAGTAGGAGGAGGAGAGAGAAGGTCATTGATATCGCCATGGCCAAGAAGAAGGTTGTTGAGCGGTACGAGGGCGACCCAAATTACCAATTTTTACACGAACGCGTATTGGATCTTTTCGCGGAGAAGTTGAAGTCTGATACTGAAAAACTGAAGAAGCAGGACATTCACGAGATAAGCTCGACGTCCTATTTCTGCCCTTCCATCGACTCCTCCATGGAGCGTGCCACATTGCTGTGTGAAAGCGTTGCGAGAAAGATTTTCCCGCGAGAATCGTCCCCAGAATATCGAGTTGTTTCGGAGGCCCGTTACGCCTACAGAGTCCGAGACCGGCTCAGGAAGGAGGTACTGGTGCCCTTGATCAATCCCTTGGATTATTTTGATGATTCGGGAACAAAGCCCTGAGCGGTTAAGAAGTATTTGGAGGACGTCAAAGGGGGCAACGGAGGTGGCAAGTGCAACATTGCGGCGGGTGCTCTGCTTCCAAATGACATCGTAGGATATGCGGATGATGTGGATGTGGGGCAAGTGGCTGAGCTTCAGTGGAAGGCCATGGTGACGTGGTTTAAAAAACAGGGCAAGCTGAACAACTGCTTGGCTGTATGCGACGTGTCTTCGTCTTCCATGGCGGGGATCCAAAACTACATGGATGTGTCCGTGGGTTTGGGGCTGCTGTTGTCTCAACTGAGTGAAGAGCCATGCTGGAAAGGGAAGGTGATCAGCTACAGTCCAAACCCTGAGCTGCGTTTGGTAGGAGGGGATGATCTCAAGTCCAAGTGCGAGTTTGTGAGAAGGATGGACTGCGGCGGCAGCAAAATTGATTTGCACAAGGTGTTTGATTTGATTCTGGAAGCGGCTGTGAAGGGGAATTTAAAGGCAGAGCAGATGGTGAAGAAGGTGTTTGTGTTCACCAACACATGCTTTGAGGTGGCTAATTCGGGAAATGATAACAAGAAGAGCTGCTGGGAGAGTGATTATAAAGCAATACAGAGCAAGTTTAAGGAGAAGGGGTACGAGGAGAATGCGGTGCCGGAGATTGTGTATTGGAAGTTGGACACGCTGGCAGTGCCTCGTAGACGACCAGGGCTCGCCATCTTCGGTGGCTTCTCGGCGGATTTGCTAAAGCTGTTCTTGGATAATGACGGCAAAGTTAGCCCATACCATGTAATGGAAGCAGCCATCTCTCCCAAACACTATCAAAATCTGGCCGTAGTGGACTGAATTAGCTTAGGGTTTAGGTCAATACGAGGAGAATCCAATGGTTTAATTTGACAATTCTGACTAGAATCTGATTGTGCTTCGAGGTGTAACACGAGATTGTTGGCATTCGCAAGCAACATGTGCATGCATTTCAAAATTTATATTCATTTCTTTTGAATTATATATATAGACTGTTAAGCAGAACAAAAGTATAACAGAATAACCAAATGAATGAATGGCAGGCATATTAAACGCATCTTCTAACAATATTCAACAGTTAATCATCTTAAAATCTAGTACTACGTTGGGGTTTCATATGTCATATGAAGAAGACTCAGCTGCAGCAACCTTAATGAAGACATCCTCCAAAGTAGTGTCAACCACACCCCATGCAAACACTGGGAATCTACTCTTTGCAAACTCCACTGCTTGGAATACATCTGCAATTCTGACCTCATTTTTGGGCAGTTCAAACTTCTGTGTCCCCGACAGTCGGTATGTCTTGTTCGCGTTGGGTGACAACTTCTGTACTATCCTCTCCACTTCTTCCTCATGTTCCCAACTTGTTGTCATCGTAAAGACATACAACCCTCCATGTCTCCCCTTCAGCTGAATCATCACATATTTCAATTCTCAAACCAACATATTTTCAATTCTCAAACAGTAATTAATCCAAACATCCAATCCAAGAATCTCATTGATAGGAGAATAGAAGAGTTGGGATTTGGTTACCTCCTTCGGGTTTCCTATACACTGCATCCTGCCATCTACGAAAATTCCTAATCGATCACACAGGACCTCTGCCTCTTCCATGGAATGTGCTGAAGATATATATCGGCTTTGTAAGTGAAATGAAAGAGCTAAACATAGATAGAGAATTAATAAGGTAACAAATAGATTGTGTGAGAGAGAGGGGGAGAGAGAGAACTGGTTAGGATGATTGCCCGGTCTTGTTTTGCAGTCTTTATAACATTCCATAGATGGTTTCTCGAAGATGGATCAAGTCCAGTACTAGGCTCGTCCATGTAAACAACCTTCAAGTACAGGAATTTGCAAAAGAATGAGTGCAATAAGTTGCATGATCTTGAGATAACATATCCAAAATAAAAAATCAAAGTAGCTTCAACAGATGGAGCACCAAGACCTACTTTGGGGTCCCCTATCAACAAAATTGCGACGCTGAGCCTTCTCTTCATGCCTCCACTGTATTTCCCTGCTTGTTTGTCAGCAATCCCACCATCAAATAGCTTGACACTCTTCAAAGATTCTTCCACTGCCTTCAGGAACCAAATTAAACCACCCACAAATTAATCCTCCCAGCTAGCTAAACGTATCAACCCATCTTGAATGCTTACGAGTTTTCAATAACAATCCCAATGTCAAAAATAGTAAAATTTCAATTTACTTACTTGCATTAAGGCACGACCTTTGAGGTTCTTAAGTCTGCCATAAAATAGTAGATGCTCCCTTCCAGTCAGTGTTTCCCACAGTAGGCTAAATAATATCCAGTAAGCAAGAAACTCATAAGATTCATTTAAATATTTAAAGAAACAACCAAGAAAAAGAAATTTTGCTTAAAATTGATTTAGCTTACTCATGCTGTGGACAAAATCCCATGCTGGTATATATATCGTTCATTTGCGTCCGAATGTCCATACCATGAACATATGCTGTGCCAGAGGTTGGTTTTGTGAGACCAGTCATCTGTGGAAAGAGGTTGCAATTGCTTAAGCATTAACTAGCTATTAATTAGTATATATGTTTGATAATTATATATTCTAAAGAAGTAGAGTGTGCTCTGCTCACCATACTAATAAAAGAGGTCTTCCCTGCACCATTGGGGCCAAGCATACCAAAGCACTCCCCTGGAGGCAAAGCAAGAGACAACCCTTTCACTGCAAATTTCTCAGGGTTTCCATCTCTTCCCGGATACACCTTTTTGAGGTTGTCACAAATGATCGCATGACTTGTATTTTGTTCCAATACCAACCTCTCAACCATCTCGATCTGGAAATTAGGAAGAAGTGGAAGCAGAACTAATTTATACCTGTGATAAAGACTAATGAGTATATAAGCTAGAGCGAGAGAAGAAAAGTTACCTCGTGACTAACATCAGATTTCTCCATCTGAATGGAAACTTTAGATCCCTGCCTTTGCAAACTAGGCCTCCTTAGAGATGTAAGTTTCTTCTTCCTAATCCTTTGCAAGAAAAATAAAGGACTTTTTCCACTTCCAGATGATACAACTTGGTCAATGCAATATGCAACAAAAAGCACCACAAAACCACTCAATAACCATGATAATGAAGACCTCTCTCATCCCATTCTGGTTATCATTCAAATCGCCCCATCCCATCCCAACCCTTTTTTCTTGCAAGGGGTATTGTGCTAGCTCGTATAATCCACGATACAGAGAGAAGCCAGGATACAACTGTAAAAGAATGATCCCGCGTCCTACGTACAAGAACACCAATACAGAGTTGAGTTTCTGAAAAGTATAAACAAAAAGAAAATTAAATTCCAAATGCTTCATTTTCATAAAAATTTCCACTTACTAGAGACTGATGCATCTTCGATGAAGCTTCGAAAAAGATTTTCTGCCAAAAGCCCAGTTCCAAAGACCAGAATGTAACCTATAGCTGTTACCGTAAAATCAACCATGTCAGTTAAATCATCTCATGAGATAAAACTTAAAATGTAAATCCCTGATCAATAATTTCAAACCAAAAGAAATCGAACCTGTACAAGCCTTAACGTTTGAAAACATTGAAGCTACTAGAAAAGCCGCTGCTATTTGCAAGTTCATATAGATGAAGTAAAAAACCAACTGGATGCTGTAGTCATTGATTGTGAAGAATTTTAACCCTGCAAGGATGGAAGGAAACACACTTGAATTCATTAAAGCAACTCAGAGTGAAACCAGTCTGAAACAGTTGGCAAGTAGTTAGATTGATACAAATATACCTATGATGGAGCCAACTGCCATAAACAGCAGCATGTAGATCAAAGAAACTGCAAGAAAATAGGCATAGGAGATCATCCAATACGGTCCATCACCAAGGCCATGCATTTTCATCATGATTCTCAGTTTTTGTTGTTTCTCGTAAACCAGTGACTTCAAAACAACCTGCATACACCATTAAAAAGTTGGGAAATTAAGAAAGCTAAGTTAATTAGCAAAAATCCATGTAATGAATATGGATGAACATAATCAATCTTACTTACCGGGAACAGCAGTAAAATGATCCATGTAAAGAAGAGTGGACCAAGTAGAGAGGAAAGATCCGGTATGCTTACTACGTTGGTTACAGGCTTAGGCATTTCTTTGACAAACTCAAACAGCATTTTGGTACCAGGGCCTTGCAAACACTGAAGGTAGGCATTGGATGCCTGGCAGCAAATAAAACAAATGAATGTATTAAAACTCATCCCTGCCTGATCAATTAGCAACATTCACTTTTCTTGTTTTAAGATATCACCAAGTAAATTAACAAGTTAATTATGTGTATGTTTGTCTACCAGATTCACTGAGCGCCCAATCCGCTGCAGATCAGAACCAACACTCCTCCTCAAGCTTGAATTGTACCAAAGGATTGCATTAAAACTGTTCTCATTTGAGTTTAAGAAATCATAGGCTGCAAGAAAATGCACCGTCAATAGCTAGTACATGATGATACTGTCTGTATTCATCATATCAAAGTCAAGTAGTGGGGATAACCTGCAAGTATTTCATTAACTTTCCTCTCTGGGTTCCCCTTTGGGTAACCATTATATAGCTCATTGTTTATATCAGAAGAATTGTTGCGCCACAAAGTCAAAGCTTCAACACATCTAACCTCTGGATTCAAGACAAAGTTTGGCAAGCAAAAAGGTTATGTTGCGAGCAACATAAATTGAAGTGCATGTATGTGACAAGTGATGAGTATACTTTTCGTGCGCGAACATTGTAGTGTTAGTTTTGTGAAACTTTTCTTTTTAATGTTTGAAGAGATTTCAAGTTTGAAATTCTTGCCCGTTAATAAAAATAAAATAAAATAAAGGAAATCTATAACATACAAGCACAAAGATTAAAAGTTGTTTAAAAAACAAAAAAATACCTTGTTCATATTCTTTATTGGGTTGGGCCTTGGGAGTGAGGCCTGGATTGGGGGCTTGGGTTGGGCTGGGGGCTTGTGGTGGAGGTGGGTTGCGAGGCTGAGGAGGGGGAGGGGGCTGTTTGCGAGCTGAGGGTGGGGGTGGATAGCGGGCCGGAGGCGGGTTGGGAATGGGCTGGACACGAACTGGGGGTGGGTTGAGAGTGGGCTGGAAGGGGACTGGAGGCGGATTGGGAGTTGGCTGGTAGGGTTCAGGTGGGTCGGGCGCGGGCCTAAAACGAGGTGGAGATTTAGAAATTGGGAGTTTTTGGTTGTTATGAGCATGTGAGGTGAGGCGGAGGCCAGCCTAACCACAGCATGTGGTTGTTATGAGCATGTAATCCTAAATCCACCTATGATGTAGATGGTTGGCTTGCTGCATGGAAGGTGAGTGGCTTCATGTCCATGGAACGCATGTAACTTAAAAACTCTCCAGGCAGCTCTTCCAAAAGACCTTGAACAACAGAAATCTGCCCACCTATTACATTAATCGCGCAGCTATACGCCTTCAAATAATATATTTAAATAGTATAACCGTGAGACTATAATATATGAGGAATTATTATCCCCACAATCTTGATTTCCGAGGCCGAGCATACCCAATGCATCCACTTATTCAAGCTGTTTAGGATCATGATCTGTGACTCATTTTTATATTGTTCTCCTATCATTGGCCATCTTTAATTTTAATACTCATGTGTAAATTGTAATACTCTAATTAGGTAATAATTATATTTGAATATTTGAATTGGGTTATATTAGTTATTGAAATTTGAAGTTTTGTAGCAAGTTGAGCTTTAAGATGGTTTGGTACTCTAGAAAATGAGTTGAGTATGGAGCAAGTTGTGAATTTTTTTTTTGCACTTGAGCTAACAATACATATATAAACGGTATAGTCGTGCGGTTAAACTCGGTTTTTTTAATTTTTTTTTTTTTTAAAAGAGATAGTATTGAGCTGTGCGGATGGTTCTGGAGAAGACTATAAACTGCTACCCAGTGGTCCAGCTTCATTGCCAGATGAGCAGGTAAGTTCCAAGAATATCAGAACTTCTAAGCCTGTATTCTTTTGCAACTTCCTTGTTATCTGCAATTTTTAAGTGGTTTCAGTTTTTGTTTTATTGATATGATGAACAACTCTATCCAGGTGCCTATATCACACAACGACGACAATGTTTACTGGAAGGAGTTATTGATGATTGTGTATGTCTGGGTGGCTTTTCTTATTGTTCAGATTGTTAAGGTAAGTTATTTTACTCTGTAGTTCTGTACAACAAAGAAGCTTTTCTAGGAACTCATATATTCGCATACCGGACCTTAAAATGCTCTCCAAAAGATACGATCATCACTTGCAATGCAATCATGTTCCATCTTTCTAATACCTCTGCATTTGCTTCCAAAGCACCATGATTTTAACTTTGGTTACTGAATTATTGGGTCCTGAACTCCTTGCAGGTAAAGTTAACAACCAGAGTAGTAAGATTTCTTTCACGGACACTATAGAACACAATAACTATACACTCAAGCATACATAAAAAGAATGATGTCCAGTGAAAATATTATCATTTCGTAGGTACCATTTGCAGTCTCCGTTACGCTCTTTGAAGCCAATTCTTATGCAAAGGACCGGGTGATTGCGTCCAAAGGAAAGGAAATCACAAACTGGAAGTTGCATCAGATTTTTCCGTACTGCAGCTGTGGGATAGTAGCTGTTATGATGGGTAGCCTACTGGGCTGGGAGGCGGTTTCTTCTTGGACCCCTTTTCTTGAATTGGGAATTCCTACCTTAGGTATAGTTTCAACGCAAGATAAAAGTCACGGTCTATCTCTTTTGTCAGTCAGAAATACTTGTCCAAAAATCCTTGGCAAGGAAAAAATCACGAAGAGGTGTGGAGTCTCAACATTCCTCCTTGATCAGTGGGTTTGATTCCCAATCCTTCCATGCCAGTTCCCAAGTGTTTAGAATCACCTTTGTATTAATCTTGTCTTTTACTTGTTAATTATCTTAAGGTATTCAGTTTGACGAATTAAAGAAATATATGCCAGCTATTGGGCGGTCAGGTACATTATAATGGGTGCTTCAGTTTCAACTTTATACGTCAATTTATTTGAGGCTTAGGCACCCACACGGTACATGCCCCTTAGATTATGATCTGGCATTTCTCTTTAGCCATGCTCCATGCTGGGCCTGAGCATCAGGATGTGCCTTCCGTCATGTGTCGCCCGACTGGATGGTTACAGTTCGACTTAGTATTCTCTTCTTAGGTAATAACATTTTGACCACCCTTTCCTAACTAATTTTTTACTTTGAGAAATGAGACTGAACTGATAAATGGATATGCTACACACTAAAAGAAAAGCAATCAAATCTTTATATTTATTGCGCTCAAATCGTTTCCTAGAAACTTCAAACTTGGCATAAAAATGTTTCATCACACCCAACATTTGAACTATTTTTTATACTTTCAAGCTTCTACGGGATTGTTTATTAACTTTCCTTGTTCCTTCTGAAGTCACTATTCTCGTGATTTTTGGAAAAATGTAGGAAAATTTTTTAGACTAACCGGCGGCTAGATGGGTTTTCTTAATTTTTTTAAAAAGAATAGTATAGCCGCCCGGCTCTATACTCGGGTTTTCCACAAAAAATTTGGAAATATTATCGACGTTCCGTTGTTTAAAAAGAATTAGTATAGCCTCTCGGCTATACTTGTTTTTTCTAATTTTTTGGAGAATAAATAGTATATCCGCTTGTCTATACTGGGGTTCTATCTATTATTTTTTTCAAAACACATAGATATTTCTTATTTGATCAATTTACAAAGCACTTTACACATGATTTATGTGTTTTTGCAGGATCATCAACATTCTACTTATGTCCTCTCATTCTAAAAACAGGAAGACAATCTGAGGCGACTGTTAAACAACTTTTTTTTTTTTTTTTTTTTTTTTTTTTTTTTTTTTTTTTTTTTTTTTTTTTTTTTTTTTTTTTTTTTTTTTTTTTTTTTTTTTTTTTTTTTTTTTTTTTTTTTTTTTTTTTTTTTTTTTTTTTTTTTTTTTTTTTTTTTTTTTTTTTTTTTTTTTTTTTTTTTTTTTTTTTTTTTTTTTTTTTTTTTTTTTTTTTTTTTTTTTTTTTTTTTTTTTTTTTTTTTTTTTTTTTTTTTTTTTTTTTTTTTTTTTTTTTTTTTTTTTTTTTTTTTTTTTTTTTTTTTTTTTTTTTTTTTTTTTTTTTTTTTTTTTTTTTTTTTTTTTTTTTTTTTTTTTTTTTTTTTTTTTTTTTTTTTTTTTTTTTTTTTTTTTTTTTTTTTTTAAAAGGATAAAGGGGGATATAACTTTTACGTCTAATTTTAGGGTATTTTGACTTTTTTCCAATAAGATTTTATGATTCTTCCTTTCATGTTTACTGTTGTGGTATTTTGACTTTGACATATGTATTTTGGTTGTTCAGGAGATCAAGTTTGGTTGGAAAATTGTAGTTAATTGGCTCAATAGTTGGATTCTCTGGTGCAGCATTGGGTAGTGTGGGAGGTGTTGGGGGTGGAGGCAATGCTTGCCTTGATCATTGGTTTGATCCCAAGTCTTCCACTGCCATTTCTAAGTGTCAGTAATCACTACTTTTCCTTTTAATCTTTTCTTTTAACTTGTTAATTTATTCTTAATGTATTCAATTTAGACAGAACTGAAGTACTGTATGCCATCCTATTGGTCATGCAGGTATGATAATGGGTGCTGCAGGTTCAACAGTATACTTCAATTTGAGACTTAGGCACCCAACACTGGACATGCCCCTTTAGAGATTATGATCTGGCATTGCTCTTTCAGCCAATGCTCATGCTGGGCATCAGCATAGGGTTGCCTTCAACGTCATGTTCGCCAACTGGATGGTCACAGTTCTACTTATCATTCTCTTCTGAGGTAATAACATTTTGAACACAAATTCCTCATTTACTTTGAATACTCTGAATAATCTTATAAGATTTTCTTCTGAGTTCTGGCAGTTACAGCAGCAAAAGCTTTAATGAAGGGCATAGAAACATGGAAGAAAGAGACAATGATGAAGAAGGTAAGGTTTTCACTTAACTGTTTCCTGAACTATCAGTGAATATGGTCTGTTACCAATCTAATGACAAGGAATTTGAGGTTTCACATCACTTTCAGGAAGCAGAAAAGCAGTTGGAATCAGAGTCCAAACCTTTCGGTGAGGCACTGATAAAGCACTATATATGAAATTAAAAACGAAAACAAAACAAAAAGCACTTTGAAATTAGTCCTTGGTAACATGTTTGATAATGAACAGATTCTTGAGATTGAACTACTGCATCTGCGAAGAAGAACGAATCTATGATGTAGATGGTTGGCTTGCTGCATGGAAGGTGAGTGGCTTCATGTCCATGGAACGCATGTAACTTAAAACTCTCCAGGCAGCTCTTCCAAAAGACCTTGAACAACAGAAATCTGCCCACCTATTACATTAATCGCGCAGCTATACGCCTTCAAATAATATATTTAAATAGTATAACCGTGAGACTATAATATATGAGGAATTATTATCCCCACAATCTTGATTTCCGAGGCCGAGCATACCCAATGCATCCACTTATTCAAGCTGTTTAGGATCATGATCTGTGACTCATTTTTATATTGTTCTCCTATCATTGGCCATCTTTAATTTTAATACTCATGTGTAAATTGTAATACTCTAATTAGGTAATAATTATATTTGAATATTTGAATTGGGTTATATTAGTTATTGAAATTTGAAGTTTTGTAGCAAGTTGGTACTCTAGAAAATGAGTTGAGTATGGAGCAAGTTGTGAATTTTTTTTTGCACTTGAGCTAACAATACATATATAAACGGTATAGTCATTCAATTGATAGGAGTCCTACATACATTTCTATTTACATCAAATGGGGAAGGTCCCAATGTGATTGCTATTTCATCTGTTGCTATTGGTTCTATTTCGTTGATCATTGGGGAGTTAGGTAAGCTGTTACTAATCTTCATTTTTCTTTCAATTCACTTCAGTTTTTGCATCTGTAGTTATACAACTTTTTATTTTGCCAAAGGTCGAAGGCGCAGCCGAGTGAGTTTGTTGAAAGTTTACATTGTTGCATCATCTATTGGAATACTTCTCTCCATTGCTTGTGTTGCTATAGGAAATTTAACATTAGAGGTAAGATAGTTCTTTATTACAACTGTTGATTATCACTTAGAAATTTGAATCATTTGCCCCTTCTTGTTTTTGTCGGAATTTTCTGATTGTTGTCTTGTATGAAATTACTGAGTAGGTTTTCCAAAATCCAAGTAACTGGGAAACAAAGAAGTTCGAACTTCTCGAGGCCACCCGCACTGCAATTGGTGAGTATCTGTGCTTTCTTGATGTGATGCTACTACAACCAAAGTTGGGTAAAGAGTAATATTTATGTTTCAAATTTCACAGCGTTCCTGGTACAAATATTTACCGTCAGCACAACTACTTCTCTCATCAGTAACATGTCTCCTCCAAAAAGGGCCTCTTAGCTGCTTCCTCTAGCCACAATCATGTCAATGATCGAATAGAATTTTCGTTTTCAATTTCTTCCTGGGTCCCAATTTTGTAATTCGAGGAAGATAGTTTGATTCCTCTCTAGTTTAAGGACTATTTTGACAGGACACACATTTATGAACCAAGTTTCAGGCTGAACTTTAAAAGCAAACATCAGCCACATGAACTTTGAAGAACATTAGACAAACCAAGTGAACCGCCATTACCCATCACTTGGACCCTCGTCCTACACCATATTTAAATTTTCAAGAAACCAAAAATGTTATATTTAGGTTCTGCCTCTCTTTTAAAAAGTGAGTTTATTAAGATCAATCTCACGGCCAAAACCCCCATCTTGAATTTTGGGTATGTAGAGATTGTGAGATGAACGGCATTTGATCTTGATAAACCTGCATCTCCAAAAGGTTGCTAATTTTTTTTCTTAGTTTAAAAATATTGGTATCTGAATACTCATAACATCTTTTTTTATTCCCAATCAAAATAGTTGTGGTCTTTGCACTATGAGTAGCAAGCAGTGTATTTTTTTGTTAGGTAGTGTAGTGATTCGAAATGTATATATTTAAACAGAGACTGTAAACTAGACGGCATGTTTATTGTTTTGCTGAAGGAATGCATATGATCCACCGAGGCGGGGTGATCCTTCTGACTTTCCTGTTTCCATATAAATCTTGCAAGGTTTGTCGGGTTTTCTGTCATTTTCTTCCGTAATTTCCCCTTATATTGCTACTAATTATTCACTAAAGAAATAATTATTAATTAAAGTAATTAAATAAGGCTAAGAGATTATTTAATTAATAAAAAGAAACAATAGCTTTACTCATGAAAAACCAAAAAAAAAAACCTAGTAAAGCCGACCGGCTATACAAAAATGGAGTATAGCCGTGCGGCTATACTATTTAAAAAAAGAGCAGCCTCATAGCGCGAGTTACCCACGTGTCAAAAAATGGTAGAGCCGAGCGGCTATACAATTTCTAAGAGTATAGCCCCCGGCTATACTATTTCTTTTATAAAAAAACCCCGTCCAGCGTCCAGTGAAACAAGTATATCCGCTCGGCTATAATATATTTTTTTTAAATTTACAAAACGAGTATAGCCGCCTGACTATACTATTTTTTTGAAAAATTTGCCGGGCGGCTATACTATTTTTTATTAAAAAAATTCCTAGTATCGGTTATACTAGGAATTGATATAATTTGAAGAGTGACCACAAACTGGGAAGGGTCAGAAGCTGGTGCACAGAGTGTTGGATCCACAACACAGAATGCGTGCAAAGCTAGCACATATGGAAGCGTCCGCCTCTCTCCTTCCTGCATAGCCATTTCCTCTAACTGACAAATAAGATTTCTGAACATTCAGATTTAAATATCAACCAAATTGTTTTGGCAAGTCAAGAAGATGGGGGGAAAATACCTGCAATATCCTTTCCAGTAAGCACTTGCACATTAACTCACAGCGCTTGCGTACAGATGCAAGTGAGACAGGTAGCTTTAACTGATTGGGGAAAAAAATCAAGGGCTAAGTTGCTTTTAATGACCGTCACAAGAAGTTGATGACTTGGCATCCTCCTCAACATCTCAACAATCTGTTCAGTGTTTTTAGCCACCTCCAATGGAACAGAGCTACCATCTCCAAAGAACTGAGTTTGTGAACCAGTAGGTTCCTCAAACCAGAACTCATAAACTGTCTTGCAAACAATATCCTGTGGAAGAGGAAAAGAATAAAAACTGCGACCTAGCCAAGGACAAACAAATTTTTATGCTTATCCTGCAATATCCTTTCCAGTAAGCACTTGCACATGCGGATCAGCTTCTACAATTATACTGACCTGCTCAACATATTAAGATATTAAGACATTAAATTCTGCCAACAGAGCCATAAAATGAATTCTCAATTTCCATTTCAAGGATTAAAAGTCCAAAAATATATTTTTTTCGCTTACCGCTCATAAAGCCTTGGCCCTAATTACAGGTGAATTCTCCATTAAACTTGTCTGCAATAAACTAAATTGTCAAAATAGAGATTTTATTATATAATAAATCAGGGAGTAAATGAAAGGCTTACTAACCAGAAGCAAATGAAGAATCTTATCAAACCCTCTGGAAAAAGAGTTTTTTTTTTTTTTTTTTTTTTTTTTTTTTTTTGCCTAAATGCTAAATCTTCTTGACTGAATCCCTTGTCAATAATGAAAAAACAGTCCCAGAATCCAGCACTACTTCTTTTGATTTCAGTCTAGCAAGATAGTACAAGAACTTCTGCTGTGATTTTGGATCATCCTTGTACCACAACAAGAGATGAAACCTGTACCACATGCATAGCTTTATGATGGAAACAATGGAACCACAAAGTGAAGAAGGGATGAGGTTCAGTGAGTACATACCAGCGAACAAAGAGATGCCCAAAATCAGCTCATGCGGCATCTTGAAGGTAATTCAAAAGCATCTGCTGGACAACCTCAAGTTTTGTAATTGAAAAAGCAACTTCAGTGTTTCTTCCTGAACGATTACGATCTTTTGTCCCATCATCTTTGCATTGTGACCTACAGAAAGATTGTAAAACAAGAAGTTGCTTCCTGCAGAGGCATATCTGACAGTGCCAACGTCGATTCGGAACTTCATATTCTCTTACTCCCTAGGCTGCCCTAGGCGGCTCTAGGAGGCCCTAGGCGGCTCTAGGCGGGTCTGGGCGGGCGTTTTTGCCGTTGAGGCATGGACGAAGGGCGGTTGAAGTGCGCAGGATCCGCTGCTTGTTAGGAAGAAAGACGAGAGAGAGAGAGAGAGAGAGAGAGAGAGAGGAAGGAGAAGGCGACGCTGGGAAGAAGAGGATATCTGCCTAATTTTTATATTCGAAAAGTATAGCCGCTCGGCTAAACTATCAATTTGAACGGAAAAACAAGGAGTATAAAGGCCCGGCCATACTATTTTATATATTATATCTGAACAGTATCGCCGCCCGGCTATACTATTCATTGGAATAATTTTTTTTTAAAGGGGGATTATCGCCGCCCGGCTATACTATTAATTTCAGGAAAAAAAAAGGAGTATAACCCGCACGGCTGTACTCTTTTAACATGGATTATCGGAAAGAGGGTGAATGCCATGGATATTGTGAAAAAAAAAGCCATGTGTGTGGTGGTGGTGGTGGTGGTAATTTCAACCCTCCGTAGTCAGTATAGATATGCAAGTATGAAGATCAGCTTGTTGATTTTGATTGGTGTGGCTAGTTTTGGGTCTGTGTATAAAGGAGTCCTTGATTTTGATGGAGCTCAGCTTGTTGCCATCAAGGTGTTTATTAACATGTTACATCATGGAGCATCTAAGAGTTTCTTGGCGAAATGTGAGGCGTCAAGAAATATCAGGCATCGAAATCTCGTCAAGATTATAACTGCATGTTCAACTGTTGATTATCAAGGTAATGATTTCAAGGCTCTCGTGTATGAGTTAATGGACAATGGGAGCTTAGAAAAGTGGTTGCATTCGACTATTGAAACGAAAGAGGAAACAGATGCACCCCAGAATTTAAATCTTCTTCAGAGGCTAGACATCACCATTGACATTGCTTGTGCACTTGATTTTCTTCATAACGATTGCGAAACACCAATAGTCCATTGTGATCTCAAGCCAAGCAATGTTCTCTTGGACGCAGAGTTGACTGGACATGTTTCTGACTTTGGACTTGCAAGATTCCTTGCAAAATTAGCCGATAAGGCTTCAGCAAATCAAGCAAGTTCCATTGGCATAAAGGGATCGGTTGGCTATGTTGCTCCAGGTAAATATTCCTGTATACTTCACTGTTGCCTTTCTTTATCTTTTAACTTGGTTCTAATTACAATTAATTGATCATTTGCATAGACAGTTCCATGCCCTCATTTCCACGCACATAATCAGTTACTCTTACTTTGTTGCATAATTTAAGAGAGCCATTTTATTTAGAATTGTGGTGACAATATTTTCTGATACTTCAACTACAGAGTATGGGAAGTGAAGTGTCGAAAAGTGGAGATGTCTACAGCTTTGGCATTCTTTTGTTAGAGATGTTTACGGGAAGGAGACCCACTGACCACTTGTTTAGTGATGGCTTGAACCTTCATAATTTTGTGAAGACTGCTTTTCCCGATCGTGTCACAGAGATTGATATTTAAACTTGGAATTGCATGTTCTGTTGAATCCCCAGCGAACCGAAAGGATATCAGTGATGTTGCATCTGAATTACATTCCATCAAGGATATGCTTCTTGGTTAGAAACTTTTCCTACTTTCCTACTCTACATATCAAGGAAAGAATCAGTGGCGCCTGCTGCTTAAGGCTTGGTCATCTTTTTGGTTTTTTCTTCTGTTTTTGATGCTGTTTGTTCTTACAGTTTCTTGTGAGGGATTTCACTGTTTTGTTCAGCATATTATTATTATTATATTCTACTTGTGTAGATGAAATTATGAGGAAATCCAGAATCCTTGCAACCATGTGAGAGCTGAGCTGCCTATTGGCCAAGTTGATGAACCCGACTTGTGAATTCTCCATTAAACTTGTCTGCAATCAACTAAATTGTCAAAATAGAGATTTTATTATACAATAAATCAGGGAGTAAATGAAAAGGCTTACTAACCAGAAGCAAATGAAGAATCTTATCCAACCCTCTGGAAAAAGAGTTTTTTTTTTGTCCCAATGCTAAAGTAATCTTCTTGATTGAATCCCTTGTCAATAATGAAAAAACAGTCCCAGAATCCAGCACTACTTGTTTTGATTTCAGTCTAGCAAGATAGTACATGAACTTCTGCTGTGATTTTGGATCATCCTTGTACCACAACAAGAGATGAAACCTGTACAACATGCATAGCTTTACGATGGAAACAATGGAACCACAAAGTTAAGAAGGGATTAGGTTCAATGCAGGAGATGGAACAAAATCAAGTGAAATGGCCTAAGGTTGCATGCACCCTATTAGTTAGTATTTCAGTACAAGATCATCAGATTAGGAAGGTTGATTCACTAGTGACCTGCCACATGACTGTGAAAACAGTGTAATCCTAATTCCACGCCAACCAAAAGCTCATTATCTTTAAATTTCGAACTAACTTACGTCAGTTCCAGTACACCAAGAGGTACCCTTCCAGGATGTGGCATCCAGGGGTAGGCGCCAGGGAGCTAATCGGCGTCTGGGCTCCCGCCTAGGGGCCTAGGCGGCTCTAGGCGGCCTAGGGCTGTAGAAGGTCTAGGCGGCTCTAGGCGGCCTAGCGGCCTAGGCGGCCTAGGCGGCTGTAGGAAGGTCTAGGCGGCTCTAGGCGGCCCTAGGCAGGCTGTAGGAAGGTCTAGGCGGCTCTAGGCGGCCCTAGGAGAGTCTGGGCGGGCGTTTTGCCATTGAGGCGTGGACGAAGGCGGTTGAAGTGCGCAGGATCCGCTGCTTGTTAGGAAGAAAGAGGGAGGGAGAGAGAGAGAGAGAGAGAGAGAGAGAGAGATCGATACAGAGAGAGGAAGGAGAAGGCGACGCTGGAAAGAAGAAGATATCTGACCTAATTTTTATATTTGAAACGTATAGCCGATCGGCTATACTACTCATTGGAATAAAATTTTTTAAAAAGGAATTATCGCCGCCCGGCTATACTATTAATTTCAGGAAAAAGAAATTAAAAAATGGAGTCAGACAAACAGTGATTGAGATAACAAGACCATTATAAGATGAAATTTAAAACAATCAATATATTGCAAGGCAACTCAGTAACATCATTACTTGCATGGAGATTCTAAAATCAGACCCCCCCAAAAAAAAAATCATGGAGAAGCAAAACTAAAAATAGCACAAACTTTCAATGAAAATATAAACAAGAAGAATAGCACAAAAGCCTGAAGAAATGTAGTTTAAGAAGCAAACTACCACAACAGCTATGCTATATGCAAGAAAGAATGCAGGACATAAAACAAGCTCACCTGCTCACATGTACTTATAGACAAGCCTTCAGCTCGATGTATCTGATGATCTAAAATCCTTAACAATCTAACAAAAGAATCTACAGGGGCCAAATGTAGATGCCCCTTTGCTCAAAGAGACATTATTTCATTTGCAAGCACTCTAAGATGAGAAAGAGGCATAGATAACCACTCAGCTTCTTCCCGATCATCACTGAAAATTTCAGCTCTACCGCAGATATCCTCCACCACATTGGCAGTCTAACTAAGATTTTGCAAAATAAGTCATTCACATGAATACTGAAAGTAAAAATGTGAGATCACGCTTGAGAGAGAGAGAGAGAGAGAGAGAGTTCTAAAACCCAATAACAACCTTGAATTGCAGTCTGATCTGGTCCGACTGATGACATAACGACATCACTATCTTTTTCTTGGCTTTTGGTTTTCCAGAAGATGGTGTAGATACGTCCTGCAATTTCATCTTCTAGATTAGGAAAAAAGGAGGGGGGAAAGTGATTATCAACTGCCAAATAGATCCACACATACATTAGGAGGAATATCATTGAGCTGATTATGGTTAGTTGCACCATAGTTTGTTTGATCATGTTTGGGCATACTATTGTGAGAAACATGAATAAAAACCACGCGTATAGCCGATTGGCTATACTATTTATTTAAATAAAAAAGGACCCGTCTATCGATTAGACGCCCACGTGTCAAAAACGGCTATGCTATTTTAAAAAAAGTTAAAAAACCGAGTATAGCCGACCGGCTACAGTTTTTATTAAAAAAATTAAAACAAAAAAAAAACCTAGTACAGCCGAAGGGATATATTCACCCAAAAAAAAATTTAAAAATGAAGTATAGCCGACCGGCTATACAATTTATAATTTTTTTTAACTTTAAAAAATGAAAAAAAATGAAGTATGCACGTGAAGCGTATAGCCGTTCGGCTATACAATTTTTTTTTAAAAAGGAACCGTCTAGGGATTCAGATAACAAGACAATTATAAGATGAAATTTAAAACAATCAATACATTGCAAGGCAACTCAGTAACATCATTACTAGCATGCAGATTCTAAAGTCAGACCCCCCCAAAAAAAAAGTGAGATCACACTTGAGAGAGAGAGAGAGAGAGAGAGTTCTAAAACCCAATAACAGCCTTGAATTGCAGTCTGGTCTGGTCCGACTGATGACATAACGACATCACTATCTTTTTTCTTGGCTTTTGGTTTTCTAGAAGATGGTGTAGATACGTCCTGCAATTTCATCTTCTAGATTAGGAAAAAAGGAGGGGGGAAAATGATTATCAACTGCCAAATAAATCCACAGATATATTAGGAGGAATATCATTGAGCTGATTATGGTTAGTTGCACCATAGTTTGTTTGATCCTGTCTGGGCATACTATTGTGAGAAACATGAATAAAAACCGAGTATAGCCGCGCGGCTATACTATTTATTTAAATAGAAGTCTATCGATTAGGTGCTAACGTGTCAAAACGGCTATACTATTTTTTTTTAAAAAGTTAAAAACCGAGTATAGTTGACCGGCTACAGTTTTTATTAAAAAAAATTAATTATAAAAAAAAAAGTACAGCCAAAGGGATATATTCCAAAAAAACTTTAAAAGGGAACCGTCTAGGGATTGCCCATGTGTCAAATAAGTATAGCCGCCGGCTATACTATTTTATTTTTAAAACCGAGCATAGCCGATGGCTGTCCTATTTTTTTTATAAAAAAAAGGGAGGGCTCCCTAGCGATTAGGTGCCAACGTGTCAAAACCAGTGCAGCCGTGCCAGTATAGCCGAACGGCTATACATTTTAAATATATTATATTTAAAGAGTACAGCCGTGGGGATATACAATATAAATATAATATTTAAATATTATAGCCGCGCGGCTATACTATTTATTAAACAAAAAAGGGTCAAAAAAGGCTATACAAACTTTAAATTTCCTTCGCTGCCTGGCTCGCTTCATTGAATCACGCTTCCCATCAAAGTCTTCAAGTTGAAGGCCAAAAAAGGGGTGGGAATTCCTTATTGGAGCTCTCATGGCGCCTCCCAAGAAATCAAAGAAAAGCAAGAAAGATAGGAAATTCAAGAAAAACTTAAGCTTGGTTCCAGTCGAGCCTAAAGCCGCAGACTCTGACTGGTGGGATAGTTTCTTCAACCCAAGGTTTTTCTTTTCACTAAGCTCAGTCTCCAATTACTCTGCTTCCTGCTTTTTAGTGGAACGCATTCTGATTACTTGTAGTTTTAACTAAATTATCTTTATATTTTGTTTATTTTGGAAAATCTATGATGCACAGACATCTAGAACAGGTGGTGGATTTTGTTCTGTAATGTTAAATTCAGTAATGATGTTCATAATTAGAGCTCAAAACCTATAAACTGCGCTTTTGTTCAGTTAGGCTGTTGGAAAAATCGGCTTACGCGCTAGGCGGCCACCTAGGCGGGTCTAGGCGGGTCCTTTTTTTTTCCTTGACTTTAGCTAAATTATGAACTTGCTTCAATTTTTTATGGCTGCTATAAGAAAACTGGCGTTTGATTATGTGTTTTGCATCCTGAAAACACAAAGATGTGGTCGAAAAGTTATTGCTATAGAGAGCAATAGAGATTTTAGCCTATAAAAGTAGTATGTAATTTATAAAAGCTTTTTGTATTTTGTATTTTGGTTTTTACCTATAATGACAATTTTTTTTTAATTAATGCCTGAATTTTCTGGTGGGTATATATTGTCAGATAGGAAAGCTGAAAAAGGGGCTTAATCCAATGTCCTTTGGAGACCTTGTGTTTGTGTCTCCTTATCTGACAACAGCTTTCAAAACTGGAGTATAGCTCTCGCCGTAAGTAATTAACATAGTTCTTTAGTTACTGATGTTGTTTAGGCCAGTTGATCACGAGAAAGAACATGTTGTATTGCAAACTGTTCTTAATTATAACAATTAATGGATTGTGGGTTTTCCTAATTGCTATGTGCAGGAAGGAATAGCAGTAGGGAGAAGCTTTTCCATGATCAAGAATTACCACATTGATGGGAACAAAGAAATGATTGCCATTGGGATGATGAACATTGCTGGTTCTTGCACTTCTTGCTACCTCACCACAGGTTAATCACTCATCGTACACTTTTAATACTAATTAAATTAAGGGGTTTAATCTTAATTAGATTCATTTCATGTTGCTAATTAAGCGAAATTTTTTCATCAATTTTCAGGGCCGTGTTCCAGATCAGCAGTTAACTGCAATGCAGGATGCAAGACGGCAATGTCAAACGTTGTCATGGCAATTGCGGTTATGTTCACATTGTTGTTCCTCACTCCTCTATTCCATTACACTGCCCTGGTTGTGCTGTCTGCTATTATAATAGCCGCCATGCTCGGCCTCATAGACTATGAAGCCACAATTCACCTCTGGAAGGTTGACACGTTTGACTTTGTTGTCTGCATGAGTGCCTGTATCTGTGTCATTTTTGGCAGCGTTGAAATCGGCCTAGTCTTAGCGGTACCTACGACTATATGTCACACAAGTGAAAAATTATTGTGTGTGACAATAACACCTTATCAACAACTTAACATCACTTCTTAGAACTAATATTTCTTTTTTCTTGAGTGTAGGTTGCAATATCTGTTACCTCACCACAGGTTAATCACTCATCGTACACATTTAATACTAATTAAATTAAAGGGTTAATTAGATTCATTTCATGTTGCTAATTAAGCGAAAAAAATTCATCAATTTTCAGGGCCGTTTTCCAGATCAGCAGTTAAGTACAATGCAGGATGCAAGACGGCAATGTCAAACGTTGTCATGGCAATTGTGGTTATGTTCACGTTGTTGTTCCTCACTCCTCTGTTCCATTACACTGCCCTGGTTGTGCTGTCTGCTATTATAATAGCCGCCTTGCTTGGCCTCATGAACTATGAAGCCGCAATTCACCTCTGGAAGGTTGACACATTTGACTTTGTTGTCTACATGAGTGCCTGTATTGGCGTCTTTTTTTGGCAGCGTTGAAATCAGCCTAGTCTTAGTGGTACGTACAACTATATGTTACACCAGTAAAAAATTATTGTGTGACAATAACACCATATCAACAACTTAACATTACTTATTAGAACTAATATTTCTTCTTTCTTGTGTGTAGTTTGCAATATCTGTGATCAGGGTACTTTTGTTTGTGGCAAGGCCAAGGACTTTTGTTCAAGGAAACCTTCCGAATTCCATGGTTTACAGAAACGTTGAGCAGTATCCCAATGCAAGCAATGTTCCTGGAATTCTCATACTTGAGATTGACGCTCCCATTTACTTTGCAAATACCAACTACTTAAGAAAAAGGTACTAATTAATTAAACCTGAACACACTCTTGCATGTTATAATCAAATTTAAAAATAACAATTTGGAAGTTGACCCAAAGTCCTACTTGTTTTCAGGATTACAAGGTGGATAAATGATGAGGAAGATAGGATCAAATCTGCAGGGGAAAGTAGCTTACAATATGTGATATTGGATATGACTGGTAATTAAGGGAAACAAATAGTGCATATATATATAAAGAAAATTAATGTGACATTTTTTACCCTGAAATTAATTTGTTTTCTGGTTTAATTTGCAGCTGTTGGTAACATAGACACAAATGGGATAAGCATGTTTGAAGAGGTCAAAAAGCTTGTTGACAGAAGGGGGCTCCAGGTTCAAAAATCTGCAACAGTCTCTCTTTCAATTTATCAAGTTTAGCTTGTACTGGCAAACCCAGGAAGCGAGGTGATGAAGAACATGAACAAGTCAGAGTTGATTGAGAAAACATGTCAAGAATGGATTTATCTCACAGTTGCAGACGCTGTTGCAGCGTGCAACTTCATGCTTCACTCCACCAAGCCCAACCCCGGAAAATATCAAGAACCAGCTGCATGGAACAACGTTTGATGGCTTTGGCTAGCTACAACGTGAATTTATGTATCAGAAAGCAATATCCACATAAATATGAAGACTCATTTGAATTAGGGAGAAATGATTGTTGCGATGGCGGATGAGTTTTCTTCAACCTCCATCAGTACAGAATTGGCTTCCTTATTTGTTCTGGATCAACGATAAAGCTGAATGATTGTTGCGATGGCGGATGAGTTTTCTTGAGATATAATGAATGAAACCAATAGAATCAATGGACCAAAGTTTACATGATCCAAAGTAATAGAATAGAAATCCCAATCCACAAACCAAAATGAAACCCCGAAAGCTCAATGTCGCTAGAGGACCAAAGTTGAAAAGTTTGTGCAGTTTCTTTCCAAGGAAGACATTGGTAAGAGCTGTATTTGACTCCAACGATGCCTTCACCAACTTCAAACCCTACAAGAGAGAGAAACATACACGTAAGACATTTAGCACTCGAAATAGATCAACAAGCCACTGATAAAGAGTTAGAGAAATGTATTGGACATGAAACCTCTTGCATGCCAAGATCAACCTCCTTAACTTGAAGAGCATCAATCCCTTTCACATTAAACTTTTGAAGCACTGCAACACTTGATTCGGTGGTCATTGGCTTCACATCCAAATTATCCATTATCATGTAAATAACACCACCCTTGACATAGCCTGCCTTAATATTGCTGGAGGTTGCTCCAGTAGGAGCAGATGGAGAAACATAAGACACCGGGGTGGAAATGTTACATGATCTGCACTGTGGACAAGGGATTCCATAGCTCTCAGAAATACGGTTACTGCACCTCACACAAATGTAGAACAATTTAGAAAGATTCGAGTCATTGTTGGTCGGCAATGGCAATTGAAGGATATTGGACGCAGAAATTGTTGTTTTGGGTTTGAGCAGGGTGTCCTTAAGATTGAGTGGCAAGTATGAGTTGACACTAAGACTTTCGGCACTCTGGTAAAGGTTGCCTAAGCAACCAACCATACCATCAGTTGAGAGGAGCCTAGTAACAGTTGCAACATGAAAAGACAGAAAACTGAAAAGGAAATCAACAATGCTTCAGCAAACAGAACTTTGTGGCTTGTTGTGTCAATCAGAAGCTTCAAACTCATGCTAGTGCTGTTGGTGGTAGCCATTGAGGGATATTAAGGACAGAGAAGAAGGAGCATGTGCTTAAGCCTTCAAAAAGACCTATTTATAAGCTTCACAAAAAAAAGTATCCTAAATTCAAAATTATTCAAAATGGCAATGGTGAATGGATCAAGAAGGTGGAGGGTCACCTTGGAGTCTGCATCAACAGTCGACCACAAAGCAACTCTACATATACAAATCTGTCATTACCTATACATAGGGAATATAATCTACAGATGAGTGAATAAATATGTATTTATTTCCACTAGTTTGCATTCATTAACTAAACCAACAGCCAGATTTACAATTCGTTTTGTTTTGTGTTTGCTTTTTCATATTAGTTGTATTGTATCTTCAGACTTCACTAGTTTAGAGGCAAAAGACAGTGAAAAGGCCAACTAACATGCCCATGCTCCCTTCAGCAAACAGAATTTTGTGGCTTTTTTACATGGACTAGGAGTTTCACATTATTTTTGGTGATTGCCATTGATGACATCAAGAAGACTGATCCATAATTACATGGACGAGTTTATTCTTTGGAATGGATGATGAACTTCATAGATCAAGTAAGAGGAGAGAAATTTGATAGATAAAGAGAGAGAAGATAATAGATCACTAGAACATGTAATTTTGTCACACGTACGCGTGAGTACGGATTAATCTGGTGTGAAAAATAGGAGGAGCTGTAATGCAAGGCATCAAGAAGCTTTTATAAGCTTGCAAACTGCCATGTTAGAAACAAAACTACATTTGATGTGTTTAAAAATTGATGTAAGAATTTGTGTGACATGACAAGGGTTTGAGTTGCAAGGTGTCCGTGTTAGTTAACCATAGGTTTCATGCAAATGTTAACCACCAATATGCAAAGACAGAAGAGTGAAAAGAAAATCAATAACTTATTTGCTTGCTTGTAACTCTTTGTGCAAAGAGGACAGAGAACTGCCCAAATGGAAAAAAAAACAGAGCACTGTTATGAAAGTTGGTCTCCGGCCAACTGGTTTGAGATTTGATCATGCCGAAAAGAAACTAAGAAATGGAGGCCCAAAACATAAAATCAACAGAAAAACCAAAAACAAAACAGTGCAAATGCCTTAGAGAATCAGTGCTTCATAAAGTCCACATTTATCCCCGCGGAGCAGTGTAGATGAGCAAGTTTACTTCAGCCGCACTATCGGTTCTCCTTGTTCATTTTTGTATCAACGACAGTGCAAAAGGATCATTGGGAAAGCAGATTGGTTTCCTTGGACTTGTTAGGTCGTTTTTACCATATCTTGCGGTATAATATTTGTTACCAATAAGATCAGAGGGCCAACGTTGAAATAATCCAATGTAAGCCAATATAGTCAATGTCAATCCACAAACTAAAATGAACCTCCAAAAGCTCAATTTCTTTAGAGGACCAAAGTTGAAACCTTCATGCACTTTATTACCAAGGAAAACATTTGTAAGAGCGGTTTTTGACTCCAATGATGCCTTCACCAACTTCAAACCCTAAGAAGCAAAAACAAAATATGTAGTATCAATCAATAGACACAGATAGAGAACACTATTTATTGTAAACAAAACAAATTTCACAAAAGAGATCAAACCTCTTCAATGTCAAGATCAACCACCTTCTCTTCAAAAGCATCAATCGTCTTAAAAGTTCAACGCTTTAAGCAATGTGATACTTGATACAGTAGACATAGGCTTCACTTCCAAATCATCATTATCATGTACATAATGTCGCTCTTGACGTATCCGCTCTTAATATTGCCAGACGTCACTCCAGTAGGTTCTGGTGGAGGAGCAACATAAAACACCTGGGTGGATATTTTGAGTGAAATGCACGTTGGACAAGTTGTTACAGGACTATCAGAAATATGGCGCTTGCAATTTGCAGAGGTAGAACAGTTTAGGCGCATTCGAGTCATTGTTGGCTGCCAAATGAAGGATGTTAGCGCCACAAATTGTTGTCTTGGGTTTCAGCAGGTAGTCTTTGTTAAGATTGGGTTGCATGTATGTGTCACTGAGATTTTCGAGGCTCTCGTAAAGTTTTCCTAAGCAACCAACCATACCACACCATTAGAGAGGAGGAGCCTAGTCACAGTTGCAACATGCAAGGACAGAAGAGTGAAGAGAAAATCCACAACTTCCTTGCTTGCTTCAGCAAACAGAACTTTGTTGCTTTTTGTGTCAATCAGGAGCTTCAAACTCACAGTAGCGCTGTTGGTGGTAGCCATTCAGGCAATATTGAGGACAGAGAAGGGCAGCATATGCTTAAGCATTTAAAAAAAAGACCAATTTATAGGCTTGGATGGAATGGTGAATGGATCATGAAGTAGGAGGGTCACCTTGGACCCTGCATTAGTCGACCACAAAGCCAACCCTACAGGTACAAATCTGTCATTACCTATATATAGGGAATATAGTTTACAGTGAATAAATCTGTGTATTACCAATATAACATTTCCATCAACTAGGCTACATTTCCAATTTCTTTTTGTCATCTCAAGGGTCGCCTTATAGTTCTGGTGAAGCAATATACATCTTGCGGGACTATAGTTCCTCTGCAGCGTGGACAAATAGCTTAGGGTTGTCTGAGACATATCAGCAACTGGTCACACAACAGAACTGTTCGGCGGGCCTTTGGATCATCGTTGGTCAAAATCCGAAGGACATTAGCTCCAGCAGAAAGTGTCGTAGGTTTCAGCAAGGCCTCGTCCTTGTTAGTAGCAGGTTGTAGTATGTGTCACTGAGATTTTCAATGCTCTTGTAAAGTTTGACTAAGCTTCCACCCATGTCATCCACAAGTTTAGTGGCAATGCCTAGAGGCAAAAGACAAGACTAAAAAGCAAATCCACAAAAGTGCTTTCCCCCTTCAGCAAACAGAACTTTGTGGCCTTTTTACATGTACTTAATTTTGGCATGGATCTTAATAGCTCAATTTAATTATAAATTGTATTGATCAAATCCATTCACGCATCCTAAACCAGACAAAACTGATGAATAAAATATTCTCCCTGATTTTGATGAGAGTGCTCAATGCAATCAAATTGTTACAACTTACAACCATTTTCACTTATCATTCTTTTTAAGTTGGGAATGCTATTGAAATCTAAGCCCGCATACATTGTGTGTGTGAGAGAGAGAGAGAGAGAGAGCCTGAAAAATCTGATTATGAGTTACCAGGGTGTTACCAGTTGATTAGCAACAAACAAGGCAGTTAGAGACCAGCATCATCCTCCTCCTCCTGTACACAGCAAAGTCCAAAACACATTATGTCAGGATTTGAAGAACACAGCAAACTAAAGACTCGTCAGGGAAAATAAAGGTCAACAATCCTGATTGGAATTAATATGGACCCAGCTATTCAAAATCCTTATTTGAAAACTCTATCTTCTTTTTTTTAATTTACTTAGGAAAGATGACATCAAGGAAAATATTTTGAAGCATTTTCAAATGGAACTTTTTCCATTTACCTCAACTTTTTTTATATTACTTGGTTTCGGTTTTGATGATTTGCTAGCAGTATTAGACACTACCATCCAATCAAAATTCACTTCTAATTGGGGATTTTTAATATAAATGGAGACATTAATAGACTTTTCAAGGGGCACCTACTGCAGCTGGCCCAAAATAATAGCAAATAAGGTCTGGTTTCATATAGCAAGTGATTCAGCAACTTCGAAGATAAAAAGTGCATAAGCAAAAACTTGTTTAAATGCAGGAGATGGAACAAAATCAAGTGAAATGGCCTAAGGTTGCATGCACCCTATTAGTTAGTATTTCAGTACAAGATCATCAGACTAGGAAGGTTGATTCACTAGTGACCTGCCACATGCCTGAAAACAGTGTAATCCTAATTCCACGCCAACCAAAAGCTCATTATCTTTCAATTTCGAACTAACTTAAGTCAGTTCCGGTACACCAAGAGGTACCCTTCCAGGATGTGGCATCCAGGGGTAGGCGCCAGGGAGCTAGGCGGCGTCTGGGCGCCCACCTTGGCGGCCTAGGCGGCCCTAGGCGGCTCTAGGGGGGTCTGGGCGGGATTTCTTGGATAATGACGGCAAAGTTAGCCCATACCATGTAATGGAAGCAGCCATCTCTCCCAAACACTATCAAAATCTGGCCTTAGTGGACTGAATTAGCTTAGGGTTTAGGTCAATACGAGGAGAATCCAATGGTTTAATCTGACAATTCTGACTAGAATCTGATTGTGCTTCGAGGTGTAACACGAGATTGTTGGCATTCGCAAGCAACATGTGCATGCATTTCAAAATTTATATTCATTTCTTTTGAATTATATATATAGACTGTTAAGCAGAACAAAAGTATAACAGAATAACCAAATGAATGAATGGCAGGCATATTAAACGCATCTTCTAACAATATTCAACAGTTAATCATCTTAAAATCTAGTACTACGTTGGGGTTTCATATGTCATATGAAGAAGACTCAGCTGCAGCTGCAGCTGCAGCAACCTTAATGAAGACATCCTCCAAAGTAGTGTCAACCACACCCCATGCAAACACTGGGAATCTACTCTTTGCAAACTCCACTGCTTGGAATACATCTGCAATTCTGACCTCATTTTTGGGCAGTTCAAACTTCTGTGTCCCCGACAGTCGGTATGTCTTGTTCGCGTTGGGTGACAACTTCTGTACTATCCTCTCCACTTCTTCCTCATGTTCCCAACTTGTTGTCATCGTAAAGACATATAACCCTCCATGTCTCCCCTTCAGCTGAATCATCACATATTTTCAATTCTCAAACCAACATATTTTCAATTCTCAAACAGTAATTAATCCAAACATCCAATCCAAGAATCTCATTGATAGGAGAATAGAAGAGTTGGGATTTGGTTACCTCCTTCGGGTTTCCTATACACTGCATCCTGCCATCTACGAAAATTCCTAATCGATCACACAGGACCTCTGCCTCTTCCATGGAATGTGCTGAAGATATATATCGGCTTTGTAAGTGAAATGAAAGAGCTAAACATAGATAGAGAATTAATAAGGTAACAAATAGATTGTGTGAGAGAGAGGGGGAGAGAGAGAACTGGTTAGGATGATTGCCCGGTCTTGTTTTGCAGTCTTTATAACATTCCATAGATGGTTTCTCGAAGATGGATCAAGTCCAGTACTAGGCTCGTCCATGTAAACAACCTTCAAGTACAGGAATTTGCAAAAGAATGAGTGCAATAAGTTGCATGATCTTGAGATAACATATCCAAAATAAAAAATCAAAGTAGCTTCAACAGATGGAGCACCAAGACCTACTTTGGGGTCCCCTATCAACAAAATTGCGACGCTGAGCCTTCTCTTCATGCCTCCACTGTATTTCCCTGCTTGTTTGTCAGCAATCCCACCATCAAATAGCTTGACACTCTTCAAAGATTCTTCCACTGCCTTCAGGAACCAAATTAAACCACCCACAAATTAATCCTCCCAGCTAGCTAAACGTATCAACCCATCTTGAATGCTTACGAGTTTTCAATAACAATCCCAATGTCAAAAATAGTAAAATTTCAATTTACTTACTTGCATTAAGGCACGACCTTTGAGGTTCTTAAGTCTGCCATAAAATAGTAGATGCTCCCTTCCAGTCAGTGTTTCCCACAGTAGGCTAAATAATATCCAGTAAGCAAGAAACTCATAAGATTCATTTAAATATTTAAAGAAACAACCAAGAAAAAGAAATTTTGCTTAAAATTGATTTAGCTTACTCATGCTGTGGACAAAATCCCATGCTGGTATATATATCGTTCATTTGCGTCCGAATGTCCATACCATGAACATATGCTGTGCCAGAGGTTGGTTTTGTGAGACCAGTCATCTGTGGAAAGAGGTTGCAATTGCTTAAGCATTAACTAGCTATTAATTAGTATATATGTTTGATAATTATATATTCTAAAGAAGTAGAGTGTGCTCTGCTCACCATACTAATAAAAGAGGTCTTCCCTGCACCATTGGGGCCAAGCATACCAAAGCACTCCCCTGGAGGCAAAGCAAGAGACAACCCTTTCACTGCAAATTTCTCAGGGTTTCCATCTCTTCCCGGATACACCTTTTTGAGGTTGTCACAAATGATCGCATGACTTGTATTTTGTTCCAATACCAACCTCTCAACCATCTCGATCTGGAAATTAGGAAGAAGTGGAAGCAGAACTAATTTATACCTGTGATAAAGACTAATGAGTATATAAGCTAGAGCGAGAGAAGAAAAGTTACCTCGTGACTAACATCAGATTTCTCCATCTGAATGGAAACTTTAGATCCCTGCCTTTGCAAACTAGGCCTCCTTAGAGATGTAAGTTTCTTCTTCCTAATCCTTTGCAAGAAAAATAAAGGACTTTTTCCACTTCCAGATGATACAACTTGGTCAATGCAATATGCAACAAAAAGCACCACAAACCACTCAATAACCATGATAATGAAGACCTCTCTCATCCCATTCTGGTTATCATTCAAATCGCCCCATCCCATCCCAACCCTTTTTTCTTGCAAGGGGTATTGTGCTAGCTCGTATAATCCACGATACAGAGAGAAGCCAGGATACAACTGTAAAAGAATGATCCCGCGTCCTACGTACAAGAACACCAATACAGAGTTGAGTTTCTGAAAAGTATAAACAAAAAGAAAATTAAATTCCAAATGCTTCATTTTCATAAAAATTTCCACTTACTAGAGACTGATGCATCTTCGATGAAGCTTCGAAAAAGATTTTCTGCCAAAAGCCCAGTTCCAAAGACCAGAATGTAACCTATAGCTGTTACCGTAAAATCAACCATGTCAGTTAAATCATCTCATGAGATAAAACTTAAAATGTAAATCCCTGATCAATAATTTCAAACCAAAAGAAATCGAACCTGTACAAGCCTTAACGTTTGAAAACATTGAAGCTACTAGAAAAGCCGCTGCTATTTGCAAGTTCATATAGATGAAGTAAAAAACCAACTGGATGCTGTAGTCATTGATTGTGAAGAATTTTAACCCTGCAAGGATGGAAGGAAACACACTTGAATTCATTAAAGCAACTCAGAGTGAAACCAGTCTGAAACAGTTGGCAAGTAGTTAGATTGATACAAATATACCTATGATGGAGCCAACTGCCATAAACAGCAGCATGTAGATCAAAGAAACTGCAAGAAAATAGGCATAGGAGATCATCCAATACGGTCCATCACCAAGGCCATGCATTTTCATCATGATTCTCAGTTTTTGTTGTTTCTCGTAAACCAGTGACTTCAAAACAACCTGCATACACCATTAAAAAGTTGGGAAATTAAGAAAGCTAAGTTAATTAGCAAAAATCCATGTAATGAATATGGATGAACATAATCAATCTTACTTACCGGGAACAGCAGTAAAATGATCCATGTAAAGAAGAGTGGACCAAGTAGAGAGGAAAGATCCGGTATGCTTACTACGTTGGTTACAGGCTTAGGCATTTCTTTGACAAACTCAAACAGCATTTTGGTACCAGGGCCTTGCAAACACTGAAGGTAGGCATTGGATGCCTGGCAGCAAATAAAACAAATGAATGTATTAAAACTCATCCCTGCCTGATCAATTAGCAACATTCACTTTTCTTGTTTTAAGATATCACCAAGTAAATTAACAAGTTAATTATGTGTATGTTTGTCTACCAGATTCACTGAGCGCCCAATCCGCTGCAGATCAGAACCAACACTCCTCCTCAAGCTTGAATTGTACCAAAGGATTGCATTAAAACTGTTCTCATTTGAGTTTAAGAAATCATAGGCTGCAAGAAAATGCACCGTCAATAGCTAGTACATGATGATACTGTCTGTATTCATCATATCAAAGTCAAGTAGTGGGGATAACCTGCAAGTATTTCATTAACTTTCCTCTCTGGGTTCCCCTTTGGGTAACCATTATATAGCTCATTGTTTATATCAGAAGAATTGTTGCGCCACAAAGTCAAAGCTTCAACACATCTAACCTCTGGATTCAAGACAAAGTTTGGCAAGCAAAAAGGTTATGTTGCGAGCAACATAAATTGAAGTGCATGTATGTGACAAGTGATGAGTATACTTTTCGTGCGCGAACATTGTAGTGTTAGTTTTGTGAAACTTTTCTTTTTAATGTTTGAAGAGATTTCAAGTTTGAAATTCTTGCCCGTTAATAAAAATAAAATAAAATAAAGGAAATCTATAACATACAAGCACAAAGATTAAAAGTTGTTTAAAAAACAAAAAAATACCTTGTTCATATTCTTTATTGGGTTGGGCCTTGGGAGTGAGGCCTGGATTGGGGGCTTGGGTTGGGCTGGGGGCTTGTGGTGGAGGTGGGTTGCGAGGCTGAGGAGGGGGAGGGGGCTGTTTGCGAGCTGAGGGTGGGGGTGGATAGCGGGCCGGAGGCGGGTTGGGAATGGGCTGGACACGAACTGGGGGTGGGTTGAGAGTGGGCTGGAAGGGGACTGGAGGCGGATTGGGAGTTGGCTGGTAGGGTTCAGGTGGGTCGGGCGCGGGCCGAAAACGAGGTGGAGATTTAGAAATTGGGAGTTTTTTGGTTGTTATGAGCATGTGAGGTGAGGCGGAGGCCAGCCTAACCACAGCATGAGGAGGCCCTCCCCGTCCATGGTCGAGTCTGGATGATACATGAAGAGTCGGAATGGAGAATGTAGAGTTGGGGGAGCATTGGCGCTGCACCTTATAGATGGTTTGTGTGAAGAAAGCTCTGTCTAAAAAGTTGGGCGCTCTAGGTAAGGAGTGAGATCCCTGCACATTTATCTCAAGTGATTAAGAACATTTACTCTGCATCTCAAGTTCCTAGGTTCAATATTGTATAAAAGAAAGAGAACGAAAACAAAGCATAAAAGGAGAATTGACTACAACTTACCATGACATTGTTGGCCAGAAAATCCATGACATCAGAGGAATTGAGAGGGAAATCATTGGACAACAAATTCCCAGCCAAAACTATCCAAGTTAATGCAGAGATTAAGGTTAATAATAGTAATTAAACAACAAATGAATCAAAACATGTAATTAATCAAAACATGCATACTTTGTCCAAAAGACTGATTATTTCCAGTGACCAGTATAGTGAGAGGACAGGAGCCGTTAGCCCTGCATGACTCGTCGGGCAAGTCTGTGAAAGGAATAACAGAGTCACTTGTAACTGCACGAGAAATAGCATCGGGTATATGCAATACCGGAGGCCATTCTCGAGGCTTAGGATAGGGACAAGGGCTCCCTTCATCGAAACCGCTGCTGCTGTTATCGCACTTGATTAAGTTCCTTTTGGATTCTTCCATTTTCATTTTGTCTGTCGCAATTTGTAGACCAAGCAAAATCAAACACAGCAAACAAGGTATTAAAACCAGCGATACATTCGAGCACATATTTCGTTTCTGCAAAATAATCCACATAATGTGATCAGTGCTTGTCCAAATTTTATATTAAAAGAAAACTGAAACTAAGATAACAAAATTTGAGAGATGGACCTGAAAGGTTAAGTTCTTTCTAAGCAAAGCATTGGACTGAGTCAAGAAGCTCGCCGGGGCGCGTAAACGATCGGCCATTGATGTCCGCAACCAGGAATTCCTTTAACTTGTCTGTCAGCACCAAAGATTCAATATTCTAAACCTTTGAAAAAGGAAAAAATGAACTCAAGTAGTCAAGTAATTTTAGAGATACCTGTAATGATAATGAATGAGACCAGTTTTGAATAAGCACTGGTGTATAATCCAAATAAGAACTAATTATTTATATTAATCTGCCAGACTGATCTTGATCTGCTCTGCTCTTGATGTACCATTATGTAATGTATACTTTTTGGTGAGAGAGAGGCTTGACGCGGCTCATTAATTTTTGCCAGTTGCCACACTTCCTCATTTGATTAGTTTTGCGAGTGATTAATTATACCTAGTCTGTTTTTGTTAATTTTGGGGAGATAGGGAAGGAATTAACATCTTCAAGACATTTAAGGAATCAAAGAAATAAACACACGCAAAACAGATCAGATCAGACCCCCAAAAAAATAAAAGTATTAATTTCATTCTATTTAATTAATATTTAAGCTGCTGCCAGGGAATTACTTATCCCTACATTACAGAAATCATCCCCTAAATCAAAGGAATTGCATACGCGCATGCAAATTGATTGACCAAAATAAAATAAAATTCAGCATTAATTATCGCAATAATTCGGAGAAAATCCCGTTGTTTTCCTGTAATAAGCTTAAACGCGGTGGCAAATCCTTAATACTCAATCGAATCCAGAACCAGTTTGGTAATTTAAACTTACCCCCTCCCAAAACTTAACGCGCAAAATCGCGCCTTCTAAAACAGTACGATCTTCAGTTCATCGGAGTCATCACTGGGAAGTATAAAGTATGAATGAATGAAACCAAACACACTTACTTGAAAGAAACCATGAGTTTACAGAGCGGTTTTCCACTGCTGTTGCAACAATACAAGGCGTTGTTGAAGAAGAACCTCTTGCTTTCTTGGCGGAGCAAGAGGGCTACCTTTATACAGCTCTTCTCCTCCTTCTTCTTCGTCTTCCTCATTTTCTTTATCCAGAGGGGCCTCAAGGCTCAAGAAGCCAAGTCCACCGACTACAAGACCCTCACCAATCCTCAACCTCTTGTTTCGCCGCCCATCCCTCCATGCGAACACAAATACTCCATCCAAAAGCCCTGCTTTGATTTCGCCTGGAGCGGAAATGGAAGCTCTAGGATTCAGACCATTGTCAATGCTATCATGGCTAATAATCCGGACAGGCCAATTCCCTCGTCCAAGGTACCAAAGATTTGGACTTTTGCGTTGTGTTTGGTTGTCGAGAAAATGCAGGGAAAAGTTGTTTGCTCTTCTTGTTCCTTTCTTTTTCTTTTTACTCTGTTTCGTTGGACCAACTGTCATGTGATAAGTCTCGTTTTGGCTTTTAATTGTGCAGGTCAAATCGTTTAGAACAAAAGATGAAGTAGATGCATGGCTGTACAGTAATCCTATGCATTGCTCAGGAGCTTTGCATTTTGTGGAAAGAAATGCCACTGTAATTAGCTATGGCATACAGACTAATTCTACTCCTGTTAAAGCACGAGGGCAATACGAAGATCCAACGTTCAAATTCCAAATACCGCTTCAGATTGCTGCAGAGCGTGAAATTGCCAGGTCTCTGATTGGAGGTATTATGTTTTGTTTCTCATGCTCTCTTCTTTGAAGAAAGCTTTATTTGCATGGTTGCTTGCCACCTTGACCTTAAAACTTGTCTAATGATTTTTTACAGTTCCAAATTTTAGCTGGGTTCTTTCCCTCAAGGAATTTGCACACCCAGCACGGGAGGCTTACGCTGAGTTGACTGATGTAGTTCCTGTCATCTTTTTTGCGGCTTCCATGTTTGGTTTTGTGTTTCAAATGAGTTCTTTGATCACAGAGAAAGAATTGAAGCTTAGACAGGCAATGACAATGATGGGCCTTTATGATACTGCATACTGGTTTTCATGGCTTACATGGGAAGGAATTATTACCCTTCTCTCATCACTTTTCACAGTTCTATTCGGAATGATGTTTCGGTTCGATTTTTTCCTAAACAACAGTTTTGCAATCTTATTCCTCGTGTTCTTTCTCTTCCAACTCAATATGGTAAGTCGGTTTGGTGCAATTAATTTTTTACTTTATGTTTGTTCTTGCTCGTTGATTTCATGTTAAGCCTCTGCTTAGCAATTATGTCTGATCCATCCACTGACTTTCGTTGCCAGATTGGTTTTGCCTTTATGCTGTCGACCTTCATAAGAAAGTCATCTACATCCTCAACTGTGGGTTTCTTCATATTTATTGTTGGCTTTATAACCCAGGCAAGATTCCCCAGTTCAAGAATCAAGATTTGTAGATTATGGTTATTGGTTCAATAGTACTAATAACAGATTCCACTTTTTCATTGCAGATTGTTACAGTAACCGATTTTCCCTACAGTACAAACTTCAAATCCAAAAGGACTGTTCGAATCGTCTGGTCATTATTCCCACCTAATCTTCTTGCCAAAGCTTTACAGATGCTCGCGGAAGCAACATCCACTCCAAAGGATATTGGGATTAGCTGGAGTGCAAGGACAAAGTGTGGGCCAAATGATGATCATGATTGTATGACAATTGTATGTGAACAAATTGATCCTCAAATTTAAAATATTAACATAAATTTATAAGGTCTTTTTGAATTTTATGATTTATATTTACATTCGAATTTTGTCAGAACGACATCTATTTGTGGCTGGTGGCTACATTCTTCCTCTGGTTTATATTGGCAATCTACTTGGACAATATCATCCCAAATGCATCTGGTGTGAGAAAATCAGTGTTTTACTTTTTAAATCCAGGATACTGGACAGGGAAAGGTGCAAACAAGTTGGAAGGTAGATATAAGACTGAAATTCAGTTGGTGGTTGAGTTTCCCTTGTTGAATGGTACTTATGACATAAATTATAATGCTTTTTTTTTCCTCTCTTTCCACAGAGGGTGGCATTTGTAGTTGCATGGGTTCAGTTCCACCGCAGGAGCATTTTACGCCGGATGATGAAGATGTGCTTGCAGAGGAGAACATTGTAAAACAACAAACCAAGGAAGGCACAGTTGATCCAAACATTGCAGTTCAGATACGCGGTCTTGTAAAGACATATCCCGGGACTACCACAACTGGTTGCTGTAAGTGCAGGAGGACTTTACCGTACCATGCTCTCAAGGTAACCAACCTTACCTAGTTATATATATGTCCTCATGGTCAAGTTTTCCTCTAGGTTCATTATTATACTTTTTAGACCAAAAATCTAGTGCAGATGCAAGGTAGATGTTTCAGCCTTCCAGGTCTTGGAAAATGAAATAATATAGTAGCAAGCAACTGAAGTATTTTGAATAACTTTCAGGGTTTGTGGGTCAACTTTGCAAAGGATCAGTTATTTTGTCTACTTGGTCCCAACGGAGCTGGGAAAACCACCGCAATCAATTGTTTAACTGGCAACACACCGGTGACTGGAGGAGATGGTAATACTATCAATTTGTTTTTTTTGAGTGCATTGATTGGAAAAGTCTTGAGATTATGATGCCAATTGGGAAATGATAAATTTGCAAACTGCCTTGTCGCAGCATTGATTTATGGAAATTCTGCTCGGAGCTCTGTTGGCATGGCAAATATTCGAAAAATCATAGGATTTTGTCCGCAGGTGCTCTTCTCTCTCTCTCTCTCTCATGTTGCAACAACTCATTTGAAAAATTTGACTCAACGTGTATGTATATTGTCTCCATTCATAGTTCGATATTCTTTGGGATGCATTGACTGGGCAAGAGCACCTTCACCTCTTCGCTAATATTAAAGGCCTCCCCTCAGCTTCAGTAAAATCGGTACGTGCTACACTAACTTGCATAGGGTATTTCACATGCTTTCTTCCTTGCACTATGTTTAAACACTGCGTGTTGCAATCCTTCTTTTTTGTTCCGGAAATGAAGGATTATGATATGCCGAGTTCAAACCAGTGCTCATGAATTTGGGCAAGGATGATTCTTTTGTTCTGTATAAGACAGATGCTCCTCAAATGCAGGTTGCTAAGAAGTCATTGGCAGAGGTGAGACTCACTGAGGCAGCCAAAATGAGAGCTGGGAGTTACAGTGGAGGAATGAAACGTCGCCTGAGTTTCGCCATAGCCCTTATTGGTGATCCAAAGCTACTCATCTTGGATGAACCGGTACGGAAATGTGGACCAAACCCTTTACTATGTCTACTTCCTCCGGTTTTCTAATTTACTTTATGATCTGCAGACAACTGGTATGGATCCCATAACAAGGAGGCATGTATGGGACGTCATAGAGGATGCAAAGAAAGGGCGTGCAATTGTCCTAACCACTCACTCAATGGAAGAAGCTGACATTTTAGGTGACAGGATAGGAATAATGGCAAAGGGTAGGCTACGTTGCATTGGAACTTCAATCAGGCTCAAGTCAAGGTTTGGGACCGGTTTTATTGCCAATGTGAGCTTCCGTGGAAGCACGAATGGGCAAAATCCTCATCATGACGCTGTGAAGCAGTTCTTTAAACACGTAGGCTGGTTTTGAACGATTTGAACTCATTTGTATACAAATGAAAGACTAATTTCTAACGTGGGGTAAGTTTTTGCAGCATTTGGATGTTTTACCAAAAGAAGAGAACAGAGCATTTCTGACTTTTGTTATTCCTCATGATAGAGAGGGGCTTTTGACGGTAATTTGCTTAGTATCTTTTTCTGGTTCCTCTATAACTGCAAAATAAGAAGCATATCTGACTTACGAGGCTTGTGACCTAAATACAGAAATTTTTTGCGGAGCTTCAAGATAGAGAAAGAGAATATGGCATAGTAGACATCCAACTTGGACTTGCAACTCTTGGATTAGTCTTCTTGAATATCGCAAGGCAGGCAGAGCTAGAAGCTGCCACAGCTGAGGGGAGGTTGGTTACTCTCACTTTAACATATGGAGCCTCAGTTAAGGTAAACACAATCAGTTTTCTTTTTTCCTTTTTACATTGACCTGGAATCAAGCTTAAAGTTACTTTGCGTATAAAGGTTTTGCAGATACCTGTAGGAGCTAGGTTTGTGTGGATTCCAGGAACGGAATGTGCAGAATATCCAACTGGGGTTATGGTACAAGTTTTCTGGGAGCAAGATGAATCTGGTGCCCTCTGCATATCCGGCCACTCCCTTGAAACCCCAATACCTCCTAATGTTGAAGTGACCCCACCACGCATGGATTCATTTGGCCGATCCGGCCGTTCCCAACCGGTTCATGGAATTCTGATTCATCCTGGCCAACTCAGTAAAACAAATTCTCGTTCATACCTCTAGTTATAAGTTAACAGAGATACTATACACAAATTTTCTTCCATTTGTAATTTCCGGTAGTACATAGCTTTTCACCGTATCCGTTCGATAATTATTCATTGCCTATTCAAAATTGTTGGAGATCTCTAATTTCACTATTTTTGACAATAAAATTTGAACCTAATAATTTGTCACAAGAACGTTTAAACGTACATAGGAGACGGCATTTGCATGTTGCTGGCTCCTCCCTCGGTGTGAAAAAAACATTGAGATATTATTATAGTAATGGTCAACGATCATTACTGCCCAAGTTGACCTGCGACTATCAAGCTTCTGCACACTGCACTGCACATCTCCAGTGCACACAGATCCGTTTGAAGCAGGAGCGTCTGATTCTTGCCAGGCATATAATCTTTTACTTGACATCACCTGAAAAAATGGAACCTAGAATCGCAACCAAACGAACTGCGAAACTTACATAAAAAAAAATAACAAAATGAAACTTGAGAATTGGAAAAACATGCAGTTTTTAAAACTGCAAAGCCATTGATCTACATATTTATAATCATGTTACAGCGGTTTGAAATGTCAGTTACTACAACAAACAAAAAATAAAGTAAAAACACACAGATCTGAAAGTATTTTGAATCTAAAACTCTAAAAACCATGTAATTAAACAATCAGTAAAGCAGCAAGGACTTGTTGAAAGAGCAATCATCGGTAATTAATTAGGGAGCCAAAAGAGGGTAAATAATTAATTAAGGAGCAGTGAAAGTACAAATCAAAGTAAAACATGTGTAAAACCTAGCTACTAAGTATTAGAGATGATGGATGAGAGAAAGGTGTAGAGCTCCCTTCAATCCAAACAAAGATCTAACACAGGTAATGCAGCTCCTGAGATATGCAAGCCACAAGCCTATTCCTCTGATGATATGAGATAGGGCTGTGGGATCCATAGCTCAGCAGCTCAATCCACCCAGCAAGACCTTCTATTGGACTTCAAGGAGCTCTGCTCCGTAACCCTAGCTACCCCTACCTACCTACCACTCGAAACCCTAGCACCTGCATACATATACATATGTGTATACACATATATATATATATATATGAACTTGGAAGGGAAAATCAAGATGATAAAAGACAAGATCAGTAAACCCTTCACTGACCAAGAGAGATCCAGCCCTCTAAACTGCAGATGAACACTGATCGAATAACAGGTTTTGTTATCGTGAAAATAGTTCCCATGAATCATCTTATTACTACAACATATGTCTAGATCCATGCATCCTTCATCGAAATCCATATATCTCAAGGATCCATGGCTTTCCACCAAGCTTCGATCAAAAGAATCATAAAGTCATCGCAAGATAGCTAAGCTAACTAAAACCATTTCCCTCTCTCTCTCTCTACTGGGAATGGGAACTACCTCTATCTAACTAATTACGAATACCCATTAAGCCAATATATATATATATATATATATATATACAAGGCATGTAAAACATTAATTAGATATCCTCTCTAGCTACCAAAGTAGCGTACAGCGCCAACCATTCAACCATTTTCTCCCCCTAAATAATGACCCTTCAAAGTTGAGACCCACTATGATGACCTTTGATTATAAATTGAAACTCGAGGTGTAACGTTTTATAATGCTTCTGGATAAAAAATAAAATAATGGTGGGATAGGTCGGCAAAGCCTGTTTCTATCAACCAGGTCTAGGGAACCGGCTTCTAAGATTCCCCCGCTGCGCGATATTAAAACTCATCACGTGCCTGCCTGCCTGCCTTGTTTCCCCCGCTCTACAATCTCCAAGCCCTAACCCCAATTTATCGTTTCCTCATCTCTGCTTGCACCAGCTAGCGCCACAGCTCACATGCTTGCTTTCTTTCTGTTAAAACATCTCGTGAGGTGAGAAGTTGAGAGAGAGCCCAATCCTAACAAATTCGACTTACCGTTAAAAGCAATCCAAGTTTTGATTTTGAATGAAGAGTTCGGCGAGTGCTACCGACACGTGGCAGCGACGTAGGGAGAAAGACAAAAAAGTCTGAGGTGAAATGAGTGGTAGTTGTTGAATTAAGATTTCCATTTTGATTAGACAAAAGGGACGTCGATGTGACAATACAGCTCAGCCTGGTGGGACCAGCTGCAGCGTGCCCACGTTATCTCTGACGCGTGTTCCTCGCTCCTGTCTGCCCCCACTGCCTTGCTAACGCGCGCACTTTCGACTATTTTTGTAATAAGACGCTCTTTGCATCATTCGATTCTGCCACGTAGACTAATATCTGAGCTTGTTAATTGGTTGGACGGTGGTTGATAGGCAGATGGTGATGCGCAAAGAAGGCAGGCTGGTGCGAATGTAGAATAGTATAACCACGAAATCCAGGGCTAGATCTCGCTGTCCTGGAACATGTTTACCCTGCCTGTCTTTAGCTTTTATTGCTTTCTTCTTGTCTTCTTTCGCCTTTTTTAATTTCTTTTTTATTCTACTTTGGTTCAAAATGATTTTATATATTAATACTGGGCTGGGTGCGGTGAAGTTAGGAATGGACAAACCAGAGTCCAATATATTATATCAATGGACTGGGCTAGGCAAGCTACAGAAAAAAAACCAGGCCAGGCCCATATTTTATAGAGATTGAAATATGTTCTCATTCATATTTCTGGGCTTCAGCTACAATCCGAGATCAGACCAATAATAAAAAGATATTGGATCAAGGCCTAGCCATCCATCTTCCATCTTGGATTCTAATGGACCACGGTGTGCTTGAGAGATGAAGAGGTTTCTAGTCCCAATAGCAAAATATTTTGTCACTATACCCACCGTGTAAAGTTCTAATCTAAACTACGGAAAAAAGGATTTGAATTCGGCGTAGAGTTGGAAGCACAATTGCTCTAATCAACTTGGCTAAGCTCATGTATACTGATTCGTAATTTTGGACAAGTATGGAATGATTACACTTATAGGTGCATTTTCTTTAAAACAATTGTATTCATATACATAACATCAAATACAAATTTTGTCTCCTCCAAGAGAAAAAATTCGATTCTTCATACCCACCAGCATGATAAAAAGCATTACATCAAAAGCCCTAGTACTACACAATTGGTAATTTTGTACAAGTAAATAATGAACCGGGTTGATAGAGCGCCGAACCGGAGCCCAACCTTAAGGCCTGGACGGTGGAATAGAAAGATAGTGAAATAAAAAACTATCACATATAAAATAGCACACCAACAACTGTACGCTAATAGTAGATTCCAGAACGCAAAACTAGTGTTCATTTTATCACTCCATTCTTTTTCGCTCTCATAAAAACCCTAGCGGGCAGTACAGAATCTCGGAGAACTCTAGCCATGGGTACGTCACCTTCAGTCTCATATACATATTTCTTTATTTCTTTATCTAATTACTTGTGCATAACAATCTTGCTTTCCTTTTTCTTTTAAATTTGTCTCCACCTCTCTAATTTTTAATTTTCGAAGATTTTATTTTCCCTTGATCAAACTCCGGTAGATCCACTGGGTTATAGGCGATTATTAGATGATTTTATGAGTTATGGTCTGAATCTTCCTTGCGTTTATTCTACTTTGTCAGGGTTTCCTTTTTTTTGTTAATTTTTTGGTTTCAGTTTTTTTTTGTTCAAATTGATCTTTTTTTGTGGTATTTGATTAAATTTTAGGATTGATTGGCCTCCCTCAGTTCAACACCGATATCAAGAAATAAATTCTTTTAATCTATTTGAATTCTCGTTGTTTCTGGGAAACTGAGCAATAGAGTTCAGAATAAGGTTTAGCGCATAACTATAATAATTTCGCTTGTAAATTATATAATAGTTTTCCCTATTTGCTCTGGTTAGTAGGCGTTTATTTGAGGTTGTGGTGAAAATTGAGATATAGTTCTAATTACTTATTCAATTTTCTGTAAATGGTAGATATTGAGGAGGAAATCCGATCGTTACAGCTTGATTCGGCAGGTATTTCTGAAAAGACATGTGAATTTAGTTATTATGGTTCAGACAGATAATTGTTCTATGGTAAAATTTGAGTTTTGTATTAATGCTTTGTGTATATATTAGCAGAAGATAATGGAGTTGTTAATCCAGAAGCTGCACAGCCGGAAGTTGAGAATTCCAATAAAATGGAGGAAGGTTGGTAGTATCATCGAATACTTTATTACGTCATTGTTTTGTTAAGGAGAAGTTGTTTGAGAGGGCACAGTGTGCTTTTGCTTTATTAACCTGTTATATGCTTAGTATTAACTGCCAACGGTTACTATTTGTGATGGGTGATACTTTGAAATCTAGTGATGGTTGCCAGATTAGGATGCTTGTATGAAGAGAACAAAGAATTATGGTGCTAATCTAGAACCAAATGATTGTAATAAATTTCTTATCTTCATATTACATATAATTGGCCAATCATAAATCAATGACTACCTACCTTACTGTTTATTTATGACTGGCAACTTGTTTGGTGAAATTAACTATTTATGCAGACCTAAGTTTCCAGGGATAGAATTGCTAAATATTGTTCCACCTCTAAGTTTTAATATATTTTTTTAGGAGAAATAGGATATTAAAGCTTAATGGGAGAGTTTCACTAATCTTATGTTTGATGGGAGGATATACATTGAAGATTCATTCTTCTTCTTCTTTTTTTTTCAAATATTGGAACAATTTCAGATTCCAAGGAAGAGGTTCATCCGCATTCAGTTAAGCCAGAGGTGGTTGAGCAGAAAGGTAGCTTGGAAGCTTCTTTCAGTCCGTATTAAATTTTTTCTGTAATTATGCGCATATTTGTTTTGTTTTGTAGTGCATCACCCATCAGCTTTCTTATCAAATTCAAATATATATTCTTCTTGGATGTCAATTTTTGGCTTGAATATGCAGGGAAGGAGAAGATAAATGTGGATCCAGAAGAAGAACATGATGAGATGGAACTAGATAAGAAGAGACACTTGAATGTTGTTTTCATTGGCCACGTCGGTAAGTTTATTTTTCTCACAAGGTTGCTTAATTTAGTATTTCTGGCTTTAGATTGCTGTCCTAGTTGCTTGTCTTAGAACCATGCATACCACTAGCCACTAATGTTCTCACACACACTCACACTCTATAGGGTCCTAAGTGATCATGCATATCCCGGTAATATGGACACTGTGACTTCATTCATTTTTCTTAACTTTTATATGTTCAATGGGTGCTGCCAGCTGCATCTCCCATCTGTCAGTTTCCCAGAAATTACAAGGTAGTAACACATGAAGGCCACAAGACTAACAAGTACTTTATCACCTGAACTGCGCTATGTACTTTCTAAAGGGCTTCTCTTTTCTTGAAGCAGCAAAATAAAGCAAGCAATGAAACTTCCACTAACATTTGGCTCGTCTTGAATGACCTGGCTTTCTTATCATGCCAATAATTGACGTATAACCTATGACAGATCAATTTATTCCAAAAATATATTTATATTGTTGTAATTCTGTCTATTACATTGTACTTGTCTCATTTGGTGTTGTGAAAGGCTGCAGGTCTTGAATGCATTTGAATGTTTGCATGCATTAGTTTTCAAATAGAGTAATTCATATGCCATTGTATTGGCCCTATTGCTTACTTGGTATGTTGATGTATAGTAATAACGTGTCTTGTATTGGTTGCAGATGCTGGAAAGTCCACAACTGGAGGCCAAATACTTTTCCTTAGTGGTCAGGTTGATGACCGTACAATCCAAAAATATGAAAAAGAAGCAAAGGAAAAAAGTAGGGAAAGCTGGTGAGCATATCCTAGTGCTATCTTATTGTGAACTCATTCTGTAAGAGCATGCATTGGGAAAATTGGCTTTCTATTTTCTTGTAAGCATTGGGAAAATTGGCTTTCTATTTTCTTGTAAGCTTTTAAAGTATTCATAAATGAAGATAATAGAATTTTATGAGTGGCACTGCTTAAAAGGTGTAATATAGGAGTGGAATTGGGAATAAGTGTTGAAGTAGACTTCGACAAGGAAGTAGGATGACGGCGTTTTACTTTTGAAGTCATATGTTAAGAGTCTGGGCTTCAGCTTTCTTGATTATTACAGAAGTCAGTACAAGATAGCAACCTTAGCACCTTGTGACCAAGATCCTTATCCCCTTGAAAGACCAGTATCTTTTGATATTTTTATCTTACACATGCAAATAACTAGTAAACAATTTCACATGTCTAGTGAGGTCTGATAGCTATTCTCAATATTAGTACATATATTTGGTGGCATCTGATATTGCTCTCTCCTGTTCCTTTTTCTTTGTTTTCTCACTGTGTTGTCAAAAGACAATTTTTTTTAAAATTCAAAACTGCATTAACATATATTATCTGAAGCATTAATAGACCTTTACATATGCAGCTTGCAATTTCTTTTTCTGTTCATGCTTCATTGACTATGGTTGTGTCATATCTGCTAGGTATATGGCCTATATTATGGATACCAATGAAGAAGAGAGGGTTAAGGTATGATTTGAATGATTCAGTTACAAAGTTGCTGCAATGTAATTGTCATCTTCTTAAGTCATTGTTAAATGCTAACTGATGGTGCTTACAACACCTAGTTTTGTCAAAGGAACAGCCTGTTATCGCTGTAATTATTTATTGTTGGAAATCTCATTGCAGGGTAAAACAGTTGAAGTTGGACGAGCACATTTTGAAACAGAGTCATCAAGATTTACGATTTTGGATGCACCTGTGAGTGAATTTTGTTTTCAAAACAAGACTTTGTATCTGTTTTTTTGTTGGTCAAATTTACATCACACAACAGAATGGGAAAAGTATGAAAGAGGATAAATGTCTGGTTGCATACTACGCTGGCATAGGAACAGAGTGGTTACATTTAATATGGTTGAGTGACTCCAGGATAAGGTGAATGGTTCAGTATCCAGGAACAAGATTGTTTTCCAAAAACTGTGCGACATGTGGAGGACTGAGTATGCATCTGAGTTATGCAAGTGGTTTTGCTCAATCTTTTAGTATTTTGATAAGTGGGATACTGTATTAATGAAGAATGATTACAATCTATCTAGCTATCTGCCCTGTTTTTTAGTTTTTGAAATCTGTTTTGCTTGGTTTAATTATATTTGTCATCATTAATATGGTTTAGCTTACTTTGTTGGAAGAATGATCCTGAGTAGTGCATGTTTGTTATCAGGGCCACAAAAGTTATGTTCCAAATATGATCAGTGGTGCATCTCAAGCTGATGTAGGAGTACTGGTGAGTTATATCCGTGACGTATAATCACTGCATCGATCCTACATATGTAAACTTTGTGTATTTAAATATCTTTCTCCTCTCTATATTTAGGTTATTTCTGCTCGGAAAGGAGAATTTGAAACTGGGTATGAGAGGGGTGGACAGACCCGTGAGCACGTTCAGCTTGCTAAAACTTTGGGTGTGTCCAAACTGCTTGTTGTTGTAAATAAAATGGATGATCCTACCGTGAATTGGGCAAAAGAAAGGTACTCTACCATTCCTCTCTTGTGTGGCCCCCTGCCCCAATGGGATTAGTGATATCTTATGCTGTTAATTTCACCAGATACGATGAAATTGGGTCAAAGATGGTGCCATTCCTTAAAACATCAGGCTACAACGTGAAAAAAGGTATGCAAGGATTTTTTTTTGTGGCAAACTTTTGTGGTTTTGGGATTTAGGAAGTTATATCTTATTTCTATATTTTCTTTTAAGCTGGGTCTATTCCACTGACTTGCTAATTATGCTGGATTTCTTATTTAAGTTCTAATGTTATTACAAGCGGAATAGGTTTAGGCAATTTACTTTTCTCAAGCTATAGTTACCCTATGGTTTCCCTTGTTTGATGGGAGTGATGAGGGGGAATTGAACAATAGTGGAGGGATTGGCAAATTGTTGGGCCTGCAAAAGGTCCCCCCAAATTGAAGAGATTAGAGGAGAAAATAAGTGAAACCTTACTTTTTCAATGCAAATATTTGTCATCAAGTCAGGACATAAATTGGGTTTTAGTAAATCGTGATTTTATGCTTTCGTCTCTCTACTTGTTTGTGCTTATTATGTCCTTTTACCGAAGAAGAAAAGAGAAACATTATTTGTATTCCTTTCCTTATCCTCTCCACCTCTTATACTTACTTCTCCTTTCCCTTGTCCTTCCTACTTTCTAACCAGCATGGATGCCTGATAGCTAGCATTCTTACTTTCTTTGGAGTATTGGCAATTCCATGTGATAATTGAATACTCAATTATACCCCATTTATCTAAATAAGAGATGGAATTTACATGCCTTGTAATGGTATGCCCCATTTATCTAAATAAGAGATGGAATTTACATGCCTTGTAATGGTATGCCCCATTTATCTAAATAAGAGATGGAATTTACATGCTTGTAATGGTATACCCCTGATCATCAATGGGTTAGGCGATGTTGAAGCCACCCAGAGTCTGCAGCTAAGTGTGGCTGTAGCTTTTGTTGACTACTGAATCTTTTTCTGCTTTTCCAGACAAAGTCCCTACCCCCCTCCTCTCCCTCCCTCCCTCCCTCCCTCTAATTGTTTTGAGTGTGTGGTTAACGATTTACTTGATGGTAATTGAATGTTACATCAGTGGATTTCTTTTTAGTTCTATTTTGATTGCTTTTGTTTTTTCCGGAAGATATTGCTTTTGCTTTTTCCGGAAGATATTGCTTTGTATTATCATGGTGTATTGACTTATGATGTCATTATTTTGTGCTTTGCCTGTACAGATGTCCAATTCCTACCTATATCTGGTCTGGTTGGTACAAACATAAAAAACAGAGTGGATAAAACAGTATGCTCGTGGTGGGATGGTCCTTGCCTGTTTGAAGCCCTTGATGCCATTGAGATTCCTCTGCGGGATCCCAAAGGTCCATTCAGGTACATGGTTAATTAATATTGCCTTTTTATTTTTCGTCCCTTTTTTTTCTTGGTTTTTCTCAGCATAGAGGAAGTGTCCAATGACAAGTGTTTATGTTTTTGTTAGCTTATTTAAGAATCTTTAATCCACTGACTTTCAGAACCCTCCTTGTAACCTTTGAATCGTTTAAGTAAGCATCTGTATTTTTGTTTTTTGTTTTTTGGTTTGCTTCACTGTCTGATTGATGTACATATGAATGTTTTACTTATTGAGGAGGTATTTGCTATTTGAAATTTATTCTCCCCTTATAATACCGTGATAAAAGCTGCTTTTATATAATTTGTTTTTACTGTGATGAATGGCGTTTAGTCTAGTTGCTTAACATTTTCAAAGTAATTGTTTGGCAATGGAATTTGGATCACTGGCACTGTTATAAAAATATAGGGAGGGTGGAGTATGATGTGGGATCAGTAGCTCCATGGGTGCGTTAGTAAATTGACAGTGAAGAACGAAATTGCTGATTTATGGCTAATCTTTCAAATTCCATCTGTAGGATGCCTATCATAGACAAATTCAAGGACATGGGAACTGTTGTTATGGGCAAAGTGGAATCTGGTTCGGTGCGAGAGGGGGATTCGTTGTTTGTCATGCCAAATAAGGTTCTGCCCCGTTCCTTTTAATATTCTATTTGTTTTTCTTTTCCTCCTTATAATTTCCCTTTTATAATACTGTGTATTAAGAATTACAATTGAAAACATTGGTTTGCAGGTTCCAGTGAAAGTTGTTGCTATATTCATTGATGAAGATAGGGTCAAACGTGCGGGACCTGGTGAAAATCTACGGGTTAGATTATCAGGCATTGAGGAAGAGGATATATTGTCAGGTTTTGTCTTAGCCAGTGTTGGTAAGTTCCCTTTAATGACTTTTGTCCATTGTTAAAGACTTGCTATCCTTGTACATTAGTAGTATTGTACTTTATTTCTTGAAATAAAAATATGCATTATTGTTGCATGTTCGTTGTTTTCCCTTGAAGGTTTGAAGCATAAGATTTGTTGTTTTTATATGTTTATTTAAGTGAAGAGAAGTAAGAAAAATGGTGATGGGCAAAAGACGATAAATGAGAGAAGTGAGGTAAATAGGATTATTGAAACTGTTTTTGGTTAGCTTTTATTTCTTAGAATCAGTTTTTATTATTTATTTTCCTTCTCTATTTTGTAATTGAGAGAACAGAAAACAAAAAGAAAAAAGCATTATCAAACTGGCCCTGGTTAATAATACCATTATAAACTTATAGTTAATTGAAACTCTCCCTCCATTTTGACCCCCTTTTATTTCATTTAGTTTTGGACTGCAATATATCTGTTGATATGCCAATTTTTTTGTTACCTTTATACTGTCCTACGTTTTTACTATATTTGTTTAATAATTTATCTTTTGCTCTAAGTTTGCTTCTTATTTTAATGCAGCAAATCCAATACCAGCGGTTACAGAATTTTTTGCCCAGTTGCAGATTCTTGAGTTGCTGGACAATGTATGAAGATTCTCTCTCTCTCTCTCTCTCTCTCTCTCTCATAGAGCTGACCAGCATCTTATTTTCCTTTTTTTAATTTATAATTTATTTATGATCTTGATTGGTGAACATGTGTATGTATCTAAAGCCCTCAATATACTTCTGTTTAGGCAATCTTGACGGCTGGCTACAAAGCTGTCCTGCATATACACTCAATTGTTGAAGAATGTGAGATTATTGAGCTCATAAGTCAAATGGATCCAAAGACGAAGAAACCTATGAAAAAGCATATTCGTTTTGTCAAGAATGGCGCTGTTGTTGTGTGCAAGATTCAGGTTTGTATCATAATAGTTTCAATTATATGCCTAATAGAAGGTTGTGTCCTTTTAAATATTTTAAACCTGCATTTTACTGGTCATAATTTCTTTGTGAAGTAGTGTATTATCCCCAAATTGCAACTAGTTTCTTCTGGGGTTTGGCAGATTGGCGGTTGTCTTTCTTCATTGTTCTCCTATATGTATTCCAGCAGATAAATTGCCCTACATCAGACTCTTCACGACCTGAGCAAGGCTCATGGTTTCTGTCTTCCTGGTCCTTAAGACTGTTCTCTCCCACCCCCTCCCCCCCCCCAAAAAAAAACACAAAAAAGAGTAAATTTTAAACATAATAAAGTAGAGCAAATCAGTTTTTAAATCTTTGTTTCATTTTGTTTACTTTGATACAATTGTGCACCTGGTGCTGCCACAGGTGAATAATTTGATATGCGTTGAGAAGTTCTCAGATTTTCCACAACTTGGAAGGTTTACTCTTCGTACTGAAGGTGCTAAATCCTTACCTTCTTGATCCATCGAGCATGTTTTTGGTGTGTGGTAGTAAATTTTATTTCTATGTATGTTCTGCAGGAAAAACTATTGCAGTGGGAAAAGTAATTGACCCTCCATCAACTTACCCCCTCAAATTAAGTTCTTAAACAATTTTGATCTTGAGGGTAAGCCCTTTTAGATATAATTTAAATACTAGATGGCTTCAAAGCATTCTAAGTTTTATTACGTTTTGAAAAAAGATGTTTTTGTTCGCTCTCTTCTGAATTTTGTGATCCCACCATAACCTATTGTTTCTTGACGGGCAGAGCTGGGTCAGTAGGACTGGCGGCATGATGGTTCCAAGTCAGCTCAGGATCTTTCCTACTTACTCAAAGTGTATCGATTCTGGTATCAGGTTAATATAGTTGGTAGGTTTATGATGGAATATACTGTTGCTGGTGGCCACGTACTCTGGAGTGAGCTTTTGCCGGGTACGGTGGGCATTTTTCATTTGTATGGGTGTAAAGTAGGCTTGATTTGATTCACCCATTGTTGGGTTATTACATGATTCAAAGACTGACCAGTCGTTGATCAGTCTATTTCATTAATGGTTGTCATGATGGGCGTAACATATATATTTCGTTCTTGAGAGACTTTTGTACCAACTCACTATAGATTCTATATCAGTACGCTTGAAATGAATTCGGTGTGCAGACATTACAAAAATACAGCCTAGAAAATTTACGCAATTACCATTTGCTATAGGTGTATTTAAGCTGTGTGTTAATTTGGAGTAAAAAGTGAGAATGTGCAGCCCCTTATAATTTAAAGTACATTCCATGAAGCATGGGTGCAGTCGGTTCGGTGCAGTGCAGGGAATGGGAGATGAATTTGACTCTTTCAATTTGTGTGTGCATTTTATCCTCATGTTATGTCATAGGGTTAAATGTTAGTTCAGGCTAAAATTTTAGCTCTCTAAAATATTTATTTTTAAAAGAATAGTGTAGGGCTTTTTGATCTCCAGCCGTGGCTATATTTTAAGGCCCATAATTTTAATTATTTTGCAAAAAATCATGGTACAACAAAGGATTGAAATATTGGCCGATGCATTGATATATCTTCCGATATATCGGTAGTTTTAACTGTTGACACAAATATTGGGGGTAGGGTCATATCTTCTTATGTATTGACCATGTATTCCCAATATTTTCCAATACCCATAACAGAATTCAAAAAAAATTCAGAAGTTTTGAAGGCAATTGAAGCAAATTGAAATCCCAAAAATAGCTAATCCTTGCTCAGAACCCTATACTTTATTAATATGAAGAATCTATGTACAATCCACTGCTCACATACTTCCAACCCATCTAAAGAGGACATGACAATCAGTTTTGGATCTATGAGCATATGAACTAGACCTAATATTAACTCAAATGAATCTTATGATTGCTATGGTTATGTCATGTCTGATTATAGTGGAACTAGTTATGGAGCTCAATATGATGAAACAGATTATGGACCTACTAGTTGGGTTAATCCTAACTATCTCATACATGGAAGGATAGTAGGGAGCTCAAGAGATACCTATGTGCATCATGTTCAAACATGGCTTACAAACTGCTCGGGTTACATGACATGGTATGACTAGCATTATCAACCCTAGGACAACAGAGCTGTTTGATTTTACACTTATTGCTTCTTTAGAATTTCAGAAGACATTTCTTATAGCTGCTACATATATGTGCTTGTTTTTCTCTAATTCAGGGGATAGTTAGTGAAGAGAAAGTAGATTCGTTTAACGTACCAATATATTACATGTCTCCTCAAGAATTGGAAGCTGCTGTAGAACGAAATGGATGCTTTAGCATAGAGAGAACGGAGACCTTGCCTCGCATCTTTCCACAAGGCACTGTCTCTGGCTCTGGTGCCCAACTAGTTACATCTCACATTAGAGCTGCCGTTGAGGGACTCATCAAGCAGCACTTTGGAGATGAAATCTTAGATGAGCTCTTTGACTTGTGCCGCAAGAAATTTGAAGAGCAACCGTCCATGTATGAGTCAGGGATGCCAGTTAATTTTCTTGCTGTGCTTAAACGCAAGGCAACCTGATTTTTATGGTGTGTTTGGTGTTTGTGAAGCTATAGTTAAACTTTCTTGAGCTTCCTATCTTGTTATGTGACTGATTAAAGTGGCATGTAAAATCGCAGTTAATTATATATTTGTAATAAGTTGAGCTTCGTATAATAAGTGTGAAAATAAAGCTCATTTTAGATGAGCTCTTTGACTTGTATAGTAAGAAACTTGATGATCAACCACTACTTCCTTTAATTACTATACCTCTTTACCTACCACTTCCCTTTCACTCTCAGTCGCACAATGCTTTTAGCTACTAGCAAGTTTTCAAGGTCCCTCGTGCTTTCCCTTTCATTATACCTTTTCTTACATTTATTATTTATTAATATCTGAGTTTTTTCTTTGCTTTTGCTTTTATTTTTTGTTAGATTTGTCAGGTTCTTCATGCAGAGAGGCCCTGCTGAACTCAAATGGTTTTCGTTTTATTTTCTTTTGGCTATTGGATGTGTTTGTTCTTTACTTTTTGGTTACTTGTATTCCTACAATAATTTGGATGGGATAGCATGATTTTCAGATACTGAATCATTTTTGATATCAAAAGCCCTCAATATATAAAGCTATAATTGAACGGGGTCCTATACATTCTGTTCTTTGCATGATGTAGTTGTATATTACTGTTGTTATTTCCATAAAAGTGATTGGAGAATCGATATCTTGCTAACTTATAAGATACACCCCTTTAATCTGCAACAGTTTTCTGCAGGGGAAAATCAGTTTGATGAAAGTAGAAACTTTTAATCTGCCAACAGTAAATAATATAATACATATATAGATGCATCTTAACATCTATATAACTTAGAAGGTCAACCACAAGGTAATCTTTCAGTGCCGGCATGGAGAAGGAAACAAAAAGTCTTTTTCCTTTTCCATTGAGTATTAATTTATTTTAATTGATTTACTTTGTCTTTTGATTAGTGGCAAGTAGTGCAGTAGTATCTGCCGACTGTAGTTATAAGAGTAACATACATGACATGACGTACACCCCACTCACACATACAGGGAAACAGAGAGATGGCAGCAGCAGAGGAAGCCAGTAAATTCTCTGAGGAAGCATATGCATATGCAATGACAGGTGGAGATGGACCCAACAGCTATGCCAAAAACTCAACTTTGCAGGTTCTTCTTTAGTTAGTTTGGTTGGAAGGGGTAATTAGTGGCTGCTATAATAAGATATTTATTGTTTTGATTTCTGCAACATCATTATTTACTAAGATTTAATCATTTTATGTTTGGTTCCTTTAACCTAAAGCAAGTATAATGGGTAAATTAAATAGTTCTGTGGATGGAAAAAATTAAAAGATAAACAAGGCAAAGATCACCTTAAAATAAAGTTAACATGCAGGTCTATGCTTTTGTAGAGAGGAGCCGGGGACGCTGCCAAAGAACTTCTAAACGAGGCAATTGCAGAAAAGCTTGACATAGACATCTTGTCATCTTCTAACACTTTTCATATTGCAGATTTGGGTTGCTCTGTTGGGCCAAATACATTTTTTTCAGTTGAAAACATAATTGAAGCGGTGAAATTCAAGTTTCAGAGCGAAGGGCTGAATTCACAAATCCCAGAATTTCAAGTATTCTTCAATGATCATACTCAAAATGATTTTAACATGCTCTTCAGGTCCCTCCCGCAGAACAGGCAATACTATGCTGCGGGTGTGCCTGGTTCTTTCTATGGTCGCCTATTTCCTAATGCTTCTATTCACTTTTTTCACTCTTCTTATGCCCTTCAATGGCTTTCTAGAGTACCAAAAGAGGTAGTGGACAAGAACAGTCCAGCATGGAACAAAGGACGAATCCATTACTCTAATTCCACAGATGAAGTAGTAAGGGCTTATGAAGCTCAACATGCTGAGGACATGGAGTGCTTTCTAAATGCCAGGGCACAGGAGATTGCTGATGGAGGAGTGATGGTACTGCTCATTCCAGGCCGCCCCAATGGTACCCCCCATTCTCATCCTGTGGGAAACGTGAGCTTCCAACTTATAGGATCTTGCCTCATGGACATGGCTAGGAAGGTGAGCAATGATCCACTGCTATAAGTTTGTCATTTTGCTATTGTGTATGGCTAGTCCATTATAATCCTATTATGTTATGTGTTGGCATATGAATTGTATCTGTGTAACTTTACAAAGCCAAATAATGACCCACAATAGAGATCATTTAAAAGAAGTTGGCTAATTTTATGTCCCATATTTGACATTACAATTCTTGCTTTGTGTAGAATTTCCCAAGACATTTTATTTATGGCTGCTATGTGTTTTTCCTTTGTGCAGGGAGTAGTAAGTGAAGAGAAAGTAGATGCATTTAACATACCTGTGTATGCCATGTCTCCCCAAGAACTGGAAGCTGCTGTAGAAAGAAATGGACGTTTTAGCCTAGAGAAGATGGAAACCTTACCTCATGTCTCGACACATGGGACGGTCTCTGTAACCCAACTAGTTGTATCTCACCTGAGAGCTGCCTTGGAGGGACGCATAACACAACAATTTGGAGAAGAAATCGTAGATGAGCTCTTTGAATCGTATCTTAAGAAACTTGAAGAGCAACCCTCCATCCTTGCAACAGGGACTGCAATTATCTTTCTTGTTGTGCTTAAACGCAAGGCAGATTGATGTGAAAATGCTGTTTTGGTATTCGTGAAGCTATAGTTCAATTTCTTTTAGCTTCATTGTTATGCTAGTTGTTTTATTATAAGACTAAGTGACATAAAATTGCTGCAATACACCCATCAGTCTTAGCGCAAGTGGCATGGGATGGACGTGATGGGATTGCTGGACTCCCCTTGTAACCAAAAAGTTGATGCAGTACAAATTTGTAAGCCACCTAAAATAAGCAGGGGAGAGATGTACTCTATCCTGAGAGACAATGCTCTTGTTTAAATCATGTTTGAAAACCTTTGGCTCCAGTTATAATCGGATAGTCTGTTTTCTTTTATGGTTCAATTTGGAGTTCAATGCTGCCACAAATGTAGTCTATAGCAGTATCTAGACGTATACACTAATTAATGTTAGACTAACACTAATCAGAAAACCTAATATCGATCTAACAAGGGCCGGCAGAGAATATTGGACTGAGTTAACAGATAACTGAGGTATGAGGATGAGATGTGAAAGTTTTGAAAATTGAATAATAATGTTCATTTCAGTTTGGACTATGGAGGTTAGAATAATGTTCACATCAGTTGGATTATGGTATTAGTCAAGGAAAAAAATATGCTTTGACTAATTCATCCTAAGTAAGGAGGTTTAACACTCTCCCACAAACAGTCGAAGAGTATGCAAAATAATAAAATAAGATGAGACATAAGAAACAACAACAAACCGGCAGGAATGGATATAATACTAATGATGATAATGAATGATAATGGACTTTTTCTGTTGTCTTCTACGTTTCTCAATTTAAGTTTAACTTACTCGTCTTTTATTTGTGACATGTAGTACAAGAGTGCAATACAATATGCCATTCTTAGCTACCCTCCCCTCCATCCCCCACCCCCCACACCAAAAAAAGAAAGAAGAGCACCCGGAGAGAGAGGGAGAAAGATGGCAGCAGAGAAAACCAGTAAGTTGTCTGAAGCATATCCCTTCAAAGCTGGAGATGGCCCCAACAGCTATGCCAAGAACTCCGCTTACCAGGTTGTTCTATAGTTTACTTTGACATGGGTTTGCAGTTGACTGATTTATTGCCTCTTCTGCTTAAACAGCATAGTTTTCGGTTGCATAAAGCATGACTGCTATAATTATTGTTTTGTTTTCTAGAAAATCATTACTTTGTAAACTTACTAATACATAGCACAATCTTATGTATGGCTAACTTAACCAAAATCAAGTTATTGGGTAAATCAAATAGTTATGTAGACAAATCAAATTGAAAATGTTGAGTCCTCTCTACTAAAAGAACATGCACATACTCTGCTTTTGCAGGAAAGGTGTTGTGGGTGCTGCCAAAGAACTTCTAAACAGGGCAATTGCGGAAAAGCTTGATGTAGAGATCTTTCTGTCCTCCAACACCTTTCACATTGCAGACTTGGGTTGCTCAGTGGGGCCAAATACATTTCTTTCTGTTGAAAACATACTTGAAGCTGTAGAATTTAAGTATCAAGGTTCAAGGCCAAGGCTTCAATTCTCAAATCCCTGAATTTCAAGTTTTCTTTAATGATCACACTCCAAATGATTTTAACATGCTTTTCAAATCCCTCCCTCAAAGCAGGCGATACTATGCAGCAGGTGTGCCTGGTTCTTTCTATGGTCGCATATTTGCTAATGCTTCCATTCACCTAGTTCACTCTTCTTATGCCCTTCATTGGCTTTCTAGAGTACCAAAAGAGGTAGTGGACATAGACAGTCCTGATTGGAACAAAGGACGAATCGATTACTCAAATTCCACAGAGGAAGTAGTAAGTAAGGGCTTATGAAGCTTAATATGCTGAGGACATGGAGTGCTTCCTGCATGCCAGGGCACAAGAGATTGTGTATGGAGGATTGATGATACTTATCATTCCAGGCCGCCCCAATGGTACCCCTCATTCTCTGACTTCGTTAAATGTGGTCTATCAACTTTTGGGATCTTGCCTCATGGACTTGGCTAGGAAGGTAAGCAACTATCAACTGCTCTAAGTTTTATAGAACACTCCAATAAGTCCCTTGGAAGAAATGACATCTATGCGTGTTTTCTTTATGCAGGGAGTAGTTAGGGAAGAGAAAGTAGATTCTTTTAATATACCTATCTATACCACGTCTCCTCAAGAACTGCAAGCTGCCGTAGAGAAAAATGGTTGTTTTAGCGCAGAGAAAATGGAAAACTTACCTCGTATCTCAGCACTTGACATTGAAAATGTTACTAGACGTGCCCAACTAATTGCATATCATGTTAGAGCTGCCACAGAGGGACTCATCAAGCAGCAACTTGGAGATGAAATCTTAGATGAGCTCTTAGGCTTGTACAGTAAGAAACTTAAACAGCAACCATCAATCTTTGAGTCAGGGAAGGTAATTAACTTTCTTGTTGTGCTCAAACGCAAGCCCAATTGATTTGAATACGCTGTTTGGTATTCGTCAAGCTGTTCTTAAGTTTACTTTAGCTAGCTTTTAACCTTTTTATCATATGAAATATTGACTTGTAAAATTAATAAGAGCCTGAGGAGACAAGTATTCTTATGTAAACCATTGAAAACCTTTGGCTCAATACAGAATTGCATGTGATGTGATTTGAGTGGTTTTCTTATAAATACCTACCCTCGTATTTTCACCATAGTTTTTGGATTCGGACTGGATATAAAATGATTTGAGTTTTTACGTAATGATCACACCTTAAGTGAATTCAAAATGCAAGGGCGGAACCAGGAATTTTTCAACGGGTTGGGCTAGCTAAAGTTATTAGCTTAAAATTTAATGATTATTTTTTTGGTACTTACAATTTCTATAGCCTTTTTAGAAATAAAAGTAAACATTAAATCATATAAACCAAGCTAGTTCATAGCTCCATAAACTAATTTTCAATAAGTTTTAACATAAACCAAATAGGGTTTAACACCATAGTGTATTGAACATCTAAGACTTTACCTAGATTGACCTTAGGTTCCTTCATGCATTCATATCATATATGAAAAGTTGTTTTATGTAAAAATATTGACTAAGTATGAAAAATGGGTTTTCGGAATAATCATTTTCTCAAGATAATTTTGGGCGGCTTTTATTCCTCACACATCAAATAAGAAAACTTGATTTTATGGGGTTTTAGTATGAAATATATATATTAATTTAATGAGCCATCATTTTTAGCCTAAATCCTATTTTGCACTAAAACCGATTTTTCATATTTTGATTTGGTGGGAATTTGATTTTCTAGTATTTTTATTTGAATCCAAATGAGGGGTACTTCTTTATTTACATTGTAAACTTAAGTAAATGGAGTAATATAAAAATAAATAAAAGTAAAATGACAAAGACATTTACTTAAATGTGGAAAATGTAAATAAGGTAATCTGTACATCGCCACTGATTGGGATAATATTGAAAATAAGTTAAATATATAGGTTATATATATATATATTTTTTTTTTTCCTTAAAAAACCACACTCAAAATTATCTTCGCATCCTTCCCTCTGAAGTTGGTCTGCCTGGTTTAATCCATTGATTGATGCCATTTGTTGATTTTGTTCATTCTTTCCTGACAATGGCTTTTTTGAGATACCAAAGGAGGTAGTGGACAGGAACTCCCCGACAAACAATTCCTTTCTTGATCCTGAAGCTTTTTCCACTATTTGTTGGAATCTTGTCTCGTAGATATGGCCACGAAGGTATGCCATTGATCAGCATCAGCAGGCCATAATTCTAACTTGGCACATCAATATAAACTCAAATTATTTGTCGTGCACCGCATCACCACAAGGGACTTTTTCTATTGTCTTATGCTTTTCTTAATTAATTTCCTGTCTTGGGGTTTAGCGTCAAGTAGCAGTGGTAGATACAGTAACAATGATCCCTGCAGTACAATATCCCATACATTCATACTCCCAACACAGAGAGAGAGAGAGAGAGAGAGAGCGAGAGAGAGAGAGAGAGATGGCTCCAGAAGAGGAAACCAGTAAATTCTGTGAAGCATATCCAATGAAAAGGTGGAGATGGACCCAACAGCTATGCCAACAACTCCACTTACCAGGTTTCTTCTATAATACCTTCACCTGTTGTTTTTTTAAAACAGCATAGTTTAGTTTTAGTTGAAATAAACTTTATATATAAACTGTTTATGTATGGCATTCCTTCAGCCATAACCAAATAGCTCAGGTATTAGGTACATTACATAGTTCTTGTTGGAAGAAAATTAAAAATTAGGGAACCCCTCAACTAACTGTATCCTGCACATTTCTGCTTTTACAGAGAGGAGTTGTGGATGCTGCCAAAGAACTTCTGAGTAAGGCAATTGCAGAAAAGCTTGATATAGACATCTTGTTATCTTCCAACAGCTTTCAAATTGCAGATTTGGGTTGCTCTGTTGGGCCAAATACATTTTTTGCGGTTGAAAACATAGTTGAAGCTGCGAAATTCAAGTTTCAAAGCCAAGGGCAGGATTCGCAAGTTCCTGAATTTCAAGTCTTCTTTAATGATCATACCCCAAATGATTTTAACATGCTCTTCAAATCCCTCCCTCAGAATAGGCGATACTTTGCAGTCGGTGTGCCTGGTTCTTTTTATGGTCGCATATTTCCTAATGCTTCCTTTCACTTTGTTCACTCGTCTTATGCAATTCAATGGCTTTCAAGCGTACCAAAAGTAGTAGTGGACAAAACCTCACCTGCTTGGAATAAAGGACGAATCCATTACCTAAATTCCCCAGAAGAAGTAGCAAGGGCTTATGAAGCTCAATATGCAGAGGACATGGAGTGCTTCCTGCATGCCAGGGCTCAAGAGATTGTGTATGGAGGATTGATGTTACTTACCATTCCGGGTCGCCCCAATGGTAGTTCTCATTCTCATTCTTCAATAAATATGAGCTTTCAACTTTTAGGATCTGCCCTCATGGACTTGGCTAGGAAGGTAAAACTGGTCTAAGTTTGATACTGTACTACTATGTATAGCTAGTTCTTTTTTATCCTTTTATGTTTTGTCATGTAAATATCTCAGAGATGAAAGAAGAGACTTGTTTAATTTTAACATCATTATAACCCTACGATGAAATGATATTTCGACATAGTGCAGATGACAATGCTTATCTCTTATGAAGCCAAATAATCCAACAAGATAGAGAACCATGTAAAACAAATGTGATTTTAGAATTAGTGTTGCTTTATATTGGACAGTACAAGACATCCTTATGGCTGCTATGTTTTTTCTTTATGCAGGGCGGTGTTAGCGAAGAGAAAGTAGATTCATTTAACATACCAATATATTGCATGTCCCCCCAAGAACTGGAAGCTGCTGTAGAACGAAATGGAAGTTTTAGCATAGAGAGTATGGAAAACTTACCTCATGTCTCGGTAGATGACACTGTCTCAAAATCTCAACTATTAGCAGCTCACATGAGAGCTGGCATGGAGGGGCTCGTCAAGCAGAAATTTGGAGAAGAAATCTTAGATGAGCTCTTTGACTTGTTTCGTAAGAAACTTGAAAAGGCACCCTTCTTCTTTGAGACAGGGAAGACAACTAACTTTCTCTGTGTGCTTAGGCGCAAGGGAAATGGATTTGAACATGCTGTTTAGAATTTCCTTTATCCTGTTTTATGTTTGTTTCCATAAGTGATATATAAGTTGCTGCAATATAAGTTTGTAAGGCACTTATAATAAGCAAGAGAGAGATACACTCTTTGCCTGAGAGACAGTGCTTGTATTGTGTACAAAACCGTTGGCCTAATAATTAATCTTGGCATTTAGTTCGTGACAACTTGAAGTGCTTTGCATGATGTGTCATGTGCTTGAAGCTCTTTCCTTGCATGAATTAATATCTCAGTAGTCAGTAGTAGATATAAATTAATAACCACCCTCAGACGAGAAAGAGCAGAGGAAACTAGCCGAGGACATGGAGTGCTTCCTGCATGCCAGGGCACAAGAGATTGTGTGGGGAGGACTGATGGTACTTATCATTCCAGGCCACCCTGACGGTACCTCTGATTCTCATGCTCCGGCAAATATGAACTTTGAATTTCTAGGATCTTACCTCATGGACTTGGCTAGGGAGCTAAGCAATGATCAGCTGCTGAAAGTGTGATATTTTATTACTTGGAGCCATCAATATTGAATAAACCATAAATATTATTCAAGTATATGTATAAAATGGTTCTGTCCTTTGAATTTAACAAGAAAAAATAAACATAGAAAAAGATGACTAATCTGTCTTACACTGCATCACCACCATGGACTTTTTCAATTGTCTTCTACTTTTCTTAATTGATTTATTTAGTCTTTGATTGATGTCAAGTAGCAGAATAGTCATACTGATCCCTGCAATACAAATATGCCATAACTCCCCCCTCAAAGAAAACAAAGGAGAGAGAGAGAGAGGGATGGCAGAACTGGAAACCAGTAAACTCTCAGAAGCATTTTCAATGAATGGTGGAGATGGGCCCAACAGCTATGCAAAAAACTCTACTTTACAGGTTAATTAGTATTCTTTACAAGGAATAGAGTAGGTGCAATTTAGTAATTTAAAGAGGTCTTCAATGGGCATGTTCTGATTCTGATTGAAACAGCTCAGTTTTCAGTTCAAATACAACGCAGAAGCAAACATTTCTTCTTCTTCTGCAAAACTCATTTAATTACTGTTAGGAAATAACAAGAATGTCATATATATATATATATACACACACACACAATAGCTGATCTAATTATATGACCCCTCAACTAAAGTGACTTGCATACGTTGTTCTGTTGCAGAGAGGCGTTGTGGATGCTACCAAAGAACAACTAAGTAAGGCAATTGCAGAAAACCTTGACATAGAAACCTTGTTATCGTCCAAAACCTTTCACATTGCAGATCTTGGTTGCTCTGTTGGTCCTAATACATTTTTTTCAGTTGAACATGTACTTGAAGCTGTGGAATTCAAGTATCAAAGCCAAGAGCTGAATTCTCAAATCCTTGAATTTCAAGTTTTCTTTAATGACCATAACCCAAATGATTTTAACATGCTATTCAAATCCCTCCCGCAGAACAGACGATACTATGCTGCGGGTGTACCTGGTTCTTTCTATGGTCGCCTATTTCCAAATGCTTCTATTCAAATGGTTCACTCTTCTTATGCCACTCACTGGCTTTCCAGAGTACCAAAAGAGGTAGCGGACAGAAACAGTCCGGCGTGGAACAAAGGAAGAATCTATTACTCAAATTCCACAGATGAAGTAGTAAGGGCTTATGAAGCCCAATATGCTGAGGACATAGAGTACTTCCTGCATGTCAGGGCACAAGAGATTGTGCATGGAGGATTGATGCTACTTATCATTATAGGGCGCCCCAATGGTACCCCTCATTCCGATTCTCAGGCCAATATTACCTTTCAAATTTTAGGATCTTGCCTCATGGACTTGGCTGGGAAGGTAAGCAATGATTAACTGCTGTATGGTTTACAATTATTTTTGCTTATTTAGAATTGCACAAGACATTTCCATGTGGCAACTGTGTGTATTTCTTTTATGCAGGGAATAGTTAGTGAAGAGAAAGTTGATTCTTTTAACGTACCTATGTATTGCATGTCTCCCCAAGAAGTGGAATCTGCTGTAGAACGAAATGGATGTTTTAGCATAGAGAGCATAGAAAACTTACCTGCTGTCAAGCCTCCTGACAATGTCTCTAAGACCCAACTATTTGCATCTCACATGAGAGCTGCTGGGGAAGGGCTCATCAAACATCATTTCGGAGAAGAAATCTTAGACGAGCTCTTCGACTTGTATCAAAAGAAACTTGAAGAGCAACCCTCAGCCATTGAGTCAGGGAAGTCGATTAGCTTCCTTGTTGTGCTTAAACGCAAGGCTTAGTTGACATGTAAATTGTTGCAATATATAAATTGGTGAGCCTCCTAGCTATAATAAGAAGGGTAGAGATATAATCCTAACCTGAGAGGCAGATGTCATTTAAATCATGTTTGGAATCATAATATAGTACTCTTCCCATTTGCTCCTTATATCATGGAACTTGGGTTTACCTATCAGCCTCAAGTCTGATTTCTAAAAACTCGGTGTTTGGTCACTGGAGAAGTTGCTTTGTACTTTTGTTTGTTCATCAATAATATACTATCACTTATTTAAAACTAAAACTTGGTTACATGTGATGTTTACTTGTTCAAATGAAGCAGAAATAAGAAACTCCATGCAAAACAGAGCAGCGTCCTGTTCTGTTGTTGAGTTCGTTATTTCTGCAATGATGTTTCCTATGCAGCTTCCATTTAGGAAAGATGTATCCGGAATTTGCACAATAAAAAACCCATGGAAACGTAAGGGTATAATAGGAATTAGAAAATTTGGTGAAGAGTAACTTTCGCCTGAAGTAGCGATTGAGGGGGCCCATCAGATTACATAATTTGAACGTCTCAGATGAAGAGAAGAGGAGAGAATAGGAGGAAAGGAGAAAAGGAGAGGATCTTGTGAAATGGATCTGTCGCTGTCTTTTAAAAGACAAAAGAACATGAAAACACCAAAGGACAAAAGAAACAGGAAAACACGACCAGTCAATTCCTCTTTTCGTTTCCTACCAAATTTTGAACTTTGAAGCACAGAGATGACAGCAGCACAGGAAAGCAGTAAATTCTGTGAAGCATTTCCAATGAAAAGTGGAGATGGGCCCAAGAGCTATGCCAAGAACTCCACTTTCCAGGTTCTTTTCTAGTATTTTTTTACTGTGAGATGTAGTCTGATCTGATGAATCTAATGGTTAAATAGTTCATAGTAATAATTATAGAAATTACATGTTGCATGTATATTGATAATGTAGCTCATTTAAGCTGTGTTGTCTGTACATTTTGTTGATCGTGTAAATTCTAGTCCAAATCTGAACTATCAATTTGTATTCAAATTACCCCTTAGGCATTTGTAATTAGTGACTGCTATATTCATATAGTTATTGTTTTGAGTTAGGAAAACATTGTACTTACTAAGAGATAATCATCTTATGTATTGTTCACTTAACCAAAATCCAATGAATTAGGTGAATTGGATTGTTCTGGAGACAGAACAAACTAATATCATGGATCTCACCTCAACTACAAGTAGCATGCTCAATCTCTGCTTTTGCAGAGAGAAGCTGTGGATGTTGCCAAGCAACTTATAGTCAAGGAAATTGCAGAAAAGCTTGACATAGACATATTGTTATCTTCCAAGTCCAACACCTTTCACATTGCAGATTTGGGTTGCTCTACTGGGCCTAATACATTTTTTGCGGTTGAAGGCATACTCGAGGCGGTGCAGCTAAAGTATCAGTCCCAAATGATGAATTCCCAAGTCCCTGAATTTCAAGTTTTCTTCAATGATCATACCACAAATGATTTTAACATGCTCTTCAAATCCCTCCCTCAGAACAGGCCATACTATGCCGTGGGTGTGCCAGGTTCTTTCTATGGTCGCATATTTCCTAATGCTTCCATTCACTTTGTTCACTCTTCTTTTTCCCTTCATTGGCTTTCTAGAGTACCAAAACAAGTAGTGGACAGAAACAGTCCAGCTTGGAACAAAGGACGAATCCAGTACTCAAATTCCACAGATGAAGTAGTGAGGGCTTATGAAGCTCAATTTGCTGAGGACATGGGGTGTTTCCTGCATGCCAGGGCACAAGAGATTGTGCATGGAGGATTGATGGTAATTATCATTCCAGGCCGCCCCAATGGTTCCTCTCATTCTGATTCTGTGGCAAATGCGACCTTACTACTTGTAGGATCTTGCCTAATGGACATGGCTAAAGAGGTAAGCAACGATCCACTGCTTCAAAATTTATGTTTTACTGCAGCATTCTGACTGACCACTATGTGTTTTTCCTTGATGCAGGGTGTTCTTCTCGAAGAGAAAGTAGATTCTTTCAATCTGCCTATGTATTACATGTCTTCCCAAGAACTGGAAGCTGCCGTTGAACAAAATGGATATTTTAGCATAGAGAGACTGGAATACTTACCTCGGGTGCCGGTGGATGACACTGTCTCGGAACAATTGGCATCTCACCTGAGAGCTGCCTTGGAGGGACTCATCGAGCAGCAATTTGGAGAAGAAATCTTAGATGAGCTCTTTGACCGGTACCGCAAGAAAGTTGAAGAGCAACTCTCTATCCTTGAGATTGAGTCAGGGAAGCCAACTCATTTTCTTGCGGCACTTAAACGCAAGGCAAATTGATTAAACATGCGGTGTTTTGGTATTTGTGATCATCTCTAGTTGGATTTCCTTTAGCTGGTAGTTCTTTTTGGGGGTTTTTATTATGACTAGAGGACATCTTGAACATCTTTGTGATTGCTGATTTGATTTGCAGAAAATAAACATCTTCATCAGTTTGGAGAAAGTGGACACTTTAAACTTTAATCTACCAATAACTTGAGGCAGCTCTTAGAACAGATTATAAAAGCTTCTTATTATGTAACTCACGTCAGGTGGCAGCATCTTAATGGTCCATGCAAATTTGGCTTTGAATTTGACAAGTTGAGTAACATCCATGATGCATGGGATGATGACTTATAACTGGCTGGCGGCCATTTTACTCCATCAATGGCTTCATTTCCGATGAAATAATAATAATAAACTTACAGTCACCAAGAGTCTGAAGAACTTTCATTCGGTATCTTTTTACTGGTTAAGATTTCCGAATGGAATAAATAAGGCCCTTCACTTCAGTACCCTCCTCGAAGGAATACGATCTATTAATCCAAAAGATACAATCATAGAGGAGAAACAACAAGAGAGATCGAGAGAGATGGCAGATTTAGTGGCATATCCTATGAACGGTGGACATGGCCTCTACAGCTACAGCAAAAACTCTACTTTTCAGGTGCAGCATGTCACTCTCAATAATGTTGTCTCAAAGATTTCATTTAATTTTTTTCTCTCAATAATTTTTGCTGTGGTTAAATTCATATAAAAGTAACCTAAAGCTTGTCCTTTTTTGTAGAGAAAAGCTATAGATGCTGGCAAGGAACTGATCAAAGAAGCAATTTCTGAAAAGCTTGATATCAAAAGCTTCTCTTCTTCAAACACCTTTCGAGTTACAGATTTAGGCTGCTCTGTTGGGCCTAACACATTCCATGCGGTGCAAAACATAGTGGATGCTGTGGAGCAAAAGTATCACACATGGCACTTAAGTATTATATGTTTTAGCAAAACAGTGGGTCTCACTTATGCCATATCAGCGTTTTTAACGGATTGTTTGACTACTTGATAGGGAGGGGCAAAGTGAAACTTTAAACATCGGTCAAGAGAGTAAAGTGAGTCACTTTAAATTTTGGAGGCCAATATAAAATTTAACCGTAATTTCAGAGAGTATTAATACAATTAAGCCTTCTATTTATTTAACAATAGATGGGTACAAAGGCTTTATAGAGGACTAGGCTTATTGGCCTTCAACAACTAGAAACTGATTAAGATTGGCCTTTTGGCTTATTGGCCTTTTGGTTGACACTTGGACGGTTCAAGGTAACAAGCCTATATATATAGGAGAGTCACCGACTTTGAATACAGCTATGTCGGTTTATTATACTACAATATCTTGATTATTTTATACTAAAACATGCTATGTATATCATGATATTTTGGAGTTACCGACTTTGTTAAGTCGGTTTGTTCATTTCTCAACTATTCTAGACTATTCTAGATTATTCATTTCTCAAATGTGCATTACTTTTCAACTTGAATCTGCAGTTTAGGGGTGTGTTGTTTTTCAAATTTCCTGGATATTTTAAAGAATAAATGTCATACTTCTCTTGCTGGCTGGCGGCCATTTTACCCCATCAATGGCTTCATTTCCGATGAAAAAATAATAATTAACTTACAGCAGCCACAAAAATATCTGAAGAACTTTCCTTCTGTTTCTTTTTACTGGTCAAGATTTCCAAATGGAATAAATAAGGCCCTTATCCTCAAAGGAAGAGGATCTATTCATCCAAAAGATAAAATCATAGAGATGGCAGATTTGGTGGCATATCCTATGAACGGTGGAGATGGCCTCTACAGCTACAGCAAGAACTCTAATTTTCAGGTGCAACATGTCACTCTCAATTATCACAATCTTGTCTCAAAGAATCATTTTTTGGTGTCCTTTTTTTCTTTTTTTTCTTTCCATAATTTTTGCCGTGCTTAAATTCATACAAAGTAACCCAAGCTTGTCCTTTTTTGTAGAGAAAAGCTATAGATGCTGGCAAGGAACTGATCAAAGAAGCAGTTTCTGAAAAGCTTGATATCAAAAGCTTCTCTTCTTCAAACACCTTTCGAGTTACAGATTTAGGCTGCTCTGTTGGGCCTAACACATTCCATGCAGTGCAAAACATAGTGGACGCTGTGGAGCAAAAGTATCAAAGCCAAGGACACAATTCTCAGCTCCCTGAGTTCCAAGTTTTTTTCAGTGATCACACCTCCAATGATTTCAATGCGCTCTTCCAATCTCTGCCTCCAGACAGGCGTTACTACGCCACGGGTGTTCCCGGCTCTTTTTATTCTCGTTTATTTCCCAAGGCCTTTATTCACTTTGCTTACTCTTCATATGCTCTCCAATTTCTCTCTAAAGTGCCAGAAGAAGTGGTGGATATGAACTCTCCTGCTTGGAACAGAGGGAGGATTCATTACTCGAAGTCTGCAGACCAAGTTGTCAAGGCATACACAACTCAGTATGCCAAGGACATGGAGTGCTTTCTAAACGCTAGAGCCCAAGAGATTGTGTGTGGAGGGTTGATGGCCTTTGTTGTCCCAGGCCGCCCCAATGGAATCCCTCATCCAGAAGTTTACTTCAATACAGCGACAGAACTCTTTGGATCCTGCCTCATGGACATGGCCAAGAAGGTAAGAAATTAATCAGCTTCAATTTTAAGCTCATATATATGGTGTAAAAAAGACAAAGATATGCTGCTTAGCTTAAGCTGGTAACTGACCTTTTTATTTTGCTGAGTAGGGTATCATCTCTGAAGAAAAAGTGGACTGCTTTAATTTACCACAATATTTCGCTTCTCTGGAAGAAGTAGAAGCGATTGTGAAAGCGAATGGATATTTCAGCGTAGAAATAATGGAAAACTTGACCCAGGAAAAACCACCGCCTAAGGTGATTGCCTTTAGTGTGAGATCCGGAATGGAGGGAATGATTCTGAAGCATTTCGGAGATGAGATTATGGATGAGCTTTTTGATTCATTTGGCAAGAAACTTGAAGAATCCTCCTCCGTCCTCGAATCAAAGAAATCAATTAGCTTGTTTGTTTTACTCAAACGCAGAGCAACTGAGTAACAAAACAATGCAGCTTTCTCTAGTTCCATTTGAAGATTTGAAGCTCCTCAACAGTCATTGTAGCTCTTTTTCATTTTAGTTAGAAAGATAATAAATGAAGAATTAATGTTCTTCAATTGTCAATGTAAAAGATTAAATGAGTGAAAAATAAAATAAGAATAATGTGTTGTAAATGCATGAGTTAGTGGATGACCACCATACCTCTTAACATTCAAAAATTAAAGGAAACTCACTTCACGCATGCAGGGGTTCAAGCCCCTTCCCCATTCTAAGGTCTGCAACCACTTAACCATCACGTCAGTCATCACTTTATGATAATAAGCTATGAAATATGTATTTATAATACATGCGAGCTGTTTCTCAAAATAGAAATTAACATAATTACTTATTGTTTTATATTGTTGATCAGTTACTTAATTACTTAATATAATTACTTAATATGTATTTATAATACATCCATTTAATGTTATTGATTATTTTATTATTCATTATAAGTACTTACATTACTAAATTCCCCTTCAAATTGGTGCTTAATTACTTAAATCTCTATAATTATTTTCTTTGTTTACTACTTAATTCTTCCTTTGATAAATTTATTTATGTTCTTAGTTAATTTTCAATCTTCACTATTATTTTTTAAGTATGGTAAAGTGCCTAATTTTTATGAAAAGTCAAGTTGGTTTAATTATTTTTCAATTTTTGATAAATAATAAATATAAGAACGTGTACCATGTCCAATGAATAATGTGAAATAATGTGCTTACCATGCAATTTATAAAGTGTAAAATATTGTACTAAAAAATGATAAATAAATTACTATAGGGTGTTTAATTCTCTTCATTAATTACTCCATATTTTCTAAGTCACGGAGTTTGTCAGCTCGCAATATAATCAACTTAAATCACTCAAACCCACTATGCAATGCATTTTCTTCCAATTTTTTGTGTCAAAATAATAGATGATTGACTAAATAAACTTCTTCGAAAGTTTCATTAAAAATTTCCATGTATTTATCACAATTTCAGTGGTTTTTATCTAATTTTTATCGATATCGATATTTTCCTAATATTTCCGTATTTTTAAACCACCGATATTTTCGAAACTATCGATATTCAATACATTGCTTAGAATAGAGTAGGCACCGCACAGGGCAATCTTTCAAGAGGGGAGTTTTTAGGTTATCAGATTATAGAAGCTCCTTATTATGTAACTCACGTCAGGTGGCAGCATCTTAATGGTCCATGCAAATTTGACAACTTGACTAACATGCGTGATGCATGGGATGACGACATATAACCCATCTAGATTACTTTAATTTCCTTTTGGCCAAATATGACCACGTAATGACTCCATGATGAGTCGATGACAACATTCTATTCCGTCCAAGATCCAACGTTGACCCAAAAGCATGTTGATGTTCAGATTCAGACCCAGATATATTAGTCCTATGAATCTGCAGTTTAGGGGTGTGTTGTTTTTCAAATTTCCTGTATATTTTAAAGAATAAATGTCATACTTCTCTTGCTGGCTGGCGGCCATTTTACTCCATCAATGGCTTCATTTCCGATGAAAAAATAATAATTAACTTACAGCAGCCACAAGAATATCTGAAGAATTTTCCTTGGTCAAGATTTCCGAATGGAATAATAAGGCCCTTCTCCTCAAGGAAGAGGATCTATTCATCCAAAAGATACAATCACAGAGGAGAAACAACAATAGAGATGGCAGATTTGGTGGCATATCCTATGAACGGTGGAGATGGCCTCTACAGCTACAGCAAGAACTCTAATTTTCAGGTGCAACATGTCACTCTCAATTATCACAATCTTGTCTCAAAGACTTCATTTTTCGGTGTACTTTTTTTTTTCTTTCCAGAATTTTTGCTGTGCTTAAATTCATACAAACAAAGTAACCCAAGCTTGTCCTTTTTTGTAGAGAAAAGCTATAGATGCTGGCAAGGAACTGATCAAAGAAGCAGTTTCTGAAAAGCTTGATATGAAAAGCTTCTCTTCTTCAAACACCTTTCGAGTTACAGATTTAGGCTGCTCTGTTGGGCCTAACACATTCCATGCAGTGCAAAACATAGTGGACGCTGTGGAGCAAAAGTATCAAAGCCAAGGACACAATTCTCAGCTCCCTGAGTTCCAAGTTTTTTTCAGTGATCACACCTCCAATGATTTCAATGCGCTCTTCCAATCTCTGCCTCCAGACAGGCGTTACTACGCCACGGGTGTTCCGGGGTCTTTTTATTCCCGTTTATTTCCCAAGGCCTTTGTTCACTTTGCTTACTCTTCATATGCTCTCCAATTTCTCTCTAAAGTGCCAGAAGAAGTGGTGGACATGAACTCTCCTGCTTGGAACAAAGGGAGGATTCATTACTCGAAGTCTGCAGACCAAGTTGTCAAGGCATACACAACTCAGTATGCCAAGGACATGGAGTGCTTTCTAAACGCTAGAGCCCAAGAGATTGTGTGTGGAGGATTGATGGCCTTTGTTGTCCCAGGCCGCCCCAATGGAATCCCTCATACAGAAGTTTTCGTCAATATAGTGTAACACCCTCAGCGGGCGATACAGAGCATATCTAAGGAATTCAAAATACAACCGAAGTACCGTTTAACTGAAAGGAAAAACAAAGCACCAAGAGTCTTTACGAAGACTCGAGTTCCAAGATGCACCCGGTCCGGCTCAACTGCAACGCTCAGTCGCTACTGGCTGGGGGCGCAAATAGAAAGTTGTGAGTGGACAAAAATCAAGTTCAGTTCAAAAGAAATCAAAGTAGTATAACCCCCACCTTTATCAAAAACATACAATGAAACCATAAGCATAACAGAACCATTAGAAACAAAATATATAAACATACACAAACACATATATACCGGATCTCAAATCCGTAATCCGTGAATATGCTTCACGAAGCCCACCATTCAACTTAAGAGTCCCGAGAGATTAGACTCTCGTAAACGTACTCAAAAGTACGACCGGCGAGGAAGTATCCTTACCGAAAAATAGAACAAAGGAACATTCATATAAATAAATATATAATAATAATAATAATAATAATAATAATAATAATAATAATAATAATATGAGATGGTAGAAGCATAATAATAATAATGATAATAGTAGTACATAAAGATAACCCATATTTAATTGTATCAGGGAAACAATCCAACCGGGGGACTGTTTGACTAGGCCACATGGCAGAGCCATTCCTCAATTCACCATGTGTCTAGGGAACGAGCTGTCCAACCGGGGGACTAACTCTCAGCCAGCACATACAGCCGACACAGTCAAAGCTTGTACGCCTGAAATACCAGTCCTACGCGTGCAGACTACCCCAAATCCAGGGTCCACAGCAACATCCCCTCAAGGATGCCCTGAGTTCTCATCGTAACCAAATTCAGATTAGGGGAGGTACATAAATTAGTGCTTAACGCACTCCAAATAATATATCCAACATTACCTTTCCATCGTTCATATTAACCACCAAGTACCCCATGCATAGCCGCATGTAAATATAGCTTCTCAAAATTCAAATATCAATGTAAGTTTCATGAAAACCTCGAATTCATTTGTTTCTGATGGTTCTGTTATGGTTATGGTTTCGTTGTATGTTTTTTATAAAGGTGGGGGTTATACTACTTTGATTTCTTTTGAACTGAACTTGATTTTTGTCCACTCACAACTTTCTATTTTGCGCCCCCAGCCAGTAGCGACTGAGCGTTGCAGTTGAGCCGGACCGGGTGCATCTTGGAACTCGAGTCTTCGTAAAGACTCTTGGTGCTTTGTTTTTCCTTTCAGTTAAACGGTACTTTGGTTGTATTTTGAATTCCTTAGATATGCTCTGTATCGCCCGCTGAGGGTTTAATTTTGTGAGGCCGGAGGCCTTTGTTGTAAAGTGTGTTGTTGCTTGTAAAGCATGCTGCCAGTTGGTTGTATTTAACTATAAATTTTGAACATGTTGAAGTTTGGAAATGTTCAATTTACAGGGGAAGACTTTGCCAAATTTTTGGTAGAAAGTCTCAATCTTTACTAAGTGGGCCCGGCATTAGGTTGATGTCGGTAATTAGGCGGGGTCCGTCCCGGATTCCGAGGAAATTCGGGACGGGTCTTGTCATACAACGAAAGAACTCTTTGGATCCTGCCTCATGGACATGGCCAAGAAGGTAAGAAATTAATCAGCTTCAATTTTAAGCTCATATATATGGTGTAAAAAAGACAAAGATATGCTGCTTAGCTTAAGCTGGTAACTGACCTTTTTATTTTGCTGAGTAGGGTATCATCTCTGAAGAAAAAGTGGACTGCTTTAATTTACCACAATATTTCGCTTCTCTGGAAGAAGTAGAAGCGATTGTGAAAGCGAATGGATATTTCAGCGTAGAAATAATGGAAAACTTGACCCAGGAAAAACCACCGCCTAAGGTGATTGCCTTTAGTGTGAGATCCGGAATGGAGGGAATGATTCTGAAGCATTTCGGAGATGAGATTATGGATGAGCTTTTTGATTCATTTGGCAAGAAACTTGAAGAATCCTCCTCCGTCCTCGAATCAAAGAAATCAATTAGCTTGTTTGTTTTACTCAAACGCAGAGCAACTGAGTAACAAAACAATGCAGCTTTCTCTAGTTCCATTTTGAAGATTTGAAGCTCCTCAACAGTCATTGTAGCTCTTTTTCATTTTAGTTAGAAAGATAATAAATGAAGAATTAATGTTCTTCAATTGTCAATGTAAAAGATTAAATGAGTGAAAAATAAAATAAGAATAATGTTATTTTTTTCTTCTGCTTGACAATGGTAACTGGTATTGGTCTTTGCTTTCCAATAATGTTTTCTTTTCTTCTGCTTGACAATGTTCTTTTTGTTAAATTACTTATTCCTTTATTTTTATATCAGGCCTCTCTTCTCTTACTGGTTCTCTCAAGTTATTAGTGGACTGAACTCAAACTGCATTGCAGTTATTGGCTATCATCTGGTGAGGTTGAAGTTTATTGCCTCCCTTTCTTTGGAATTTAGTACAAGAAAATAAAATAAAAAACCTAAAAAAAGATGAACCAGACAAGATGTAAAACGAGACAAGACGAAAGAAACCGTTCGCGTAGAACTCAAATGATTATAAATAGACAAATACAAATGAGTGCACACCTTATTGCACAGAAGGAAAGGGACCTAACAGAATCTGCCCACTCCTCAATTCTCTACCTAATACAATCCCCCCTACCAAAAATAAATCCTTTCTTCAATGAAAAAGCTAGTTTTCTCCTCGAGATTTTTTTCTTTCTTTTGAAGCTCATCAGCATTGCCAATGCCAATGCCAACTGGAAGCGATTAAGCAGCAGAATCCTTAGCAATCTTCTCTGCCTTGGCAATGACTTCTTCAATTCCACCAACCATGTAAAACGATTGCTCAGAAAGATCATCATACTTCCCATCCAGAACTCCCTGTAAAAATGAAATCCCACAGCACAACATCAGAGAATGGCAGGGGTAGGCACCTAAATCAATCAATACAGAAAAATGAAAGTAATGACTAATTCAGAAAAGAAAAAGTTGATCACCTGGAAGCTAGTAATGCTCTCTTTCAACTCAACATATTTTCCTGGAGCTCCTGTGAACACTTCTGCAACATGGAACGGCTGGCTCAAGAACCGTTGAATTTTACGAGCACGAGCAACAGTCAACTTGTCGTCCTCACTGAGCTCATCCATTCCCAAAATAGCAATAATATCTTGCAGATTCTTATAGTCTTGAAGAACTTTCTGAACACCACGAGCAGTGTTGTAGTGTTCTTCTCCTAAAATATGAGGGGAGAGCATGCGAGATGTAGAATCCAAGGGATCAACCGCAGGATAGATGCCAAGCTCAGATATCTGACCATCAACCAGTTGTTAGATTTAAGAACATATGGTGCACAAGAAAAATGAGTAATGATTCCTGCTTCAAAATTTATTTGAATTTAAAAGACAATAAACCTGTCGCGACAGCACAGTGGTGGCATCAAGATGGGCAAAAGTGGTTGCAGGAGCCGGATCTGTCAAATCATCAGCAGGTACATAAATAGCTTGAACAGAGGTGATGGAACCCTTCTTGGTTGTAGTAATGCGCTCTTGAAGTCCTCCAAGATCAGTAGCTAAGGTAGGTTGGTAGCCGACAGCAGATGGGATACGACCAAGCAAAGCAGACACTTCTGAGTTAGCCTGGAGAACAGAGACAACGAAATGGCAGCATATGGTCAGAAGAAATAGAAAATATATCAACCGAAATGCACGTGTTTGTGTGTGTGGAGACAGAGCTTACTTGAGTAAAGCGGAATATGTTATCAATGAAGAGAAGCACATCCTGTCCTTCAGCATCTCGGAAATGCTCAGCCACAGTCAGCCCTGTGAGCCCAACACGAGCACGGGCACCAGGGGGTTCATTCATTTGACCATACACAAGAGCACACTTACTCTCACTCTGCAATACAAGGTAATGGCTTTCAGAAGAACACAATGCCAATTAAAATTGGAAAAGTTAATATGTAGTGTGGCGGTAAGTTAACCTGCTGATCTCCAAGCTTAATGACACCACTTTCCATCATTTCTCTGTACAGATCATTACCCTCTCTTGTGCGTTCTCCCACACCAGCAAACACTGAGAAACCACCTGCAGAAGGAGGATGAAACATTTTATAACTCAAGAAATCAATATTCAACAGAAGAGGATAACTAAAATACATTTAGATGGAACTAACCATGAGCCTTTGCTACGTTGTTGATGAGTTCCATAATAAGCACTGTCTTCCCGACACCAGCACCCCCAAAGAGCCCGATCTTTCCACCTCTTTGGTAAGGTGCAAGAAGATCAACAACCTTGAAAACATCAGACAAAAAACTTATTGGTTTCTGTTGATGCTGATAGTGATAGAAGACAAATTTTCCTTTGAAAAAAATACTAATACTTCACAGAAGAAAGCACCAATGGTCCTTGGTCCTCTCTTCAACTCTGTCAGTCCAAAAATGATCGTGACAAACAGAACAGAAACCAATAACATTTCCAGAATTTGGCAATCCAAATGTATGCATCACCACCATTAACCTTGAATTTGGACTCAGTTTCCTTAGAATCTATGATGTCTATTATTTATGTAGCAGACCACATACATACCTTAATTCCAGTGACAAGAATCTGCTGCTCAGTTGCCTGCTCAACAAAAGCTGGAGCTTCTCTATGGATGGGTAGAAAGTGATCGGTTTCTGATGAAATGAAAACAAAATAACATGAAGTTGTATCATTTATTTGCTGAATACTATTTACAAATACTCAAAATGCAAAATAACGTAAAAAGGTTAAGATCTTCTGCGGCTGCTTACTTATTTCACCCCTCTCATCGATGGGCTCCCCAATAACATTCATAATTCGGCCAAGGGTGGCTCTACCAACAGCCACCTAAAGATAAAAATTTTAGATATGAGAGTCTTAAATCCGCATCCATTCATTAAAAAAAATATTGCTGGAGATAATCTGAGAAACGCACATTCACAATAAGAACATAAATGTATGATCCCAAACGCAACCCACCAAACCCAAAAAAAAAAAAAAAAAAAAAAAAAAAAAAAAAAAAAAAAAGATTTAATTTAGAATTAGAGAGAGAATAGGAACTTACAGTGATGGGAGAGCCAGTGTTGAGGACTCTTTGACTCTCTAACAAGCCCTTCGGTCCCATCCATGGCAATGGTTCTGACCATGTTCTCGCCTAGATGCTGAGCTACCTCAAGCACCAATCGGATCGAGTTGTCCAAGACCTCGAGAGCTGTGAGGATCGGCGGCAAGCCGTCGTCGAACCGAACATCGACGACGGCCCCGATGACTTGACAGACCTTGCCGATGGCCCCCTTTCCGGTGAACTCGTCGGTGATTTTGCCACTCACAGACTGTGTAGCGGGTTTGGGAGGCACAGATGGTGCGACAGCCGATGATGTGGAGTAGTGGGCGACGCGTGAGAGGAGATACCCTGTGGGGCGCGTGAGGGGGGATCTGGGGACTGCGGTTTTGGTCGTTGCGACGGTCCGGCGGAGAGAGGTACGGATGAGAGTCGAGAGGAGCTTGCGGGAGGACATGGTTGGCTGGTTATGGTGTTTTGATAATTCTGATCTGAAATGAGGGCTCTTTTATTTTTCTTATGTTAAGGCTCAGGCCAGTTGGTGGAGAAGATGATCGGTGTGAGAGCGTTGATCATTAGGTGATTGACACCAGCACTGGTGTGGTTGGGTGTGGAGGAGATTGAGAGAAAGCCAGAGTCAGACAGACTCATAGAGAGTGAGAGTGAGAGAGAGAGAGAAATGAGGGAAGATGCCAAAATGTGGTTTTTAACGTAGCTTCTCTCCTGGAATTTTGGGGTTCGTTTTAATTATACAAATTTATAAATAAACTCAATTCTAGACATGAATTTATAAAAAAACTCAACACTATTTAAAACATAGAAACACACCTAAAATCAACAAAAAAATCAACAATTGTATATTTTTTGGGTGTGTTTATAAATGAGTTTTGGTTGTGTTTAATAAATGGTTTTGGGTGTGTTTCTAAAGTGTTTTTCATGTTGGATTTTTTTATAAATTCAGCCCCTATTTTTGGTGTATTAGTGAAACTCCCTTTTAATTATTCGGGTTCTCCTTTTTCCTTTATTTGGGTCACATATTTCCATTTCCCAAATTTCCTTCTTAAAAGGGTCAAGGCCAATTGGCCACTAGGCGTCCTTACAAACAACTTCGAGTCTCACCTAGGGATGTATAAGATTCAATTCAATCCGTCCAAATTAATAGATACAATACAATTTTAATCAGTTTTGATAATTTGGCTGATTTGATTGGATTCATAATTTTCAAAATCAATATAATTAGATTAGATGACGGTTTGCTTATGAGAATCCACTCCAATATAATATGGTTAATTTTATGCTTATTTTGCTCTTCTAAGTATTTGTAGTTGAAAAGATTATAAATATTTTAAGTCATTTAATGGAGTTATGTTTAATATATTATATAATCAAAACAATTTTCTATAGTATTTCATTTATATTTACATTTACGTCTATTAATATGTTTGATTAGATTAAACCTAAGTATAAATATTTAATATTTCATTATTGTCTTTTTCTATTATCAAAACCAATAATCCAATTCAATCCAATCTAATATCAATTGGATTGGATTTAAACATCTAATATGATTGGATTGGATTGAAAAAATCACAATCTAATTTATATTAGATCGGATACGAATTAACTAAATTGTATTGATTTTGAACTGAATTCTCACCTCACTTACATTAAATTAATTAAAAATATTTTAGGATTAAGAGCATTTATTCCACATTTATCCTTGCACCCTCTCCTTTCTTCAATATTATTTGTAATTGTAATAATAATAATAATAATAATAATATTATTATTATTATTACTTTCATTATTTTTTGGTTAAATATAAAAATCTAATCCCCCCGGAAACAGAAGTGAATGAATGGATCAACAGATTCAAGACATAAAAGGCGGAGAGAGTTGCATGCCAGCCTTATAGAGAGTGACAGCAATGGGCTCACAGACAGCAGTGTCCTACTTGATGGCTCTGAATTCTTCTCAAGCATCCCTCAGACTCAGACCCTCAAGTTTTCCCCTCCAAATCCCACCTCATGCCAAGGCCACAAGCCGCAATCTGATTCTCAAATTTCCCAGAGCAAGAACCAGAGCAACCCTTGATGGCAAGGAACAAAGTGCCAGCACCACACCTCTACTTGTCCAGGAACCACGGCCCAACGGAGTATGCTTTTCCTTTATTTTATCTTCAGATGCGTAGTTAGTAACCCTGACTCATGCTAAAGAAACTGAGATTTCCAATTACAAGCAGGACACAACATCAGTAGCACAATCTTGTTTAAATTTCTCGAGAATAATTTGCTTGAATTTAAGTGTGTTGTTCTAGTTTGAGACCATTTTTTGATTAAGTTGTGCTGTTATTGTTGGGTTAAGGAAGTTGAGGAGAGTGTGAAAGTGCTCAAGAATGCTGCAAAAACAAGACGGGTGGCTGCAGAGGAGATTCTGTCTGCTCTATCTGTCATTGAGAAGGCAAAACTTGACCCCTCCGGGTTTCTCGATACGCTTGGTGGATCAAAATCCCCTGGCAGAACCTGGATGCTCATTTTTACTGCTGAGGTTAGTGTAATTCTTTCACATATGGCATAACCATGTTCATCTTTTGCCATTTATCTTAGAAATGAACATTGTTTTTTTGTGGTATTTGCAGAAGGAATTGAAGGGTGGTCGCTACTTCCCTATTACAGCTGTTCAGAGGTTCGATGCTGCTGTAAGCCTTTCCATCTCTATTTCAACTACTCATGGCTACATTTTGTAGAGAGCAAAATCTCTGAAAAAAAAAGTAGAAAATGTGGAAAAGGGGACAAAAAACTCAGGCTGAGTAATATTGATGCTCTTTTTTTCAACCCTCAACGGCCCTTTACAAATTCTTCTGAGAGTATGTGATGCTTGATGCTTTTACAACCAGCATAGTCAAGTTTCTCTGCGATTTTCAATTGGGGTGTGTTCTTAGAGCCTGCATGTGATGCTTGATGCTTTTGTTATTGCCTTCCTCTTTCCTATGGTGATTTTCCATATGTCAAACATCACTTGTGTGGATATTGTTGTTTATTACCAAATAAGAGCTCCTAGAAGCTTTCATCATCAACAACAAGCCAAGGAAAATATAGGCATGAGTAGCATTTTCCTTGTTGCTTGTCAACTTTTGAGATTAACAAACGTCTGCCTGGATTATCAGGGAAAGAGAATTGAGAATGGAGTGTATTTTGGGCCAATTGGATGCTTAACATTTGAAGGAAGATTTTCTTGGAAGAAGAGAATACTGGCCTTCATCTTCGAGTGTATCCGGATAAAAGTTGGACCTTTAAAGGCTTTAGAGATCAGTCTAGGCCAAAAGGATGACAGAGAGCCTAGCACGAAGGATCCCTTCTTTATATGGTTTTACATTGATGAAGAATTAGCAGTTGGTCGAGGCAAAAGTGGAGGAACTGCTTTCTGGTGCCGCTGTCGACGTGTAATATCTTGATTTTCTTGTTTAATTTAACTCAAACATAGATGTCAAATATCCTTTTATGGATCATATTATACGTATATATCAGGACTACAATCAATTGGAAAGGTAACATATGCTATCAAGGCTGTGTCATGCCTCTTTTACATTATTTTAAGCCGAAAATTTATCTGTAACCACTTTATTTTATGTTTTTCCTCTTTGACATTATTTGGCTTTGTGCTGAGCCCTGCTGTAATTGAGGAGATCTTCTATCTTTGGTATACTTTCTTTGATGATTGGAATTTCAGTGAATCTCTGTGCCCATTCGTGAAGAAATGGCAACTCCTTTGTATCAAATAGCTTTATGCCTTGAAATTCTTCTAAGAATTTGAGCCAGTTAGGTAATGAGCCCACTGCAAAGTCTAGGAAGCCCATGGTTTCTCCTCCAAAAAATTTCTTGCCTTCAATGAGCTTATTCAGAAGTTGGAGTGATTCTTGTGCTGACTCCAATGCTGTCTCTTGTTCATGCCCCTTTGTACGGCTAGCAGTCCATGCACTGATCACACACTGCATTTCATAATCATTGAAAAACTTATTAGCTTCTCTTTTCAATACATGTATGTATAATATAAATGTATAAGTACATATACATGCATTCATATACGTTTGTGTTTGCGCGCATGTATCTGAGTCTTGTAATAATAGCAAACTCTCTCAAACTGAGAGCTATTAAAATCCATCACAAATTGTTTACCTTCTCATCAACATACTTTGCCCAAAATCGCGCCATTGCTTTTTCAAAAGGATCTTCTGGCAACATAGGGTTCTCTGTCCATGTTTCATCTATGTACTCAAGGATGATGAGGGACTCCGCAATCGGTTTTTCACCATGCACAAGCACTGGGATTTTCTTATGGACGGGATTGTACTGAAGGAGCAGGGGACTCTTGTTTCTCAAATCTTCTTCAATGTACTCATATGCTATCCCTTTGTGCTTCAGAGCCCATTCAATTCTGCAGCAAAAAAGACTTAGAGAGGCTCCAATCACCTTAACATCTCCCATTTTGAAGCCTGCCAGTTCTGAAATTGAACCAGGCTTTCAATCTTTTGAAGCCTTGGTTTGAACTTTATACAGGTGGGATTTGGAAAAGTCTGTCGGTTCATTTCTTGAAGAGAAAGTTGTAATTAAGTCCAACTCTCATGTTTATGACTCTTAAGTCCATAAATAATTGATTTTATTTAGTAATTTTAATTACCAAGATGACCATATTGAGTGGCCCCAGCTTCCCATATGATATATTCATCTCTTACATTGGGAAGCCGTGAATGAAAATATCCAAGGTTGGTCGGTTGAACTTTCAAACTAAGGATAGAATTTGTTTCTGGCATCATGATCCATGGATGGGCAATTGGACCCTCTTCTAGAAATTTGATGTGTCAAAGAAAATGAAGTGCACGCACACGACTATGGCCATAGTTCAACTTTTTTTAGGTCCACTCAATATGCAATGCCATCCAAATGCAATGCCATCCAAATGCAATGCCAAGAAGGTAGCACAAAAGTTGGATTTTCAATCAGAAAGATAATGCATCATTAATTCTAGTTTAGACAAATAGACAAGCATGACACAAGCCCAAATGGGAAGTAAAAACAATACATAATAGCAACAGTAGTAAGACTCAAAACAGTAATCAGATTCAGATGTAAATAAAAATGTTTCTTTATTTTCTCTTCTGTCGGCAGCCAAGCCAACTAATTGAGATCAGGGTTTGTTGGCTGATAATGAACGCAAGTAAGTGAGGCTAGCGTTCAAATAGTTGACAAGCTTTTCTCTGGGTGGAAGGCATTCTTTGATGAGTGGAATTTGGATGAAGTTGTGACCCCATTCATGCAGAGATGGGAACCTCTCTGCTTCAAGTAGCTTTATGCCTCCAGCTTCTTCCATAGTATTCAGCCAGTGAGGTATCCATCCCAATGCTAAATCTAGATACCCTATTTCTTCTCCACCAAAAAACTTCTTCCCTTCAATCTGCTTCTCAAGATATGCTAGTGATTCTAGTGCAGACTCTATTGCCGTCTCCTTCTCTTCGCCTTCCGCTGCCGTGCAAGCTCTCCATGCTCCAAACACAACCTAGTTATAAGCACAAGATCAAAATAGTTTGGGAGAAAGCTTTTACTGGGGTTAGAGTTAAAGGGTACTACCTTCTCATCAGCAAATTTAGCCCAAAAGCGAGCTATGGCTCTGTCATATGAGTCTTGAGGTAGCAAGGGGTGCTCCTTCCATGTCTCATCAATGTACTCAAGGATCACAAGCGACTCGGCGATGGCTCTGTCGTCGTGGACAAGCACAGGCACCTTCTTGTGGACAGGGTTGTACTTGAGAAGGATGGGACTCTTGTTTCTCAAGTCTTCTTCTATGTACTCATATTCCACACCCTTGAGCTTTAGAGCCCACTCAATCCTTGTGCAGAACAGGCTTTGAGTTGTGGCAATTAGCTTCACACCTTCCATTTTCAATCAACACCTCGTAGCAATTTTGTTGATAATATTTATAGGGGTGGGTTTTGGATCTTGTAATTTAGAAGGTTCAACAACAGCTTCATTTCATTTCATGGATGGATTCGATCAATAGTCAACAAACATACATTATTGTTTTGTCTGTTTTGAATATTCAGAAAATTAAAGTAGGTCAATTTCTAGCATTCAGTCTGCCCAAACGAATACTATATTATTATATAATAACCTCCAACATTGAATTTACCTCAAATGAAAAATCCAAAAAAGAAAATCACAGAGGAAGACGACTTGTCTGTTCAGTTGAGGACATCATTGCTTGCGGAATATGACGCAGACTGAAAAGTCCAAGCAAATAAATACGGGCAGGCCTATGAATATGAATATGGGTTGGGCGGGACTATGTTAGTTAATCTTGGGCTTTCCTTCCTCAGCCCACGTCCAAACGGTAAGATATGAGAGGCTGAAAAGTCTAAAACACCCCCGGACAAACGTTAATATTAAAAAGAGACCCTCTGGGGAAACAATAGAGTAAACAAAACTAAAAGAAAAAGAAAAAAACGTTAAAGCGGTATAGTCTATACACAGTCCTATAGACGTTGCTTCAACACGCTCTCTCTCTCTCTCTCTCTGGCCTTCAACGGCTTTCTCACCAATGTTAAAACCCTAGAGTTTTTTCTCTGGAAAATGATTTGCCTAGAAAATTCCCAATTGTGAATAGCGGATTCACGCAAAAATCTCACTTGTAAAACGGTAAATAAAGAAATTTTTTAGTGAAGTGATAACTCGGAGACCGCAATGGCAGAGGTCGATCTAACGAAGAAAGTGGCCGATAGATATCTGAAGCGCGAGGTCCTCGGTGAAGGTACCTACGGAGTCGTCTACAAAGCCATTGATACTCAGGTAAGCCCCAACACTTCGCTTTCGTCGGAGGGGTTTTAAAAAAAAAAATTATGGATAAGTGTTTTTTTTTGTTTCTTTGTTGCTGTATTTGACTTTTCGAGTTTAAAAGGTTTGAGAATTTGTTATGTTTGTGTATGTGTGCGTGAAATTTGGTTTAGCACTTGCTTCGCTGCTCAGAAATTTGAGTTGTGACAGGGAAAACAATTTTACTTTTTCTTCTATATTGGTGGTCTTTGGGTTTGGATGCTGAAGAAGCAGGGGGGAAGTGAAATATTAAATGGGATTGTATAATTGTATTTATGTGTACATGCAAAGCTATTCTTTTCTTCTTGCTGTTTGGGTTAAATTATGAAATTGAGACTCTGGAGACGTAAAGCTAAACAGCTTTGTGTTGAGGGTCTTGTTTTCCTGGGTCTGAAAGTCCTGGAAAATTATAGGTTCGAATTAATTTTTTCTTTTCATACCTAGAAACTTGATCTCAATTGGGTTTTAATGCAGACATTTAATATTTAGTCGCCCTCGAAATGAAATTTGTTAACCTAATGTTGTCTGTTTTTTTGCTGTTATGCTGACCCAGGATTGGAGAATGGTAAATTTCATATGCTCCTCCTTGGTCTTTTTGGTTTTTCACCTTTCTTAGCTACAAAATGCCACTAATGAATTGTTATTCTTTTTGAAGTGGTGGCTGGCTGTTTAAAGTTTCCTTTTCATTTTCTTATACACCTTCATTGTTTGTTTTTTATTTAATTTGCAAACTGAATGCAGCATTATGACTTTGATAAGTAATCTCGTCTGTTTATGATTTTGTTTCAATACATTTCTTTTGCAGACAGGACAGACAGTTGCCATTAAAAAAATTCGGCTTGGGAAGCAAAAGGAAGGGGTGAATTTTACAGCACTTAGAGAAATTAAACTGTTAAAAGAGCTGAAAGATCCAAATATAATTGAGTTGATTGATGCATTCCCCCATAAAGGAAACTTGCATCTAGTATTTGAGTTCATGGAGACAGACCTTGAAGCTGTTATACGTGACCGAAATATATTCCTATCACCAGCTGACATTAAGTCATATCTTCAGATGACTTTAAAAGGACTTGCTTTTTGCCACAAGAAATGGGTTTTACACAGGTAGCCCTTTTGTGTCTAGAAGCGATCTTTGTAGGTCATTATTTGCTTGTTATCATTTGTCTCAGATGTTTGCTAATTGTGCTTTACAGGGATATGAAGCCTAACAACTTGTTGATAGGACCTAACGGACAGCTTAAACTTGCAGATTTTGGTTTAGCACGAGTATTTGGGAGCCCAGATCGCAGGTTCACTCATCAGGTATGCTTTCTCCTTATATTGATGGTATTCTGAGTTAGATCTCTTTAGGTATAGTTTGCAAACTTTGTTTGTCCTTTACACTGTGAGTTTGGTTTAATGTCGATCTTCACCTGTCCCAGAAACGTCCTCTCCATGGTGGTGAATGTATCCTGTTTCTACTATTAAATGTTTTATCATCCCCTTATGGTAGCAAATGTATCTGTGGATCATGTGGGTTTGGGAGGATGGAAAATTTTGAAGTTTGGTCTTCTTTTACTGATTTCATGATGCAGGAGCATCTATTAGACTTCCTAATCTAAGTGGGCATCAGCCAATAAGGCTAAGTTTTAGTTATATTAAATTAATAGGTTATTTTATTACTTGTTTTCCTATTCTTACTAGGATTTGGTTTAATTTCCTGTTTAGGTTTTAATTTCCTTTGTCAATTAGGGTTTCTTATTAAACTAGGAACGGGAATGCTTGGCTGGTGTATTTTAGTATAAATAGGCTATTTAGAGACTTTTGTATTTAGTTTTGTTGATGAATATAATTTCAGACGTTAGTCTATAGAGTTTCTGTTGGGATTTTGCCCTAGAACTCAATTATCTTCGTTCCAACTTTGATTCTACTGCTTTATCCTTCTATTCTCTGTATTTTGGGTATGTTTGGGTCGCTGGACAGCAGCTTATAGCCGCTGCCCCGCATCAAAGGCATCCGCGACGTCAAGTAAAAGAAGACCAAACTTCAAAATTTTGTGGATCATGCCGCTGCCCTGTTTCTACTAAACCCAACCTTTTGACAATCTTGGTTGCACGAAACAGCAGCTTATAGCCTCTGCCCTGCATCATTTCATGTAACCGAAGCTAAATTTTAATATTTCACTTAGTTTCATCTGCTAGTGAAAATAGCACTCGAGAAAGTGGGAGTCATGCTAAGGTTTTAATGGCAGTGTACTGTGTAGCTTTTTGCTGTTACAAAAAATTTTCTTTTATTATCTTGTTGATACTGGTATTAGTCGTTATAATATATATGTTGAATATATAAAACAAATCTGGAGGTATTGCTTCAAGAATGAAATGTTCTTTGAATGGCTTTAAGATAGGAAGACTTTCCTATAGATGGTACAACAACTAGTCTTCTAAAACTGGACGTTTTTCTCATTTTTGTTTTCTTAAATTATGAATAGACTGCGTATCTGGTGTGGAAATTATTTTGAAATATTTGATTCTTTGGCGGATTCCTTCAAAGCTTAGTTAGAGAACAAAGATGATGTTTATTTTATGTACCATTAGAAGTACATTTTCTTTAAATCATTTGCATGCTTTTAGGTGCAAGCTCTTTATAACCCCTTAGCGCATCTGAATAGGTCTTTGCTAGATGGTATAGAGCACCTGAGCTGTTGTTTGGCACCAAGCAATATGGGTCTGGGGTGGATGTTTGGGCTGCAGCTTGTATATTCGCTGAACTTCTCCTACGCAGACCATTTTTGCAGGTAAAGCAATATTTCATACTAGTAATGAAACTCTGTTTTTATGGTTACTGTTTTCCATTGGAAATATGTGGCTTTTAAGTTTTACAAATTGCTTGTTTCTAGTAATGGATAAGAACCAGGTGGAACTTTGTTAGGTATTATATTATGGCAACAAAAAATCCTGTATTGGGTTATATCTTTCTGAGTTCATTATAAGAGGCACCTCTCAGTTTTGGGATAATTTTACTTTTGAATAGATTTCTCTCATTTCTTCTGAATGTTTATCCAGTTGAAATGAATTATGGTTCTTCCAGTAATAGATCTTTTAGCCTTTCTTCTGTTGTTTGTTTGGTTTTAGAATTACTGCAGGTTTCACGGGCCAATATTTTTTACTGACTATTGTAATGAATCATTTTTTTTAAATTTACTTTGTTGAATAGCATGAATCTGCCCTAATTTTTATTAAGTTCTTACCGGTCAGGTTATGTTTTGCAATGGTTGATCATGTATAATTCTTTTATTGCTCTCCATAGGCTGTCTATAAATAATGTTTATACTGGGTGCGGCTGTTTCTGATTATATGTTGGTTTGGCTTGCAATATTTGATAGGGATCAAGTGATATTGATCAACTAGGTAAAATTTTTGCGGCTTTTGGGACTCCAACACCTTCTCAATGGCCTGATATGGTATTTCTTCCTGATTATGTGGAATACCAATATGTTCCATCACCCCCTTTGCGGTCATTGTTTCCAGTGGCTAGTGATGATGCCCTGGATTTGTTAGCGAAAATGTTTACTTATGACCCAAAAGTTAGGATATCCGTGCAGCAGGCATTAGAGCACAGGTATCTGACTCCAGCTATTGAATTGGGATCTAGAGTTTTTTGTCTTCTCTTTTTGTTCTGCCTGTGATCTCTGTGGTCCTGTTTAGGTACTTCACATCTGCGCCTCTGCCTACTTATCCAGATAAACTTCCTAGACCTGCTCCAAAGCGAGAATCTGTCAATTCTAAGGTTTCAGATTTTAATCCAAATGATGGTCCTACTGTGTTATCACCTCCACGAAAGTCAAGGAGAGTGATGCCAGATCGTGAGGGTTATGAAGGAAATGCATACCAAGGTGATAGGATTGATGATCGTGTTGGTGAAACCAGACAGGCTGCTGGTGAAAATACAAGCAGGAATGAACCGGTGCCGATGTCAGTAGATTTTTCTATCTTTGGAGCAAAACCTCCAAATAGACCTACAATTACTAGGTGAATCACTTTTTACATGGTCTTTTCTAATTCTTTTAAACCTCTGTACTCACACAAATCTGCATGATAGTTGACACTTTAGCTTGAAGTGAAATCTAAACGTTGGAGATATAAAATTCTTTGTTTTCTTTTTCTTCTGCAGTGCTGACAGAACGCATCTAAAGAGGAAACTAGATCTTGAATTCCAACAGCCTGAATAAGCACATTTGATATACAGAATCATATATATTATTTGTTTGAGAGGTGTAAGATTGATGTTCCCACACTAATGAGGTATGTGGCTAATGTTTGAAGTATGTTGTGATATGCAGTTGTCTCCATTTTATTTATATATCTGCTTGCAAGGTTTTCATTTGCTATTCTGTCGAGATTATAGGGAGGAGACAGTATTCAGTGAAGTCGAAGATAAACACGATGCAGAATTATGTTTGGGGGCTTAAAAATAATTGTAATAATCATGAAACAGAGAATTTGTACCATGGCCCATGTAAGGCTAAATTTTGAGGGCTCTTCGTGTTGTGTTTTTTATTTTTATTTTTTTTGCTTCGTCTTTCGTTCTTTCACTTTTTCTTCTATGATTTTATTGTTTAGCTGATGGCTGAGAGTAGTCTAATTGTTCAGGGTAATTACTAATCAGGTCACCAACATTTATTCTGTTATTGAACTATATACCTTGTATTTTTTAAGACGAGACACTCAAATGTACTGGAACCAGGTTGTCGTTTTTATTGTTCCTTGTGACCTGTGTTTACGTGGAGATTATTCTCTAATCCAAATTGCTCCATTTGATGCTAATTAAATATGTGATATTTGTGGTCAAGAAAACTTTCAAAAAAAATATGCATCAAGACAAAAATGGACAATAGCACTTTATAAATTGGTTTGTCATCTGTAAAAGTTACATGAACATGTAAAACGGCAGCGGTATTCTCTTGCCGACTTGACAATACATCCACCGAGAAAAAAGAAATAAAAGTAGAAATAAAAAACACATGAAAATGAAAAGATCAATGAATGATTGTTACCTAATCATCTTTTGAGGCGATAATTTCTCCGTCAAGTGTAATCTTACTGACATGAGCAATCTTGGGCCAATCTGCACCTTCCTTGCTTTCGCATCTTTCGCTCAGTTTAGAACACCCGTCGATCTTCAATAATCTCAATGCACCCAGGTGACGCATCCCTTGTGGTAAAGCCAACAATTGAGGGCAATATTCAATCACCAGTTGCTGGAGCAACTTGAAGTTTTGCAGCCACTCTGGAAGTTCCTTGAGATCCTCACAGTTCTTAACACGCAAGCTCTGCAGTGTGTTTGCAGAGTCTTGAAGCCAATGGGGAAGAGCCTCCAAGTGCGAAGCTTTGGAGATGGAGACTGATCGAAGACCTCGAATACCTGCTCCCGACGTCATCAAGTCGAGCTTCTCGCAACCGGATATACCCAAAGTCTTTAATGCGGTTAAGCATTTCATGTCGGGTGGCAACGACTTCAGATTCTCACAGTTGCTAATAATCAGCATTCGGAGGTTAGTGAGGCATTGGATGCCTTGGCCCAAAGATTCAAGATAGCTACAATTGTGGACCTGTAAAAATCGAAGAGAGGTGAGGCGTTCAATGCATCCTGCCAAAACCATCTGATTTGTGGTTAACACCAATGTTCTGAGGTTGATCAGGTTCCCGATGTCTCTGGGCAACTCCCCGAGCTTCTCACAGTTTGAAAGCAGCAAGGTCTGCAAATTCAGCAGGTTGCAAATAGAACCTGGAAGCTTCTTTATGAATGGATTTTTCGACAAGTTGAGATATCTCAAGCGACTCAATTTACCAATGGAACTCGGTAACACCTCAAAAGTTGAGCCACTCAAATCCAGCACCCGTAGGTACTTGAATCTCAAGATGCATGCTTTCAACACAGATTTGCTGGAGATACCTACATGCCCTGGAACTGGAAACAGAATGGTCCTCACTTTCTTCAACTGACGTAAGAATTCGGGAACTCGTTCCCCCTTCATGGGCAAGTCATCCTCCGACATCGACACCTGTCGAACCCTTTTACAGTTATCAGAGGTAGGACGGAAGTTTACAGATGAGCACTCTTCTTCTGACACAGACATGGCTAAATCATGCACAAGAGCATGCATTTTGAATACTATAAAATCAATTGAATCTTCATCAATTTGAAATAAAGATATAGAGCATAATTGCCTTATGTAGTCTAGGCCGATCTCTTCCAACTCCTGGTTTCCTTTAGAGGATTGAATGAAGCCTTGTGCCATCCACAACGACACCAAATCTGTGCTTCGGAAAACGTAATCCTTAGGGAAAAGTGAACAAATGGCAAAACAAGGTTTCAAGTAAGATGGCAATGCATCGTAGCTTAATTGCAGTGCAGGTAGAATGTCATCGTTTCCCTGTGGCAATCTCCATATGTCATTGTCTCTCACTTCTGACCAAAAATGTTTCTCCCTTTTCAAATACAGCAGGCTCCCCAGGGTGGTTACGGCTAGAGGAACCCCTTCGCACTTCTCTACAATACCAGGTGCAATTTCCATCAGTGTGGATAGCGCTGCTCCTCTCCTTTTCGACCAAATGCCCTTTTTATGAACAAAGACATGCAACTCTTGTGGGGAAGACCTCTCAGTTGATGCACGCAAACAGAGTCCATAATCAAAGCAACCGATTCGCTACGCGTTGTGACAATGACTTTACTCCCGTTTGCTCCAACATTTAACAAAGCTTTTAAATCAATCCATTTTGCAGTTGTTACTCCAATTTGACCCTTATCCCAAACATCATCCAACACTAATAAAAATTGTTTATCTTTCAAAGCACTTTGCAACTTTTTCTGCACACTATCAAAACTTTCTTGATGACCACAGTTTTGGTTAGTTGCAGAAGCAACGATTTCATGCACCAGTCTTTTATTATCAAAGTGGTCTGAAACACATACCCACATTCTCATGTCGAAGTGTTTAACTACCCTATGATCATTATACACCAATTTAGCTAGGGTAGTCTTTCCTATACCTCCTAATCCAGTAATCGATATAACAGAAACATTTTCCTGGACATCACGACTCTTTTCCTTCAAGGTCAAGTTCAAGAGATAGATGATAATCTGTTTCTTATCATCCTCTCTCCCGATAACATCATAGGCTTGCACAAAAGAGTGAGTCTCCCTGTTTATGTGCACACTCTGACTCTGCCAATCTTCATCTCTCTCCACTAGAGGAAACTGAGATTTTTCATTTGCTATTACATCTAACCTTTCTCTAATCTCCTTGATTCTATGACCCATTTTGAAGTTAAACACGACCGGATTCCAACACGAAAAGAATATGCGTACCTGTCCTTTGATGCTCCCACGCCCACGGAGGATCAGCATTTGCATCTGCAGTTCTTTGAATGCAAAGTCGTTAAGCATGTCATCCACATCGTAGCAAACATCTTTGAGCTTTCCTAGCCATTGGCTCAGACGGAGTTCCTTCCTTTGCTTTTCCTCTGCATCCAGGATCACTAACTTGATGCTTGAGAAGGTGTCCTTAAGCTTGTTTAGTTCATCTGTGACACCCCACGCCAAGCAGATTTCTTGGTAAGCATAGGAAGCTAGCCCATTCATGACATTCTCTGCAATGGTGTAGACAAATTGCCCCATGCTGAATCCAAAGGAGAGGAAAGGGAGTTTTTGTATGTATCGATAAATGGCTACTTTGATGAATGCAATAGAACTACAGTCTGCTGTTATATACAAATCTCCTGCGGAATATGGGAATTTTATAGAACTTGGCTTTGCATCTGATCCGAAGGTGTCTTCTCTAAGTATAGAAACTTATTAAATAATACCAAAATGCAAAACATTGAGTGAGAATAGTGCTATTAATGTTCATTCCTTTTCTTTGCTAATACAATCATTCTTTGGTAGAACCGCAAGCAAAGAATAAAGCACATATTTAGAAACATTTGAGGTCTCTATCTTTATGCCAACTTTAGTCCTCTCCTAAATATAAGTTGAATTTCTTGATAAATAATAAACCACGTAAAAAGGGCGGAACAGAAGAAGGGTGATACATTTTTCATTGAATGATCCGTCTCCATCCGTAGGATTTATTCTTCCTAGTTAAAGTTTACATGTTTCAAGAATTTGTAAAATTGTAATGGCATCCAAAGGGAAAAGACATCTCTGATAGATTTTCAGAAGAATTTCCCAAATAACACCAAAACTGGGATAGGCTAACTTATTATAGAGTTGCATCTTCAAGCCTCAGCATCCGCTACCAATGGTAATGCTCAAGATGTAGCTTGAGTATTGTGCCGAGCATATGTAGTTGCACTAGTGCTGCTGCTGACACTGTCAAGCTTTTCTGTGGTGTGTTCGTGACTCGTTATCTTCAAGTGTAAGTGAAGCCTGTTGTAGATAATATATAACCAGCTTCATGACACTATGTCCACGGGAACAGTTGTGTCATATACTCTTTCTGTAGCTTTTTTTGCCTAACCAAAACAACAATAAGATTAGATATAAAGAGGAGAAAGAATTTGTGTCTCTGTTGAGATAGAGAGAGAATTTAGGAACCTCTTTCTCCCAGTTGGTGCGCATGGTTACAGTAAGAAGTGATAACCCTTGCAGAATCAATGCACATATGATCCCGAGCCAGAGCCCCTGTTCAAAACATTTTAACAGATAAAGTTATAAAAGGGCAAGAAAAGAAGTAAAAGGAAAATTCTCTTCTTTTTCTTTTTTTACCTTTCCACCGATGTGAATGACAAAAGAAAATACAATAGCCAGTGGAATTCCAACTAAATAATACGACCCAAGATTAATATATGCTCCAATCTTCTGCCAGCCACATCCTCTAGCAGTGCCTGAAAATGTAAAGCACATAAAAATATACTAACTGCATTAATCCCTAGCTACTATAAATATACCGATGGAATTGTATATTGTGTTTATGTTGATTTTGATTATAAGGGTACGAAAATAGTAGGAAGACCTGAAAGAACAGACTGGAGACCGTCTAAGAAGTTGGATGTTGCAAGTATTGGCATCATGGTTGCTAGATATTTGACCACTTGTGTTTCATTGCTATAAGCATAGCCCCAGAAGTTGCGTATCAGTATCAAGACTGATCCCACCAATAAACCCACAGTAATGGCCATGACTAAGACAACACACACTGCTAAACGTGCGGTTTCTGGATGCCCTGCTCCTAATTCATTTGAGACGCGAGTGCTGGAAATCATAGAAACCGAGACATCATAAGATTGGAAACATAAGGAAGATTGACTTTACAATTTTAAATGTACCACAGCGTAGCTCACCTGACAGCAGAACTGAGTCCAAATGGGATCATCCAAACCATTGCCGCTGTATTTAGGCTGGCAATACACAAATTTGATAAGTAACAACATTAAAAGTGCAGAATATTTCCCAAGCCAGACTGCAGAAACTGTCGAAGAAATCCAAGAGTAAATTATCACAGTTAGGAACCAACCTGATAGAAAGCACAGAGGTTTCCAACTTTGGGTTTGGAAGAAGACCAGATAGAAGAACAATCAGTTCAAAGGACCACATTTCCAAGCTGTTTAAATTCATGGTCAACTGCATTAGGATCTTTAGACACTAAAATAACTGATCTTAGAAGTAGACGACCTTGTGAAATATTAATTAAGAAATCGAAATTACCAGACCATCACAGCTGAAGGAATAGCGAGTCTAACAAATGGAATAATGTTGTGAAATGCCTCCTTCGAGAAGCCTGTCCAAGTTTTGGAACATAATGAAGAGAACCTGACATAAAGTGCCAATAATAGCACATTGATCCAAAAAGAGATTGAAACTGCCAAGGCAGCTCCCCTGCTTCCAAGTCCAGATGTAAACACAAGAATCCAACAGAGAGGGATGTGCAGCAAAGCTGTAATGGCAGAGCTCAGCATCATTGGGAACACAATGTTTTGAGTTTGTAAGAACCTCACAAGGCACTGAAGAAGTCCATATGCAAAAAGGGAAGGGATCAGGAAACGGGCAAATTGTCCGGCTTGTGCTGCTATGGCAACATCTTGGCCTAGAGCTGTTAGAATGATTCTTGTGTTTGCGGAAATGATAGCAAGGGGTACGCAAACAATTGAAAGAACAAGCATGGCTCTCTGCATGTGTATGCCCATCATATGATACTGCTTTGCACCATAGCACTGTCCAGATAATGTATCCAGTGCACTTGACATTCCCATCTGTTTGAGTTGAAAAAATCAAAAGCAGAATGATTATTAGAAACTTAGAAACGGTTCGCCAGGTTGCAACTTGGAAGAGTTATGTTATTATATGAAATCAGACTCATCATCTTCGTTTTGGCAAAATAAATTGAAGCAAGCATTAAGAGGACAAAGTCAGACCAGAAATTGTAGATACAAATCAATGGAAAAACATATCCAAAGGTGTTAACTAAAATGTACATAAAAAGACCAAGTAAATGTGTCCAATATTTATCCATGAAGATTCAAAAAGAGCATAGCCGTCAAGATCCAAAAGGTGTTTCATGATGGACTAATCTTTAGTGTACAATATTTCCACACAAGAAGCAAAGTTCAAAATATCAACATGTCTTCTCTGCTAATATGATGGTTTGGGGTATTATATACATGTTATGCCAACAAATTTAGTTATGTTTCCCACAAATGAATCAACTTCTGTAATTAATATAAAGTGATTCTTCATTTCAGAGATTCTTAGAGGCATCCAAAAGCTGTATGTTTAACACAAATGGAACGGGATAATTTTGAGATTTCTTGTTTAACACATAATGTGACTGAATTTAGAAAATTCTATCTACTATTATCTAAAAATAATCAAGTTATTAATGACGGGACGAAACCAAGAAATAACCCCTCACGTGCGAAATTATAGAAGATCCCCTTTGAGATCAAACAATTCCATCGAATTGAGTATGATTGCATGTGTGATAGCATCTACTAACTAAGCAAGTAGATGTGCCATAAAGGTGAAAGGGGTGCAACATAATATAATATAAGGAATCCAACCAAAATTTGGAACTCAAAAACCAATATGTACTGTATTACATAAGTCTAAATTAATTCAATAGTCCTTATTAATGAGAGAGGAGAGCAAACTTACCAGCAAGCTGAAACCGGTGACGGATGAGAAGGAAAGGGCCATGGAAGCACCAGAGAGAGACAATTCACCAAGATGACCTACAAACATAACAGCTATTATCTGTACAGAGTACTGTAACAGACTCACACATATAAGAGGCCCTGCTAGCCATAGCTGCTTCTTACTTCTTCAACAATTTCCTTTCTCTTAAAACCCCTTCCATGGCTTCCCTCGTCCTTTTCAATCTCCTTAACTGCATCATCTTCTTCACAGACTTGAATCAATGGTGAGCTCAGAGATTGTGGTGTGTGGTCTTCTGTCCCCATTTTCTCCTTAGCTTCAACGAGAGAGTGCGTGAGAGAGATAGAGGGAGAGACAGAAAGAGGAGTGTGTGTGTTTTATATAGGACTTGAAGTTCTTAATTTTTATTTTTATTTTTCAAATGCCGTACCCAATGATATAGCTGCTCCAGCAGCTCCGTGATGCTTCTGTTTTTGGTCGTGAAAAGGATTCTATATAAAATTGGGTCCGTCAAGGGCCTCAGTGATCGCCATAATAATATTAGTTTATATGATAATTGAGGGGTGGATTTGTAATAGCACACGACGTATTTAGTGAGAGGAAGACAAAAACATGTTTTTGGCGGCTCATTCATATGACATTTATGCTCAACAAGACGAAAGCAAGCCACTTTGAGTCAACCCTCCTAGATATTTTCATTGGTTTTCTTTTAAATCATCCTTTCTTTTATTCTTTTTTTGTTTTTTTTGGCTGTGTGGAAGTAGTGGTTGTCAAAATTGATACGTCTTGTGTTCTTGAAGAAAATATTGCCAAATCCGAAAATAGTAAAATAATAATAATAATTGAATGTCTGAGTTTGTCACTGCCTATAAGAAAAGAACAAAAAACAGACCAAACTCAACAAGAGCCACACAGATATTGTAGGTAGGGGTGGGCAAAAATCCGGGTCAATCCGACCCGCCCATCTGACCCAATTAAATTAGAGTAGTTTGGTCTGATTTTATAAATTTACTTTTGAGCTTTCGGGTCATTACCCAACCATCCTGACAAATTTCGGAGCAGCAAGCGGGTCAGAAAAATTGGAACCGCGAAAAATTGTAGGCAACCTTTTGAGGGTTTCATAATTGTACATCACGGAAAAGAAATGCTATTGATACCTTTTTTTTCCTTTTCAGAAAACAATAATAAAGCTTTTGGTCAAACTCAAAGTGATTTTAGTACCCTCAGTCAAAGTATGACAACTAAAATAGTGATTATCCTTAAAATAAAAAAATATAAAAAGTTGACTGTAGTTGGCGGTGTCATACTTGGGCTGCACGCTCCGATATTGTATGAATTTAGGCTCATGTAACTCCAAAGCTCTTTGGAACATTTTCCATCGTAACTCTTCAATAATTGACTTATTAAATCAAAAACTTGTGATGTCCAAGTTCAACCACTTCGTATGACTGGACCACCAGCAAAAAGACAATCATTTAGCATATAAATCAAGAGTCCCGCTCAGATCTAAAAATTATTAAGGAACAATCTCGCTCAATTTTATAAATCAATTACATCATAAATAAAGTCTCGATATAAAGTCCTCCGTTGCCAGAAAAATACGTTTAAAGCCTGAAATATTTCACCAGAATTCTAAATGGGACTAACTGAAGTCTCCAACTTTCTGGCTCTCAGTTCAGTTCAGCCATGACCCTGCAATTGGATCCCCAAATGGTTTGGGCCAAGTATTCCTTTACAATTTGACTGGGTCTCAAAGCTTGACCTTCATTACCCAAATAGTATGGGCTATTATAGCTGGGTTTTAACTTGGGCTTATTATATAATTGGGCTATTTTAGTGGTTGGCTTCACATTCTAAATTGGACCCGATCTATTTTCTCTTTGTACAACTTGGGCTAGGTCTAAAAGAGATTACGTTTTTGGGCTCGAGAACCATACCCTCCATGGCTTGGTATGTTTAGGCCTCAAGAAACAAACAGAAATAATACTGCCCAAACCACCAAAATTTTACAGGAGTTGGAATAAAATTCAAAAATACAAACTTGATTAAAGATTGTTTATATTCCTATTATTTGATTTTTTTTTTAAACCAACTCTACAATCTAAATTCATAGGTAGCAAAAAGAAGGAAACTCCAAATCAAAACGAATGGTAAGATAGGCCAAATGTAACCTTTATTATTGCACAGGCATCAACATTAAGCCACAATCGAATGCAATAATTACATAAGAAGAAATTTGTTTCATTGCAACTTGCAAGAGGGGGGATTTTACGTATATGCTTCCATTTTTAATGAATGATGCGCCTGTAAAATTACGTAATTACTACTATATTATTTTATCACGATATTGAAACTAAATAATTTTTTTTTGTAGTACACAAATAATTAAAGTCAATGTTCACAACGACCGCAGATGAGAGTTGCACCAGATTGCCACACCACATTTCATTGTTTCAGTCATAATCAAAGCACACACAACCCACCCCCCACCCCACCCCCCCTGTTTTGTTTTGTTTTGTTTTGTTTTATTTTTGGCTTTTGGGTCAGGATGATGATTTAATTTAAGCATTCTTATAAATATTGTTTTGGTAAAGAAAAGGGAGACTTTGGAAAAACACAAAGAAGAGAGAAATTTTGTAAAAGAAGCAAAAATGGACAAAATTACCCTTATTTATTTTTGGATTTCCTAAGGAATTTTTTACATTTGCATGTATTTGATTTAAAAGTGAGAGGTTTTTCTGTCTTTTTTGAAAAAGCTTTGGCTTTTTCCAAAAGTGAAATTTTTTTTTGGCTAAAACCTAAATTTACTTAAAGGGAGGGGAGGGGGGAAAATGACATGGTAAGGTAAGGGGAACTTGGCAATGGCAATGAGGCAACTTTGGCCCCCCCCACCTGTTGTCATTATCGGTAATACGGTGCAAATATTATTCTTAATCATAGGCATCAATTTTCCATCTACAGTTTCATAATAAGATTGAGTTTGTGAAAGTCTCTAATGAAAATTGCTTGAAGGTGTTTTATTTTTTATTTTTTATTATATAATTATGAAAAGGAATTTCATTCAATAACCAAATAGCATAATACACTAAGAAGAAAACAAAAGGATGTGCAAGTTTGGGCCTCTGTAAAAAAACCTTTAGCATATAAAAAAAACCCCCAAAAAAGGAGGAAAATCCGCCAAAGGAAAAAGAGCACCTCTCACTTGCCATCAAACATAAAGATAAGCCATTAGCTTCTAGATCTGCAGAAAGAAAAGGAGTTAGCCATAATGGCTCCTCCTCAATCCATGTGAAAAAACTTGCGTTCCGAATGCCATATTGATGACTTCACCAGTACCAATAAACATATATCACTTATTATAATAATAATATAAACAATAAGTATTAATAAGATTAGAAAGATGACTTGAATGGATGCATAACAATTAATTAATAGGGAGTTTCACTAAAACACCCAAAATGGGGGCTGAAATTATAAAAAAACCCAACACCCAAAACACTTTATAAACACACCCAAAACCCATCATTACACACACTCAAAACTCATTTATAAACACACCAAAAAAATATACAATTGTTGATTTTGAGGTTAATTTTGGGTGTATTTCTATGTTTAAATAGTGTTTGGGTTTTTTTTATAAATACATGTTTAGGATTGGGTTTATTTATAAATTTGTATAATTGAATATCAATTACATGATTTTGAGGGGAAGAACAGGTTTGGTTACAACCACGTTTCATTTTTCAGGAAAATAAATAAAAATTACCACAATTCATACAGAATTCATGTTATAAAATAATAATAATAATAATAATAATAATAATAATAAATAGGTGAATATTCATTTTCTTTTTCTTTTTTAATTGAAGGTGAAGCTCTATTTTAACAATATATATGTGATTTTTGGTTACATTGGAAGAAAGAAACTTCACTAGGGTTCGATCATGAATACTATGAGGGGGAACGAGAGAATCCACCACCACTGTGGTGGGAACCCATTGACATACGTGATTTTCTTTCATTATAATTTGAGATGAGACAATATTTCCACCTCATCTTTGGCCTGCTATATGTCCTATTTGCCACACATTGCTAGTGTTTGTTTCACAATTCGAAGCATATCATGAAATTCTTATAATTATAATCGAAGTTAAAAACATTTGAAATAATTGAGCTCATGCAAAATACCCACATTACCCCTGTGGTTGATACATGCTACCAAATATTGACTTGGGCAAACAAGGTCAAACGGTTGTTGTAGGGTGCTGAATTTTGTCAAGGTTGTACATAGCTTAATCAACACGCATGGACAATATGTAATAATATATATCACTAATAATATTATGTTAAACCATAAGCAATGCCTAATCCATTGAATTGGAGGCCCCAGCCCCAGAGTGGTTGCATATAATTGTGGTGATAGCACTCCATTAACAACTCCTATTACTTTTCTGGAACTACATATGAAGTGCTGATATTATTTTAAGTCACACACGTATTCCTTTGAGAAAACAAGCAATTTAAAAATACAAAGCCCTCCAACTTCGGCTTCATCATGCTGCCCACCAAAATAGAGAGACAAATGTATGGTTAAAATGTCCTTCTCTAATCTCCCATACTAGCTTCTATGCATGCCTCAGCATTTTCCACGGCTTTAGACTTTTTCAATCTGACCGACACATTTTTGCACTATGTTGGCTTGTTTTTTGGTAGAAAATGTTTGTTGAGTTGTTGATATCACATAATGATGTTAGTGCTCTATTGACAATCCTCCTAAACTTGGTTTAACTAAAACTAATAATTTGTAGATAATGTACATCAAAATAACCAACTGTAAGTCATTGGGGTCACTCAAATGGTGAGGGAAAGATTGAATATTGTGTTAGGATTAGAATCAGTCGAAGGTTCAATTTGGTGATATTGGTCTACAAGGACTGTTTCTCGTACTAACTTACTTTTATTTTAGTAGTATTTATTTTTTCAATATTGAAAGAGATTTTGAATTTGAATCATCTTCTTTGTAGATTAATACAAAACAAAAAGGTCCGATTCACCGAAGTGATTTTGATCAGATGACTTTTATCTTTGCATTGATCGGATGATTTTTATCTTTGCAGTTGTAGTTGAATTTAGGACTGGCAGTGAATTTAGGACTGCAGTTAGTTCATAGCTTTCAATTGAAGCTGGAATCTACAGCCGGCGGATTATGCATATTACAAATATAAACAAGAAATTGAACTCTAGCTCATAATCATATATGCAGAAAAGATGTTCGTCTCAAATGCAGTCAACCAAAATGTCCCTTTCATATCTATTTTTTTAGTTTTGGAGAATCTGCTAGACTAGAGAGAAAGAAAGCTTAACAAAATCGTGGGATGCAACAAGTCATTGAAAATGCACCTCAACTTCCCTTCAATTGACATACAAAATGGCAAACAATTAAGACTTGCTTCCCCATCTACTCAATCAAGCAAGCCTCTTATGACAAACTAGCACTAAAGAGGTCACTTGCTTAGTCTTGGACTCTTTGTGATATTTTGATCATCATCTTCTCCATTCCATCTGCCAAAAGCGAAATGCCTTTGTATGTTTTTTAGTACGTAGAGTGTTTGTATTATATTAGTCGAAGATCACAAAAATGGTGATGTATGATTCCATACTTGCCAGAAGTTTCAGTCGGCATGAGCAGAAGAAATTGAGATATGGAGCATTTGTTTGCTGCTTGCTCATAGCATTGTGCTTCTGCACAGTGCTCAAGCCTAATTTGAATCCTCTACCAGCTTGTATGTCCATTTATATATTCTCAGAATTTTCTCTACGTCAATTTTTTTTTTGGTAACCTTCTTCTGTTTCATACAAGAGTTTCAAAGTAACCGTGCTTAGCATATTGATTTCTAACTTTGATATAAACTCAATCATATCGCAGTGAAATTGCAGCGGTCAATGGGGGTCAAACACCAGATACTGGCACTCTGGGAAACAAACAGCACTCAGCAAGTAATTAAAAACATGCTCGAATATCCGGAGATAAACACAAACACGACGGAGGAGTTTGAAAATATGACTTCTCATGTAGCAGCAGATTCTGATGATCTGCAGCAAAACGCAAGCACTCTCACTAATCCCATTGCAAGCAGCAGTCAGGCTGAAGAGGCAAAGAGTAAGGACCCCTCTGATTTTCTTCATTTCCTGCGTATTTATTTAATAATGAGAAAATGTTCATTCTGATTTAAGGCCGTTTAAACACTCATCCTGCAGTTGAAGAAGTGGCGACAAAGAATTTGGAGCCACTTTGCAATACCATGGAAGCAAAAACGGAATTTTGCGAGATCAACAAGGATGTTCATGTTGATGCGAAATCTTCGTCAGCGTTTGTTGTTTCATCTCAAATTGGGAATAGGTCCTGGAGTATAAGACCTTATGCTCGAAAAGAAGACGAAACAGCGATGAGCCATACTCGAGCATGGTCAGTGAAACCAGTCATTGGTGAACTGGAAATCCCTCAATGTAACCGAAATCATAGAGTTCCTGCCATCTTGTTTTCAAATGGTGGATATACAGGAAACCATTTCCACGAGTTCACTGATGTGGTGATCCCTCTCTTTATAACTTCTAGAAAATATGATGGAGAAGTTCAATTTCTTATTTCGGATATAAAACCTTTTTGGGTGACAAAGTACCAAGCAGTAGTAAAAGGACTGTCCAAGTATGACATTATCGACATCGACAAAGAAGATGTTGTGCATTGCTTCCCAAGCCTAACGGTTGGCCTTAAAAGACATGAAAAGGAGCTGAGCATTGACCCTTCAAAACATTCATATTCTATGAAGGACTTCAGAGAGTTTCTAAGAAACAGTTTCTCATTGAAGAAAGCCAATGCAATCAGAATCAAAGAAGGTCATCAACGAAAAAGGCCCCGGCTTCTGATCATACCAAGAAAGAGAACAAGGTCTTTCACAAATACAGGGGAAATTTCTAAAATGGCTAGACGCTTGGGATTCAAGGTGATTGTTGCAGAGGCTGACATTAACTTGTCAAAATATGCAGAAGTTGTCAACTCTTGTGATGTGTTAATGGGAGTTCATGGAGCTGGCCTTACAAACATTCTTTTCCTTCCTGAGAATGCAGTTTTCATTCAAATACTTCCTGTTGGAGGGTTCGAATGGCTGGCTACGAACGACTTTGGTGAGCCTTCACAGGATATGAATCTCAAGTATTTGGAATATAAGATAAGCAATGAGGAGAGCACGTTGATACAGCAATACCCACTGGATCATGCGGTTTTCACTGACCCTTACTCAATTGGAAAACAAGGGTGGGAAGCATTCAGGTCAATATTTTTGGAGAAACAAAATGTAAAGCTTAATGTCAATAGGTTTAAACCTACACTGTTGAAAGCCCTTGAGCTTCTGCATCAGAATTAGGCCATTGTTTGATTTCTAAATGTTATTTCCTTGTTCTGGCCAAGTATTCAATATATTGTATAGAACTTGAGGGAGATATTTAGTGATATACTCATTCTTAGCACTAATATTATCAATAAACCCTACACTATTGAATTTCTATAAACAAACTCAAAAAATGACAACTGGCCTTATTAAATTTAATATTGATTATTAAATTACTTGGATACCATATTGAGTGTTTTTGATATTTTTATGAGATTTTGGGGTTAGGTTTGTTTTAAGAAATTGATGGCAATTTTGTAATTTATAATAAGTTAAAAGTCTTTTTGTTATGTTGTAAATGGGCTTTGGGTATGTTTCTAAAATCCATTTCATATATGATATTTTTATAATTTAGGCTCCTACATTGAGTATAATAGTGAATCTCCCTTTAAAACTCCAATGGGTCACAAGTCGTACGAAAATGTATAACCAGACAGAAAGCCAAACCCAAGGAGATGGAATAAAATACAGAACAGGCTAGGGGTACCCACAACTTAATTGGACTCAAATGCTGAGGCCCAGATAGAAGACAGAAAAGGGAAGGTCGTGGCCTGATACTTTGACATAACAGTACGCAAGGAATGGGCTTCATACATAAGAATACAAATCTGACCCGACCCGAATAAATCACAACGTAGCTATTAATATTATTATCATTAGAAGAACATTATTCATCTTGATATGATATTTTGGTCTGAGAGACTTCTCTGCACTATGTCGATCTAGAGACTATGAGATTTAGCTGCAAAATTGACGACATGGGAGGCCGAGATGGAGCAAAGCTTCAAAGATTGGGGTTTCTGGCGAGGCGAGCATACGAACCGTCGTCGTCGCCCTTGGTGTTCGCATCACGAGCATCTGCGAGAAATTTGCATGAAAATTTCGAAAGCGTAGCGTAAATCTCTACTCTCTTCTTTGAATTTGTCAATCTCTAGCACATAACAAATTCTAAACCCTGACCTAGCCCTAACCCTAATTTACCATTTCATTTTACCTTGTTTTAGATCGAAGAAATTTGTGCATGCGAACCGTCGTCGTCGGCCTTAGTGTTCGCATCACGAGGAGGGATCTGCGAGAAATTTGCATGAAATTTTCGAAATCATAGCGTAAATCTCACACTCTCATCATTAAATTCGTCAATCTCTAGCATGTCTCAAATCTTAATCCCTGACCCAACCCTAACCCTAATTTATCATTTCATTTTACCTTGTCTTAGATGGAAGAAGCTTGTGAGATCGAAGAAGATTGTAATCGGCCTCGATCTCCGAGACCTTGGCTGGGCCATGTAAAGAGAAGCATCTTCAGGCCCATTCATTGCATAGCTTCCACTACCAGCAAGATCTTCAGGTGAGTGTTTGAATTTGTGGTTTTTTTAATTGATTGGTTTCTTGTTCGGACTTGAAAGTTTTTGTTTGGACTGTGCTGAATTTCTCAATGATAACGCTTAAGAGTGTTGGGGAACATGACAATTCCTAAGGTGCAATGTTTGTTGTTACTATTTATTGACCTTTATCATTCGCGTATAAATAAATTATGTGTGGCCAAAACTTTGCGATGGCTTTCTTCAATGGCCAAAGTTGGCATGGTCCTTTTAATCTTGTTTTATTAGGAAAAGGCATCTTTCATGCATTATTACTAGTGTGGTTTCTCACTCTGAAGCAAAACGAACATGGAATTGTACTTGTACTTCTGTTTGAATTGTGTAAGTTGTTTGTTCAATGGTATGTCTTAGCTGCAGCAATTCTATGTTTTGTATGTTTACTTTGTTAAGAGTAAGCGAGCGAGCTTTAGAATATTAGAAGCAATGTGTGAAGTAACTTTCTGCAACCTTATATTCCCGATATCTAGGAAGTAAAGTTATAATGTTTTGATGAATACTGAGCCAAATAAGTGGGTTTGCAGTACAGTATAGCAGCCCGAAGATGGTAATGGACGTAGTTTAGTATAGCAGCCTGTAGATGATAATGGACATAGTTTTGTATGCTAAGTCAAATTGATGCAGCAGGAGTAGAATGGCGCTCAAAATCATAATGGATTTTGTTGATATTAGGGATTAATCACTTCACGGGAGAGAACACGAGGGATGAGCAACAATTGACCTACCTAAGTTTTTAAAAGTCATCATCGGCTTACCTGCTTGCTGAAACCCCCCTCCATAGCCGATTGAATGCTTGGATAGCCACTTAACTGTCCACTATACTTCCTGTAACTGTGTTAGTTATGACTCAAGGCGGCTACAAGTGTCCTAAAATGCTTGTGCCTTAATATTAACATCTTGTTTATGGGGTGAAATATATAGCTATAATATGGGTATAGTAGGAAAATGCCATTGAGGGATCTTATTTTTCAGTCTTAGTATTAGGAGTCTTGTATTTTACATTGTATAGACTTCCTCTGTAAATGTTTCTGATCATATGTTATGTTTACTGCAGGCCTCATTTTAGCTAGTTGGCTGTGTTTAGTACTTATTGGGTTTCGTGTGTCTAGGCCCAAACAAATCGGTTACACCACCAGTAAAGAGTCATTCTATAGTGAGGGCCTTATATATGGTCCTTAAGTGAGGTTCTATCTCTTAACCGTCGGATCAGGCTAACCAATTTTATACAACGGCTAACCAATTTGATCCAAGGGTTAAGAGATAGGGCCTCACCTAAGGGACATATATAAGGCCCTAACTATAGAATTCTTGCACCAGTAATTGCAATTTGGGCCTAATATTTCTGATATCAATTTTTGGGTCCAATAACTATCGATTTTGGGGTTCAGTAGTTCCGCAATTTTGGCACAAAAGCTGCTAACTCGTTCCAAGAATTTACACCTCTCTGTATATTTTATCGGTTTTTCATTTGTATTTTTTTGGCCAATATTTGATATTCTTTTCTGCAGCTATGCTTCTGTTCATATGAATTAATTTGGTGGTTATCTATCTTTTTGGAACAGAGACCTTTTGTAAAGCTTGAAAATGCAAAAAGGCCATTGACTACAGGGATGGTCGCTACTGAGAAGGCTTGGGATCTTGAGATGATTATGATGATGAAGAAAGCGACTTGGCTGAATGATAACTTTTTTGTTTGTTTGGTTTTTGGTGTGCGCGCGCCTGTTTCTTTTTTGTTCTGTTATCAAGTTTCAGGTAATATAATGAATGAGGACGTTGGTTTACTGAGAAAACATGATTTGAAACATGACACTAACTCGACTGAATAACAATATATTGACTATATTTATTGCTTTTTGCCTGGTATTAGGCTGAAGTTATCAGCTTTGGGTTAACGTTTGACATATTGGGCCAAACTCGAACTGAAGTTTCGTTCAATAGGCCCACCTTTTTGTTATTGGGCCGAACCTTAATCAGAACTTTAAATTATTGGTTGGATTACAGGACATTTTTATGTTATTGGGTCAACGTAAGGGCCGCCTTTTTGCACGTTGTTGGGCTGAGATAGCCCATTTGAGCGTTATTGGGCTGACTTTGGGCCTTCGTGAGGTTTTTGGTCCCACATTTGGGCCTGTGTTCAACGTAATTCGGCCGATGTCTGGGCCCTTTACTTCTTGGGACATATGGCCCCAATGACGGAATACTGGGCCGACTATTGGGCCTTTTTCAGGTTAAGGGGCCGACTTATGGGCCTGTTCTCTCAGGTTATTGGGCCGAATTCGGGACCTTCGTTTTATTTTATGTTATTGGGCCGATATATGAGCCTTATTTTTCAGTTTATTGGGTCGAAATCCGGGCTTTTTAAGTTATTGGGCCGATATATGGGCCCGTTTTCACTTTATTGGGCCGTTATATGGGCTTGTTTCACATTTCTGGGCCGATATATGGGCCTGTTTTCACGTTACTGGGCTGAGATCTGAGCCCATTTGAGCGTTATTGGGCCTATTCTTGGGCCTTCACTTACGGTATTGGGCAGACATCTGGGCCTTTACTCAAGGTATTGGGCCGAGATCAGAGCCCATTTGAGCGTTATTGGGCCTATTCTTGGGCCTTCACTTAGGGTATTGGGCCGACATCTGGGCCTTCACTCACGGTATTGGGCCGACATCTAGGCCCCTTTATGACGTTATTGGGCCTCCATCTGGCCCTATTTTAGGTTATTGGGCCCCTCTCCGGGCCTGTTTTCACATTAATGGGCCCAGGGACCCGTTTGAGCCTCATTGGGCCACCTTTTGGGCCTGTACTCACGGTATTGGGCATCATCTGGGCCCATTTGAGCGTCATTAGGCTGCCTTCTCAAGGTATTGGGCCGTAATGTGGGCCCATTTGAGCTTGTTTGGGCCGACTTCGCCTTTTGTTAGCTTATTGGGCCGACTACAGGGCCTATTTTCAGGGGACATCTGGCCCTGTTTTCAGATACGGGGCCCGTTTGAGCCTCATTGGGCCACCTTTTGGGCCTGTACTCACGGTATTGGGCGTCATCTGGGCCCATTTGAGCGTCATTGGGCTGCATTCTCAAGGTATTGGGCCGTAATGTGGGGCCATTTGAGCTTGTTTGGGCCGACATAGCCTTTTGTTAGCTTATTGGGCCGACTACAGGGCCTATTTTCAGGGGATATCTCGCCCTGTTTTCAGATACGGGGCCTGTAGTTGGGCTATGTTAACGTTAGTCGGCACATTTCTGTTACAGTTTTTGCGATACTGGGCCGGCTTCTGAGCCTGATTGCGGGCTATTAAACGGACTGTCGGCCATCTTGCTGGTCCGCATTCAAGATATTGGGCCAACATCCGGACCTGTTTTCTTAATATTGGACCGCTTTCTGGGCCTTACATTATTATGCAAATTACACTTCGGCACACTCAATGCGACAAGTAGTTGAATATGCGGGCAGTTATATCAAATTTGACCTTAATAACTTGAAATTGTCTTCATCGCACAATTGATTCCGTGCCCATAAATCTGCGATTGCCGCCCAATTACGTTTGTAGCCATGAATTCGCCACCAACAATACTAACAAGTTTGATGATATTGAAACACTTGATCAGTCTTGTTTTACTGAACCTCAAAGTTAAAGTCAAAGTAAAGCCATTTGCCTAAGCGGTTGATTTAAGAGCAAGCTGGACCCTTCGCTCTAGGCTTTTTATCTATGTACACAGTCGATTTTTATGCCTGATTGGGCCGACCATTCAGTTATCCAGGGTTCGACTCCTAAAATCTGGCCATTTTAAAAGAAATTAAAATATCGCTGCAAATGAAAAAAAAAAAAAAAAAAAAAAAAAAAAAAAACCTTGAAGAGATTAAAAAAAACTTGGAAAATGGATGAGTGGAAAGGATAATGGATGAGGAGATGAAAGAGGACCCAGAAGAACCATGCAACGCAGAAGAAAAAACGCCTTCAAGCGCGAAGAAATAAGCAAGGCAATGTAGAACAAAGTAACACAAATTGGATAGCTGACCGAAAGGAAAATCAAGGCATGTAAAACCAAATGATAGCACTTTCATGCTTCATAATTAAAAAAAAAGAAAATTTAGTTGGAGCAAGAAAAAAAGGAAGAATGAATGCATTATAGAGGCAGGAAAGAATCCTCACACACACTCATGTCCTAGACGCATCAAACAGAGGCCAAGCATGTAGATTAGGATGAAAGTCACGGTATGAATAAAGTAGGGTGTGTGTGTGGTTTTTTTTTTTGGTGGGGAGGGGAGAAGAAAACATCAAGGTTTTTTAAAAGCATTAAACCAAGAATCACCTCTGGCTTCGCTGTGGTAACTACATGGCTAATCCCCTCTAGTTTCACTAGCTCCTGGTCACCTGAAAAAGTAATCATTGCCAAATCAATTTTGTGCATATGAATGTAAAAATGACAACCACTCATGACTTGTATTAATATAAAAGAATTACAGAAAGCAATACAAAAATTACTCGCAGAGTCCTCAAACCATATTGTTATACACACATATATATAGAGACACACACGCTCATGTACTAGACACATCAAACACAAACCAAGCATGTAGATTAGGGTGTGGGAAAGAGAATGGGTACGCAAAAAATGGATGCATGACCGTAGGTAAGATAACCTCCTTGAATGCATAACTGGACATCAAAATGTGAGGCTTTCTGCATTATAAGCATAATTGCCCATAAGGCCTACAAACCACAACATGAGAGGCGTGCAGCATAATAGATTCTACAAAGATTTAAAAATTAAGCCAGATACTCTCAAGCCCTAAACAGAATAGAACGAAAACTGTCCAAATTATAAAATGAAAACCTAAAGGGCATAATAATACCCTACAGCTGTTAGCTCATGCATGTTCCATCCAAAAATTGAAAATTGAATGCTCGTTTTCAATCAACTTAACAATGGATAAAAAACTCAGGCTAAAGTAAAAACGAAGTCAGATATATGAACAAAATTTCATGTATCCTATTTCATATCAGCAGATTAAATCAATCAAAATATTCCAATAAAAAATAGTCAAACACTGCCTACACAGGGGAAATTCAACCTTCTCTTTCTCTCCAAACAGGATTTCTCTCCAAACAGGCAATGACATGAAATTCTTGCTACTAAATGAACGGAGATCCTTTCTTTATTCCAGAACGAACAAAATATGCATCGTGTAAACCTAGCACTCAAATAGGGTTTAAATCATCGATTTATACTCTTACCGTAATCTGACACAGATCCTAATCCGCAATAGCTACGTTGTGGACTGTTGTGATCTTCATCGTCGACGCAGAGACGAACGATCTCACCATTCTCTCTGCACCATCCGAAACCCTAAATCATTGCCTTGTTCGGATCCGGCTCCGGACAAGGCAATGGCAACGATTTATGGTTCGTATTTTGCCATAGGGCTCCATTCTCGAATCTCGTCCAGAGACACGAGCCACCAGATCTAGGTTTCTCTTTCATCTGGACTCTCTCTCGCTCTCTCACTTAGAAGTCAGCTCTGAATCAGATTGTAGAAATTAGACGAGTCGGTCACAGCCGGTTTTCGTGTTATAATTTGGGCCTCTTTGTTACTTGTCCTCGTTTTGGGCTTTCTTATACGAATTTCACTGACCCAACAAAATAAGAGTAATTTTTTCAGAGACAAAATAAGAGTAAATATTAAATAACAAAATAATATTCTTCCTTTTTTCTTTTCTTTTTTGTTGTTGTCAAACTTCCTCTTTTTTTTTCCAAGATATATGCATTTTGTTCCCTTTTCTATTATTAAATCCATCTATAATTTGTAAGTTTATTTTTAATTTTTTTGGCATTACGTGGGCTAAATCATTTTGCAAGTTTATTTTTGATTGTTTAAACTTCAAATATTAGTTTTTACTATTTTATCCCTTGTTATTAATAATGTTGTCTTTTAAGATTTTGGTTAATACAGAAACAATGCCACAAGGAAAGATGAATGCAGCCAAAGACATGAAAATCACTGCTGAGTGCAGAAATATTAGTTCATTCTGCATTTTTCCTGCCATGTACAAAATGAGAAATATATTCTGCCCAAAAACAAAAGAGAGAAATATACAAGTAGAACAGATGCAAACAACATCAATTGACCTGCCAGTCAGCAGCACTCAACTGACTCTGAAGAGTCAAGACACCTTAAGAAACTTGATCACTCTTTTTGTTCACTTGAAATTTTAATTCTCCCAAGTCGAGTTTTTCGTACCAGGGGGAATGCTGGAGATCCTAAGAAGATTTATGATTAAATTATTGCTATTTTTACTGAAATGGAGATGTGTGGATACTTTCCGTTTCTTGTGTGGCTTGATTTGGTTTCTGTCATACTAGGTAATTTAGTTATGCTGTTATCTGAACTTATTTAGCTCCCTTTTTTAGTTTGGATTAGCCTCTATGATTTTATGAATATGCCTATATATTCAGGTTATCAACAAACTGATTATATTTGAATTGACTACAACTAATACAGATCAAAACATTCAGGTTAGCCTCCATATATATACCTTCTTGCCCTACATCAGATTATCTTATTGATCAAACATTAAGGCTTCCCTATGTCATCTTGAATAGAATTATATTAGTTGAGCAAAAATGAAGCATGATTCTACACTCGCCAGAAGCTTTGATCACCATGAGCAGAAGAGGTTACGATATGGAACATTTGCTTGCTGCTTGCTCATACCATTATACTTTTGCACGGTGCTCAGGCCTAGTTTGAATCTATTAGTTTGTATGGAAAATGTTCTTCTTCTTCTTCTTCTTCAGCCTTTAGCCTATTTTAACCTACACTTTTTACCTTCTTCTGTACAAAAGTTACAAATGACCAGATTAACATGATATGTTTGAGCAGCTATAGTGATGTCTAAACTTTCATTTACTCGCAGGGAATTTGCAGCTGTCAGTGGGTGTTGGTTTGGAAATGCTGCAAGTCGAGCAAACAAACAGCTCGCAGCAGGTAATCAAAGGCAAGCATCCCGATCAGAAGATACGCACTCCCACTGGTCTCATTGCAGAAAATGGTCCACAAGCAGAGACAAAGAGTAAGGACCCTTATGCTTTACCACTTTTCCAAGTGGCTGATATCATTATTTCCTACTTACTTTCCGTGGGGTTAAGGTTTTATATAGCTCTAAACTTCTTGAAAAGTACATAATTCGGAAGTTGTGATTAAACCATTTAAATTCATTCTGCAGTTTCAGAAGTCGTGACAAAGAATTTGGAGCCAATTTGCAATGTTTTGGAACCAAGAACCAATTTTTGCGAGATCAACAGGGATGTTCGGGTTGATGGAAAATCGTCGACAGTTTCTATTGTTTCATCTCAAATGGAAGTGTTAGCAGGGAATGGCCCCTGGACTATAAGACCTTACGCTCGAAAAGAAGACAAAAAGCCAATGAATCACACTCGAGCATGGTCAGTAAAACCAGTCATTGGTGACCAGGAAGTCCCTCGATGCTCCCGAAATCATAGTGTTCCAGCCATCTTGTTTTCAAATGGAGGATATACAGGAAACCATTTCCATGAATTTACTGATATAGTAGTTCCACTCTATATTACTTCTCGAAAATATGATGGAGAAGTTCAGTTTCTTATTTCGGATTTACGAACTTGGTGGGTTGCAAAGTTCCAAGCAATACTAAAAGGACTTTCTAATTATGAGCTTCTTGACATTGACAAAGAAGCAGTCCACTGCTTTCCAAGCATAACTGTTGGCCTCAAAAGACATCCAAAGGATCTGACCATTGATCCTTCAAAACATTCATATTCTATGAAAGACTTCAGAGAGTTCTTAAGAAACACTTATTCATTGAAGAGGGCTAATGCAATCAGAATCAGAGTTGGTCAACGTAAAAAGCCCCGGCTTCTGATCATATCAAGACGGAGGACAAGGTGTTTCACGAATTTAAGACAAATTACTAAGATGGCTAGAACCTTGGGGTACAAGGTAACTGTTGAAGAAGCAGACAGGAATATGTCAAGAATTGCACAAGTTGTGAATTCTTGTGATGTGTTAATGGGAGTTCATGGAGCTGGCCTCACAAACATTCTTTTCCTTCCTGAAAATTCAATTTTTATCCAAATACTACCAATTGGAGGGTTCGAATGGATTGCAACAAACTACTTCGGAGTGCCTTCAAGGGGTATGAATCTAAACTACTTGGAATATAAAATAAGCAAAGAGGAGAGCACGCTGATAAATGACCCTCACACAACTCCAATACGAGGATGGGAAGGATTCAAGTCAACTTTTCTGAATGCGCAAGATATAAAGCTTAACGTCAATAGGTTTAGACCCACCCTGTTAAAAGCTCTTGAACTTCTGCATTATTAAGCCATTGGTTAGTTTCAAGAGGAAGATGGGGCCTCTGCATAGTTTTTCCGTGTTCTTTATGTTATTCTAGCCTAGTATTATTTGCCAAAAGGTAGTTCATACGCGTTCCCATGTTCTGATGATCAACCACACACCACCTATCATGATTCACAAACAGACATGAATTTAAAATAGAAAAAATAAAATGAAAGAAACTGGAAAATAATGAAAATAATGGAAATATAGATATAAATAAACAAAATTTCCATATTGCTTATCCAGTACGATGTACCAAAAAGAATCGACAGTGTTTCTTTACAAATACAGCCCTAACTCCTGCGTGAAAATGGAGGAGTTTTTTTTCTCACTTTACTAAGACTGCGCCCTACTCAAACGAATATATACAAAATGCAGCTCCTTGACACAGCAGTAGGCATGGATCAATGTGATCTGTAAGCTGCGGCTAAATGCCTGTTTACAATAACCTGCAACTTCTACAGAACAAGGTCCATTATCCATACCCAAGGAAGAATGTGCCCAATCACCCCTTTCCAAAATATGAGTGGTTCTACCAATAAAGAATGTTAGATATCACCTCTTTCCAAAGATGGGTTTGCACAGGCCGGCACCAATAATAGATTATACGGAATGTAGTTTCTATTCCAGAGGAAGCTCAACTGCCTAGAAGATTGACGTTCAAATTTCGTACCCCAAGCCTTTGAGGATGGACCAGTCTCCAGCAGCTCTTTACCGCTGCTTGTGCTTTTGATCATATGCTTAACTCCACTATACGACAAGCAATGCTTAACCCCACTTTGCACTATCAAATGAAGTCCGTTTCTGGCTTGTCTTTTTACTCTTCTTTAGAAGCATTGACATATGGTCAATATCTGTGGAAGATGAATGCCTCTCACCCTTTAACCAAAGCACAGCCTCAGCAGCTGCATCCTTCTCTGCTTGTTTCTTACTATTGCAAGGCTGCCCTACAAAGTTCAACCCATTGAAGATCACTGTAGAACAGAACTGGTTGTTTTTCAATTGTTTTGTCTTGTAGGTGGGTGCATCATGTCCGGCTCTGACAAGCAAAGTTTGCAGCTGATTTTTGGAATTATTATTAGGCCCCCCTTTATCACCAACTGTCAAGGCGCCAGGTTTAATATCTTTTGTTGCCTTCTTTGAGGGTACTGGCACCTTACGGCCAAAGACAAATCTACCCTCACATTGGTCCTCTGAGACCAGTAATCTTAGCGCTGATAGGAGGTGAGTATGGGACTGCATATCCAATTTGGGATTGAGGAGCTGCTTGCAAAGACATCACCATGTTAGAGAGAGAGAGAGAGTGGGTATAGATTCCAAGTGTTAAATTCAAAAGCTATGACAAATGGTGAAACCAAATACATACCTTATTATGAATCAGTTCGCCAAGCTCCTCCTTTAAAAAAATATATGTATTTGCTAATGCAGGATTCATGAAAAACTCCAAATATCCTCCCAACATCTTCAGGTGCCCATCCTGCCAAAAGCAAGTAGGAGTATTTACTATTTTTTCTTCAAGAACACAAATGCAAAGTAACAAGCACAGCCAAAGTCAATGAACCTACCAGCCCGCCCCTTGAGATGTTGCCTCCAAACAAAAGGAGTACAGAATCAGATACACCAGTTGAATCCCGGAGAAATACCGAATTCACTTTCACCTTTTCGTTGAAAACTAGCCATGGGTATGGAATTTTGGGTACCCCGGCATTGACAGAATTCTAATTGATGCAATCAACAATCATAAACAATAGATCAGAAATAATGATGTCTCATTATATACAATTAAATAGAAAATTTAAAGTAATGCCACAAGGAAACATGAATACAGCCAAAGACAAGGAACTAACCGAGTATAGCATTACTTGTCCATCTTCCATTGTTTTCAGCGCGATTGACTTCTCTTTGTTCTGTGCAACGTAAATGTAACAATGCAACATACACAATAAATTAGAGAAAGATACACCACTCACAAGCAAAACAGATGCAAGCAACATCTTGTGACCGTTCAGAAATTCAACTTAATCTGAAGAATCATGACCCCGTTTATCACAGTTTTTGGACACTTGAACATATCATTTGTGGTATTGTTTTAACTAAATGTGAAGATTACAACACCTTCTATCACACTCTTGCTCAGTTGAACATATCACTCTTTTTCTCCGTATAATGTACACAGAAAAATAGGCTACTACGACAAACTAAATAATTTCTTTTCATGCGAATAAAACACTTACAAAATAAAAAATATAAGAACATTATAAGGTATGCATAATGACTTACCACAACAGAGCATATTCCAGGAAATAATCCGGCACAGATGACCGCTCGGACAAGGTGTTCATCATGGCTCCATGTATTACAAGTTTCTGTATGATGATCAACCAGACCAGTATCCTTGAGCAAAAAGAAGAACTGCTTCCGAAGAGAGTCAATGGATTTTAGAGTTTGTGCAGAAAGAAAATTCCTCCAGCAGTACTCATAACCAGACTGCACTCTTTCAGCATTTTTCCAACCATCATAAGCTCGGACAAGAGCAAGATGATCACTGTTATCACGGGCAGAGAACTGTGCTTTTGCTGATTCTGCAAGCTACAAAATTTGAAAACGATATGGTTAGTCCTCAGCCTATGCTTGTGCAGAATATGCTGGCATGCCAGGGGAGGGGAGACATCATCAAAATACGCAACAGCGCAAATTAAAACATCAAACTGTAGCAAGGAACACCATATCATACTTACATCCTTTTTGTCAAATGGCATCAGGAATGGATCTCTCATACTAAGGCCTGCAACTACAGTCATTACTGGATCCAGACAGTTGAAGATAGCCCCTAATATGAGCATTTTTCCAAGTTTAGGCTCAACGGGAAGCATTGACAGGTGGCGTCCTGCACATTACAATCCTCAGTTAAGCACTTGCAGACAAAGCAAAACACATCTTAAAAAGCTTTGATAATCAGTCATCATCACCTAACACTGTCAGATCTTCATTATCATCTAAGGCCCCAATAATCTTCAAATACTCAACAGCATTTTGAACCTACAAAAGAAACAAAATGCAGAATACTAATATGAAGATCTTCTGCATAGATAAGACTGATAACATAAGAGAAATTATATCTTAATTCACAAGTTAATTTTAGGTAAAGTTCAAAAGCAATACAATACTATCAACAGTCTCTCATGCAAGTATTATGAAAAGGCATAAACTGGGAGTAGTCAGATAGAATTTTTACCGATAGAGGTTCTGGCGCCTGTAAGGCCTTAGATAGGAACTCTGAAATACTTCCAAGTTGCAGACTTTTGATTTGTAAACATAAAGACTGCAATGGCGTCCTCAAAAGTTCAGGTAACTGATAATCAGCAAAGGCATCATATACACATCTGGGGTAGAGATGGTAACACTCGCCAGGTTGAACACGACCAGCTCTGCCTCTTCTCTATAGATTAAAGGCTTTAATTAATACTGACAACCCATGTATAAATTTCCATGTAATATATCAATTGTGTCACATGTGGTTACCATACAATCAACAAAATTGCACAGTTTAACTAAGAAGCAGAAACCTTTGGCAATCAGTATAAAGTGATGCCTTGCATTATATCAAAAGATCCAGCATGAAGTAGATAAAATAATCAAATGGATATTGAAACTGGCAAAACTGTCTTACTTGCCGAGAAGCAGCCTTTGAAATCCAGGATGGAAGCAAACAGGGAGTGTTATTTAGTGCATCATATGATGTCTCTTTCGCCTTTCCACAATCAACCACAAATACAACATCATTGATAGTGATACTAGTCTCAGCCATGTTTGTCGCTAGAACTATTTTCCGAATTTCATCTTCTGGCTTATCAAATATTAACCTCTGTTTACAAAAACAAAAGAAAATTAAATTACTAAATACAAAGCCTTGCATGTTGTAACATTCAAAACTTGGATACTGTCCTCAAACTACGAAGGGGAAGAAATAACAACCCAAAAGTAATTGGTTCCGCATCAAATTGTCAAAATGATAACATCAAAAGATTTCATCGGAAAAATATGAAGCTGTAATGATTTATTAATTATCACGATCTTTAGCAAAATTAACAACATCAATTAGTCTGTATTATAGGATAATGTTACGACAACTTAATGGATTAAATTTCCAAATTATAGATAAGAAGGCAGAAAGATGGCCCCAATACAGTAACAGGAATCCTCAATAAAAGAATATTTAGGATTGATACAGTCAAAAGACATGACAGGCCTTCACATCACATTCCATGGGAAACTAAAGCCTCCCAGTCTTAGATAAAGGATAAACCCCAACAACCATGCATGATTAGCATATTGTTTAGACAAAAACATTCAACATATTTTGATGAATGGATAATCCCAATATATATGGAGAAGTTTGAAGTCCTTAAAGTGTTTCTCATCACTAGCCCATAATAATTTAACTATATGCATTGAGAACAAAATAAAGGAGAACAGTTACACCACCTGCTCAGAGCTAGGCATAGAACCATGACATGCAAGCAGTAGGACCCTGCTAGGATCTCCTAATAGGGGATGAGATTGGAGTTGATCCTTCAAGGAGTTAATGTCATCCCAACCAGTCATAAAAACCAAAATAGCACCAGGCCGTTCTTTCCTGACTATGTGGCAAAGCAGATGCTCAATGAGGTTGAAACCAATGGAATCAGGATTCCAACAGGAGAGAGACTCTCGAGTCCTCGGACTGTACTCCCTAAAATCAGCAGCTTCAAGTACCTCCTGTTGAAAAAGGGGCAAAAGAAATTAAAATATAATTGAGGGATTGCAACAAAAACTATGACAAATTTTATATACCTCAACTGTAGAAGCAATTTGGCTCTTCCTTTTTTTGAAACCTGGAGCTTGTTTCTGCATTTTCCATGCCTTCTCTTGACCATAATCATCAATTTGATTGTATTCATTCAACTGATACCTAGTCATTTCCAGAATATTCTCCAGAAAATGTGCTCGGACTGGATACGTAAAACCCTGAAAATAGAGCAAAGCCCAACCCCCAAATAAAAGGTGAGTCCAGTATACCTTATGCTGAGAAAACGACATCATTGTGGACCAACTGAACTAAAAGTGCAATCACTGAAGGAATCATGGAATACACTGTAATGGCAGTATCTTATTCTATAATGCATTGTATAAATTTCATTATTGACCAATAAAATAATAAATAGGAGACACTAGAGGTCATAGATGGCATGAAATCAAACACAGGAATAGATCGTCAGTGGAAATAAGTGGAGTAAATGATTGGTTCAGACTTGAAAGGGATGATAAACAAGAATCCAGCAGTTCACAGAATCTAAGCGAGAAGCACTCAATTTTATGTGATGTCCTAGCCAAACTTTCTCATTCTTCCACCACATTTTGAGGCGACAAAAGAAAAGATGCTCTAGAAAAATGCTTTTACTGTTGGATTGGATTTCTGCCCCTAAATTTTATAGACCACGAAACAGTGGCTAACTGTAACTGTTAAAGATCACCCATTCTGACAAAAATTAACAATATAAAATATAACTGGCTCCTGGAATCACCTAAGCAGATCATGCTATATGAATCCACAATGATGATGATCATAGATTAGCTACTAGTAAATTTTACTTTAGTTACATGGGACAGATAATTAAAAAAAAACAGTAATAAATAAATAAACGAAAATAAGAACTAGTGCCCTGAACTTACAGGAATATGAATCATTGGAGCACCA